AGGGCTGCCTGGCCTCACGCAGGTGAGGTGCCTGTGGCACCGGCTCAGACCAAGGGGAGTCCTTCAAGCCCCACCCCCCCCAGCTGAGCCCAAGCAGCCGCCCTCGACAGCCTTCACTGTCACCCAGCCCCAGCCTTGCAAAGGGCCTGGGTCCTCCTGCCCCAGCGGGTCTGGCGTGGGCCTGGGAGCTGCCCCAGGGGCTGAGGATGCCACGCCCTCTGCCGGCTGCGAGTGCCCACACCGAAGGGCTTCCTGGGCCAGCGCTGGGCCTGCTGGGCAGCTGAGACCATGGCCCAGGCCCCCAGGCCTCCCTCAGCTGGCTGAGCTGCAACTCCGCCCTCGGCCCTCCGGGCCCATTCAAGCCCATCTGTCCTCTGTGCTTGTCCTCTGTCCCCCAGGGCAGGGCCTTTGTCCTGTGGCTGGGTGTGAAGTGGGGAGAGAGGCACTTCAGAGCTCGCCTGCCTTCCCCCAGTGTGCCAGAGCCACAAAGCCCAGAGAGGGGATGAGGCTTGCCCAAGAGCACGTGGGGGGAGGGGAAGCTCCTGTTCCCTGCAGGGGTCCTGTGCCCTGAGCTCAATCTGCTTCCAGGCACAGCCTCCTCTGGGAAGCCCTCCTGGGTGTCCTAGTTGGGCGTGACCTTCATGTTCTCTGCTCTTAGAGGCGCTTTCCAGGCTTAGCCTTGTCTCATAGTGGTGCCAAAGGACAGCCCCCCAAAATGTCCCCCCCCTGAGACGGCCACCCTAGCATGTGGATTATGTCGAGCTAAAGTCAATGGAAACCCTGCCTGGGGTGGTCGGAGCCCCCTCTGCTGGGGCCCTCGGGAGCCACGTCCGTCTCTGTTGAGTCCCTAGGAAACCAAGGAGTATTATGTGTAAATAAGCTCTGGCGCCAGAGACAATTAATTCACTTCACCAAGTCTCCTGAGGTCCCGACCGCTCCCCCCCACCGCACTGAGGGAAACTTTCCCACTCCGGGTCTCCTTGGTGGAGGCCTGGAGGCCTCCTGGGGAGCCTTTAACAGTGGGATGGGAGCTGGGGGGCGGGGAACCCAGCCTCCGTCTGCCTGCAGTGTCCAGGCTCCCCGGTGATGGCCATGTGGAGGCTCCCGGGCCGTGGCTGCCTGGAGTGGCTTTTCTGTGCAGGGGCTGCCCGCTCTCCACGGAGGCGCCAGCCGCCCCCCTCAGTCTCTCTCCAGGCCACGTGGTGCCGGTGCCCCCATGCATGTCCACCCGAAGGTCAGCGTTTCCAGGTGACCTGGGGAGCATCGCGGCCACCATCCTCAGGCCTCTGGGGTGGACACAGGCGCTGTCTAAGGCCTCCGGGGTGGACACGGCGCTGACTCGGCTTCTGGGGTAGACATGGGCGCTGACTCCCTCTGTGGTCTGGAGAGCGGTGCGGGGCAAGGGAGTGCAGGGGTGTGTCTGCTACGCCGGGGGCCTGTGGCCAGGGGAGCCACGCTGGACTCAGCTCGTGCCTGGACTTGGCCGCAGGGGTTCAGTGCGGTGGGAGGTGTTGGTGGGCGAGTGCCCTGAGGTCAAGGGAGCCCTCCGCTCACCCCCTCGCTTGCACTGCCCAGGGCCGCTCCCCTCCTGGCCATGCCTGCCGTGGGGCGGTGGGGTGGGGGGGATCTGTAGCTATCACAGCCTTGAGTCTCGGGTGAGCCTGGGGCCGGGGCCCCCAGGCCGGAGCTGCGTCTGTGGCAAGGTTTTCCTCGGGGTCCTGACCACGGCAGCCCGGTGACCAGAGAAGCTCCTGGACTTGATAACGCCCAGTGTTGCTGGAGCCCGTTCCGCTGTCCGTGGACTCCCTAGCTGCCCCAACACGCTGCGCCTGCCTGTGCCAGGGATGACCTGCCGCCAGGCAGCCGGAAGCTTCCTGAGAAGAGACTCGCTTCAGCTGAAGGGCTGGGCCTGGTCTGGGGCAGGTGGCTGCCTCCTGCTGCTCAGGCCTGTGTCCACTCTGCACTGTCCCGGCCCGGGCAAGCCCAGCAGCGGCCCCCGTGCTGAGTGAGCAGTGGTCATGCGGGGGCGGAGGGCATGGGCAGGCCCGCCAGGGAGGGCGGGGGTGGAGCTGGAGGAGCAGGAGTGGAATTGCTGGGGAGCTTGGGAGCACGTAGGCACCTGGGCGAGATGGTGCCGAAAAGCCTGGAAGTGAGCCCGGGATGGGCAGGCCCCGAGTGCTGGGCCGGGGAGAGTGTGTGGGTCAGCCAGCAGGACTTGCACTTGGCCTTGTGTTGGGACTGGGGGTCTGCGCAGGAAGATGGCTGTGGTCACAGTGGGTGGCTCTGGGAGCCTGGCTGGGCGGGGTGCAGGTGGGGTGACTGGCAGGTAGGAGGCCAGGCGAGGGGCGATGCAGGCCCAGATGGGGTGGCGGGGAGTGGGGCGAGGATCACAATGAGGGAAGCACAGGCCCTGGGGGCCACACTGTGCCTGCCCCAGGCGCCATGCCGGCCCGAGCTCTCTCGAAGGTCAGGCCTGACCGGACAAGGCTTCTTCGCGCGACTTGCAGTGGGTCCCGCCTGGCGGTGGCCTCATATGTTTTGTGTTGATGCGGCGGATGGCAGAACCCATTTAGAATAGGCAGGTTTGTGGGGTTTGGGCTGCCCCTCTCCCTGCCCTATAACATTGGCAGCTGCTCAGGAGCAAGCTGTCCCCCAGAGCTGCCCTGCAGCTTGCAGGCTTCAGCTTCTCTGGCTTCCACGTGGGAACCCCCCACCCGCCACGGCAGGCATGGCCAGGAGGGGAGAGGCCCTGGGGAGTGCAAGCGAGGGGGTGAGCGGAGGGCTCCCTTGGCCTCAGGGCACCCACCCACCGACACCTCCCACTGCACTGGACCCATGCAGTCAAGTCCAGGCACGGGCTGAGAGCAGGCAGGGGCTTGGGGCCAGCCCTAGCGTGGGGGCCGCATCAGGAGGTGGGCAGTGGGTAGTGGTGAGTTCCGGGATGTGGTCAGAGCCTGGGAGTCACCATGGGCAAGAGTAGGGAAGGGGCAGGGGGTGGCCAGCACGTATGTTGCGTCAGGTTGGGTCAAGTAGGTCAAATTGGAGCAGAGACCGGAAGCTGAGGCGGCTGGGATGGGTGTTGGGCGGGGGGATTGGCAAGAGGTCAGCAGCGGAGCAGTCAGAGCAGGAAGGGGACCAGGAGGTGAGGCCAGGGCAGGTAGGGGGCCGCGGGGCCCTGCGAGGACTTTGCTTTCACTGAGTGCCACTGGGCTCTGAGCCGATGGCGGGAACTGGCTTCGCTTTCACAGGCTGCTCTGGAGGCTGCGCTAGGGTGACCCATCAGTCAGTGAGTGAGGAGTTGTCAGGAGTAAGGCCCAGGGTCCCGGGATAGGGGAAGGTCACACTTCGACATTTCGATCTCTAGGTGAACAGCCCCCAAGGAAGCGAGGCCGACCCTCAGCCCAGTGTGAACAAGGCTGCTCTGCTGGATCCGTGTGAGGGACAGTCCACCGGGCCAAGCCTAGCAGGATGCCGCCCTGCTCAGCCCAGGGGGTGTCTCACGTAGTAGAAGCAGCTAGTTTGCACGGAGAGATTGGAGGTGCAGCTGGGAGCTTCGCTGACCACGACTGGTGTCCAGGCCGACCTCAGGCCCCTGAGTCTCGGGGTATTTCTAAGGCCTCTCGCTGCTACACACGCAGTCCTCCCAAACCTCACTTTTCTTCCTGGGCCCAATCATGGGCCCAGCTTGCAAACGCCAGGGAAGAGACCCAGGGAAAGAAGGTGGCTCACAGCTCAAGTGACCCAGCAGCAGCCCCGCACCCAGAACCTGGCTTCCTAATTCTGCTCTCGCCGGCCACTAGCTGGGGACGTCAGCAAGCCCCAAGCCCCCAGAGAAAGCCCTTTCTGCGCTGCCTCTTTGTTCCCTGCTTGCGCTAGAGTTTGAGGTCTAGACGTCAAATGAAGTTAGGCTCCCATGTGACCCCACACTTCTCTCTCCCCCCAAGTTCTCCCAGCGCCAGGGGGGGTCCCTGGCCCTTCACGTGGGGGCAGCAATGGTGGGGGAGTTCCCGGATCCCTTCATCATGGGAAAGGGAGGCTCTGACAGGGAGGGGCTGGGCTGCAGGGCAGGGGGGAAGCAGCAGCGTGGTGGGAAGTGGGGGGAGGACACGGGCTGCACTGTCTGCAGCGGAGGCTGCCGAAACAGAGAGCAAGTCCAGGGTGACCGCTGGCTTCCCAGCAACTGGGCGATGGAGGGCGGTGCCCTTCAGGGGCATGGGCAACACAGGGGGGCCCCCCTGGGCTGAAGGGGAAAGCGCAGAGTCCAGTTCTGGGGACTCTGAGCCACCCTGCCGCGGATGCGGAGGCAGCCAAGGCCCCTGGACGCGCCTGTGGCCCGCGCTGCAGGCCCAGGGCGCCCACACATGGGGTCAGCGAGGGTGCGGGAGCGGGCAGTGGACACCGAGCTGGCACACCAGGCCCCGCACGCACGCTCGCGGCCGACCCTCCAGCCCAGGGCCGCGTCTGGACGGTGCGGGGCGCAGCGCAGCCAGAAGGCCAGCCCCGGCGCGGGGCCAGCGGAGGCCAGGGGCAGCGGGGAGGGCTGCGCCGCGGCCCTGCGGGAGGCCGTGTCTCCACCGTGCCGGCCCGTGACCCGGGGCGCGGCTGTCCCGCCAAGGCGCCCTTGGGGACCCCGTTCCCGCGTCCACTCCGCGGGCCTGCGGCGCTGGCAGGTGGCCCGGGGCCCGGCTCCGGGTTACAGTGGACAGTGGGGTCCGCACCACCAGCCCCGCGCCCACAGGTGGGGACCCCGCGGGGGGCGGCGCGGGCGGAGCCGGCCGGGGGCGGCGGGTCGCGGGGGGCGGCGGGGGGCCCTTGGCACCGGGCCCGCGCCCTCCGCGCCTGCGCCGGGAGCGCCGCTGACCCGCCCCGCCGCCGCCGTCTTTGTTCCGCGCCAGCGTCTCGCGAGAGCTGGCGGCCAGTCTCGCGGTGTTTGCGCGGCGCCGTCTCGCGGTGTTTGCGCGGCGCTCGCTTCCTTCCGGCTCCCTGCCCGGTCCCCCGTCCGGTCCCCCCGCCCGGCCGCCCCGCGGGACTATGCTCGCCGGCGATGGACGCGCCCCGCGCAGGTGGGTGCCGCCGCCCGGCCCGGCCCCGACGGGTGGCGGGGCCTGCGGCCGGCCGGCCGGGCGCCGCCCGTGCGAGGGCCCGGCCGCCGGGGTCTCCGCCGCCCCGCTCGGCCCCGACGCGGCCAGGCCGGCGCTCCCCGGACGCGCGCCCCGGGCCCTCCGCCGGCCCCAGGCGGCCCCGACCCCCCGCCCCCGCGGCCCGCGCCGGCCGCCTCCCTCGGCCCTCGGCTTGCTTCGCCTTTGCCCGCTGCCCCCGCGCGCGAGGCCCCGCCGCACGGGCTCTCGGAACCGCGTCCCTCCGAGGAAGTCGTGGCGCCCGCGGCCCCGGGGCTCCCTGCCCGGGCCCGCGCGAGCCTCTTCGAGCTCGTGACTTTGCCGGTGTGGCTTGGCAGGAGCCCCGGGCCGGGGTTATTCTGGGCATGAGCGACGCGGGCCGCCCCAGTCAGTTACCGTCATTACGTCAAGCCAGGCCCCGGCCGCTCGCCTGCCGACGTGGGGCCCCGCCGCTGGGGCGGACAGTTCCGCTGGACACGGCGGGTTTCCGGGACTTTCACTTTGAATAAGGGACTTTGTGGCCAGCTGTGTGTAATAAAAGTTTTTTTTTTCCCCCTTCCAGGAAATGCCTTTGAGTACCTTATTGAAACATTAAGTGACAGTTCCCGTAAGAAGTTCTTCAATGTACCTAAACTTGGAGGCGCCAAGTATGGTAATGTTGCTTTTTGGGGGGCTCGTTTAGTTTGTAGTAATAAATATAGGGTTGTCAAGCCGAGATGAAATTTTACTTACTCCCGTGATGTTGTAAGAAGTACATCTATACAGATCTCGATAACTTTTTTTGAAAAAGATTTGTTTATGCGTACAAGAACTGGGGTATGGGCCAGAGGTGCAGGGTGGTGAGACGATTCACCAGAGACAGAGTGGGGAACAGAACAGGCAGACTGACTGAAGTATACTGCTGAGGGGAGCAGCGGGGAGACAGGAGAGGTCTGCTGTGCCCTGTGGCACAGCTCCCTGTGCCCGTCCAGCTTCCTGGCTGGGGATGGAACTCAGGCTACAGCGGCTGTGGACAGCTTCACAGTGCTGCCACTCAACCCTTTGCGCCACATCTTTAATGGTCCATCTTTAATGTTTTTTCCCCTTCATTTTATTATGAACATTATGTTTGCTATTTTTTCTATAGATTTGATGGAATTAAATGTTCTAGACTGGCACTATCCATGTGTACTTGTACGTGGTGAAAAGACTCGTATATCTTAGAATATCGCAGAAAATTTCTGTATAAGAATCAAGCTCCTGTCCAAAAATAAACAGCCTATCAAAATGGGAGCAAGCGCCTTCCTCGACAGGTTAGGCTGAGCCGCCTGGCCAGGCCTCCGCCCTCATCTCTTACGCACTTTGATCTTGTCCCTTCAGCGCTGATGAGTTTGTGTTAGTTTTGAAAAGGAAACAGCCAAATTGATCACATGCAAAAAAGGTGTTCCTTTAGTTTGCCCAAACATGTAATGATTGTGGACTGGAAAATTTTTAACCCGTATTGTAATAGCTTAATATAGTAAAGAAGCATGAGGGTGATCTTAAAAGCATAGGTACTTTGTGTGGATAATTTGTGGGAATGTGCTTCTATTTTCCAAATGCAGGGAACCCGAGAACAACTGTAAAACGCATTGAAAGGAAGGGCTAGTAATGCAAAGGCTACGTTATCTCTGAAATCAGCATGTTGGGCACGTACACAGAGCTGAGTTCTGGAGCACCTGGGTTTTCATAGCCATGATGAGTACAGGAATAGAACACCTGACAATGCAAATGCTTTCCAAACAAATTTGGTTTTTCTGTGGGGTTAAAACCTGTTATTTCCAGAGAGTGATTATTATGAGAGGTTCATTATCAATTATTTAGTATCTCCGTAATTATTTAAGAGGGAATAAAACTTAGAAGAGTTGACTTTGAAAGAAAGGAGCGACCTGTCTGGACAGTTGGTTTATTATCAGAATACAAACTCCTAGTGTTTTTGGAGTTTTTGCAAAGGTGTTGCCATTTTGTGCACAGCCGTCCAGGCTCGCCCGTCCCTCCGAGTACATTAGCCTTGCATGACTGGGCTGTGGTGGGGTTCACAGCTGCTCCAGTTATCTTGCCAGAAGGGACACGCGGCCCTGTCCACCTTCCAGTCTTCTCCCGTGGGCCCTGCAAAAGCCTGTGGGTTGGGAAGTAGCGGACGGTCTGCCTGTGGTCTTCACTCCAGTGTGAGCTCCCTAAGGCTTGCTCACACACGTGTGCCCGGGCACTTGCCACTGTTGCACGTTGTGTCCAGGGCTCTGTCGGTTTTAACTCTGCTTTTGCTGACAGTTTCTGTTCTAGGTTAGGCCCTGCTACTTCACAGCGAAGGCACCACCTGCCAAGTGAAGTTGGCTCTGTGTGACTGTGGGCGGGCCTGGCCGGAAGCGCATCTGGAGAAAGGGGCAGGGCCATTTCTCTCCGGGGGCTTCAGACTCCTGCTTCCCTCCACTCTTCTCCCTCAGCGGCAAGAGCCTTTGCGCCTGCCCCTTTGCACTTGGCCCAAGGTGGCAGCCTCTGTCCCTGTCTTAGCTCTTGACACCTTCCTGGCTCAGTCCCTGTCTTCATGGCAGTTTCCTCAGCCTCAGACCTGCTTGTCCCAGGGTGTCCTGGCTGCTAGCCGTGGGCCGCTGGCCTGCCAGGGATTGGTTGTGGTTGTGGCAGGGGCAATATAGGGAGGACTATCCGCTCCTGGGTAGCCATTCCAATAGACTCCACGCTTCCCAGGAGCGAACGAGGAGTGAGCATGTCCGCACCGTCGCCAGCCATAGGTATCTGTCTTGTCTTCTCTGTTGGCCAGTGAGTGAGGAACGTGACAGAGCAGGACTTTGTTTTCTCTTCTGACATTTCCAGGCCTCTCGTTAGTGATAGTACAAAAAATGTTATGTGTTCAGCACGGACCCGGTCTAGCTTGGGCTGGCTGGAGACAGAAACAGGCCTTGCTGGCCACACAGCACTGCCCGGAGCTTCTCGCCCAACTCCGGACGCCGGGGGCTTTTCCACTTACCCTGTGGCAGCTCCAGCAGGTGCGAGCCGGGTCGCTGGCCCTCCTTGGGCCTCAGGTAGAGTTCCCGCAGTCAGAAGATGTCCTTCATCCTGTGACTGTAGCTGTCGGTGCTGATCCGTGCCCCATGGTGACCCTTTCGGTGCTGCCTAGGCCAGGACTCTCAGGCTCCAAGACTGTCTGCGCTGTGATGCTGTATCTCTGCTCCATACAGCTGAGGGATGTGAGGCTAAACCTGTGAGTTTGCCTGACTCTGCATCTTCCTGGGGAGGTGATGCACCCTCAGGTGCCCCCAGCACTGCTCTGTTCTCCAGGGGCAGCAGTCTTCAGCCGTGCTGTCTGCTGTGCCCGTTCTGCGTGGTCTGCCCTCCATGTGCCCTTGGCCCACTGCTGTGGGGTGGGTGGGCTGGGGTGGGGGCTTGCGCATTAGGCAGCAACCCTGAGGCCCGGGCCGGCTGGGTGCGGTGTCTGCCAAGACCACCGAGGCAGCACACAGGAACCTTATGCCCTTGTTGGAACTGGAACAGACGGGGCCTCGCTGCTCCGGTAGGGTGGAGGCCCCGGTCAGTGTTGTGCATTTTCTGGTATTTTCCTTGAGACTTGTATTTTTGTGTGAAAAATTTCCCCTTTTTTTCCAAATTTTTTAAAAGATTGATTTATGTATCCAAGAGCTGGGATATAGGCCAGAGGTGGGGGTGGGGTGTGAGAGGATTCCCCAGTGACAGGGTAGGGAACAGAACAGGCAGACTGACTAAAATGCACTGCTGAGGGGAGCAGCGGGGAGACAGGAGAGGTCTGCTGTGCCCTGTGGGTAGCTCCCTGGCCGGGGATCGAACTCATGCTACAGAGGCTGGTGATTGCTTCATAAGTGCTGTGCTTAACCCCTTGCACCACCAGAGAGGCCCCCTTTTTTCATTTTTTAAATATAAAATAAGAGGTGTCCGGGCCAGCAGCGTGTGTGGGCTCTGAGCTGAGAGACCTCACAGACTGCCGCGTGGGCACTGTCCCGCCGGAGGCGGTGGGATGTGTCATTCTCCCCACACCCGCCTGCGGTGAAAGTATCAGAAGTTGAGGCACATTTGAGAAACACTTTCCAAACACCATCGCTTGCCTGGCCGACCTTGGCCGTGCCCAGACCGAGCACGTTAGCATAAGTGGACCTGATCGTCTCTCTCAGCGTGTTCCCCAATGAGCGTCATGACGGTGACACAGCGTGTGCTGCCCAGGGTGGTCTGTGCGGAACCGTGGCCGCCAGCCCGGTCTGCATTTGTGCCCCCAGTGTGGGCTGCTGCCCTCCTCCGTAGCAGCCAAGGGGCCTCAAGCATCTGCCTCCCTGGGGCCCTGAACATGCCAATATCAGTGGTCTTGTGGGTGGTGCCTACCTTCCTGGCCCCGGCTTCCACCAAATCAAGAGGGTGACGGTGGTGACAGCTCGTCATAGACGTGTGGTGATAAGTGACTACGCTTCTGCAGCTCAAGTTGCCATCGTGTCCTGGTTTCCACGTGCCTGAATATCTCCCCTTAAAGTGTTAGTTCTCTAGAGCCATAGAATTCTGGACATTCCTGGTTAGGGACAACAGCAGTGACCCCATCCAGTTCTCAGCTGGATGGTGTGCAAACCCCCACTTTGGTGGGTGCGGTCAGTTCACGTCGCTGCAAGCTTTGGTTTCTGGGTGGGAGAAGGTGACAGACAGGAAGTCAGAGACGGACACAGACAGGCAGACGGCGCTTCGGCTGGCACTGGCCATGGGGCTCTGGAGAGGTCAGGAGAGAAGCTCTGCAGGACCCACCTCGCCGGGGAAGTGCTGCCCACCGACGCAGACCTGGTGAGGCAAGGGCATGGCCTTCATCGTGGTGCTTAATGAAAGACCAGTCTGCTGACATTTCTGGAGACCTGGTGGTGGGCAACAGCGGTGAGGCTGCTCGATGCCCAGGAGTGTCACTTCCCTTGGCTCTGAGACACTTCTGCCCCAGACCCAAGTGGCAGCACCTGGTTTGCCAGTTGGGGTTCTCGGGAATGGACTCTTGAGCAGCCCTAACATCTACACTGGTGACTTTGCGCACGTGACCGGTGTGTTGGTGCGATGTGGGGCCTAGCGCACGCTTCCCGCTGCGTGGAGACTGGACTCAGCAGTCTCTTCTGCCTCCGCGAGGTCGTTCTTAAGTGCATTGGCACCTGTAGGGAACAGTCTCCTGAGCCACATGCACTCTGGTGCCGTGGTCTCTGGGCCTGCTTGCGCCCGCTGTCCGCCCCCGGGGCATTCGCGCCATTGGCGCCCGCGCCAGTGCAGTGAGGGAAGCGGGTGGCGCCTGGGCTGACCTGCAGGTGCCCTGGAAGGGTGGGCCTCCCGGGAGGTGGGGCACACTGGAGGGCAGGTTGCAGGTCGGCATGGTGGCGACTTGGGCGAGAGTCCACAGGGGCCGCAGGGCCCAGCCTTAGTGGGGTGGCAATGGCAGACTCCCAGCCCCGGGAGACCTGGTGCGGGAGCAGCTGGGTGGGCGGCGGTGCTGCTTCAGGAGCTCTCGGCCACGGGAGTGACCTGGTGCGCGCTGGGCAGTTGCAAGATCGGGGAGTTTGCGAACAGATGCGTGTACCTGCAGCCGTGTCCGGGCCATGGCTGGATTTGGTTGGAGCTCAGGCACAGACCCCGGCTGCAGGGAACAGTCTGGAGTCATCGGCGATGACGGAGTCAGCTGAAGTCAGAGGAGCAGTCAGAACCCCGAGAAGAACGGTGTAGCCACCTGTGGGGTCAGGGAATAGGCGCTCTCGAGGGCGCCTGGCTACCCCTGGTGCCAGGGGCTGCAGAGAATGAACACCTGACTGTTCCGTTGGCGAGGCCGCCGGTGTGGTGGCACCGAAGCTGGCGGAAGGCACAAGAGTCCTGGGCCAGAGGCGGCGCCACTCACTGCCTGTGGCAACACTGTGTCCTGGCGCCAGCGAGGGTCACTCTACCCGGCCGGTGTCGAGGGGTGGCGGGTGGGAAGGCCCTCGGGGACCCGCCCGTCAGTGGCCTGCAGCAGGGGCACCGGAGTTCTCCACGCGGGTCCTTTAGAACAGCTGGGACTGGCCTGTCCCCTCTGCTTCTGGCCGCCTCCCCGCGGCCTGTGGGGGAGCAGATGCCGGGTTGTGGACGCCGGAGAGGGTGTTTCGGGAAGGAGGAGGGTGCCAGCTCTGGAGTCCGGGTGAGCGGCCGCGAGTGAGGGTAGAAATGAGGTCGCTGTGGGCTGGACAGCGAGTGGACAGTAGGAAAGTGACACTGGGTGTAGCTCATGCCCAAAAATCGGATGAAAGCCTGGAGGAAGGATGCGAAGTTGCTTTTTGCTGGGACTGGGTGCTGCTCCTGTGCTGCTGGGCCGGCCGCTCAGGGACGACACCGGGCAGGAGGCCGCACTCCCGGCTGGGTGGCATCAGACCGGTAGACGCGGGCTCCTGTGGGGGTGGGAGGGGCCCGCAATGCCTTCATCCGGGAAGGGCCGGCTCCAGAGCCGCTTGGTCGTGGACTGGTGCTTGGGGTGGGGACCTCGGGCCTGTCCCCTGCGGCCAGAGGATCTGCAGCTGCGTCCACTTGGGCTGGGCCTGCTCGCAGTTCATGTGGGTGAGTGCCACCCTCCCTGCCCGGGGTCCCGGTGCCGGGCCTTTGTGCCCAGGGTCGCAGCGGACCTCTCGCGGGTCGCAGTTGGGGTGGGGCGCGGTGGAGCTTCTGGCTCGCCCAGGGTTTCTGCCCAGCGGGAGGCGGGAGAGCAGACGTGGATGCGGGCCCTGCGCTTGGGCTGACCACACATGGAGAATCGTGTTCGCCTGAGTGCCTGTTGGCCCGGTGCTCTCTCCGCAGACGCGCTGCCCTTCTCCATCCGGGTGCTGCTGGAGGCTGCCGTGCGCCGCTGCGACGGCTTCCTGGTGCGCGAGGACGACGCGCTGGCCATCCTGGACTGGCGAGCCCGGCGGGGTGGCGCTGAGGTGCCCTTCTTCCCCGCGCGTGTGCTGCTGCAGGACTTCACGTGAGTGCGGGCTGTGCGGCCCCTCTCGGGCCCGCCGCCCTCTCAGGCCCTCCCCCCTCAGGCCTGCCGCCCTCTCAGGACCCCCCTCAGGCTCGCGACCAGGCCCGTGGCCCTCTCAGGACCCCCCCCTCAGGCCAGCGGCCCTCTCAGGCCCTTTCCCCCAGTGGCTCCCCCCCACTCAGGCCCTCTGCCCTTTCAGCCCCCCCCTCAGGCTCATGGCCCTCTCAGGACCCTCCCCCCCAGGGCTGCTGCCCTCTCAGGCTTGCTGCCCTCTCAGACATTACCACCCCCCTTACCCACCTCAGGCCCAAAGGACTGTCCTGCTCCCTGTCCTCACGCCGTGCCCTGTCCCTCATGCCCTGCCCTGTCTCTGCCCCGCCCCTCATCCTCCGCCCCCCGCAGCCACCAGCCTTGTCTTTTTGCTGGAGAGGCAGTGACTGGTCAGAAAAAAGCCCCGATCCCACCCCTTATGCACTTGGCTTGTCCCCAGGCATAAAATCCCGCCATCTCCTGGGCCCCTGGGGCCCGCTGGCCGAGGGAGGCAGGAGCTGCAGGAGCGGCCTCCCCTTGCAGATTCGGGGTGGTGCTGCTGCCCCAGTGCCAGGCACGCAGAAATCCCCGAGGGCAGAGCTCCCCCTTCCTTGGCTCCGGTCCCACGTCGGGAGCACTTTGGGGTCACGGGGGGATCCTGGACGTGCGCTGGTTGGAGCTGCCCAGTGGCCATGCTGGAGGAACAGGAGAGCCGTGAGGGAGAGTCTGGAGCTGGGGGCAGCATGAAACCAGAGCAGGAGAAAGCCTTGGCCGCTCCCCGGGGTCTTCTAAGTGTCATCCATGTGTGCTTCGGCGTGTCTGCCCTTCGCACTCAAGCTTTCCGGCCGTGTGTCGGAGTTGGTCCTACCCGAGCAGGGCACGTGGTCAGACAGGCACGCGAGCTCAAACTTTTTAAGCATAAAAATAAACTGATGTGTGTCAGTCATTCAGAACTGCGGTTTGTCCACTCTTTGTTTTGTAGCGGGATTCCGGCCATGGTGGATCTCGCTGCTATGAGGGAGGCAGTGAAAACGCTTGGAGGGGACCCTGGGAAAGTCCACCCCGCCTGTCCGGCAGACCTCACTGTGGACCACTCTCTGCAGATTGACTTCAGCAAATGGTATTTCATAGGGAACCGGGGAAACAGGCGTGGGGTTGGGGGTGCACATGGCCGGTGCCCAGGGCTGCGGTGGGGGTGCTGCTGTGTCGTGGGAGGCTGAGCGAGGCTGGCGCTGGCCAGGGCTGCTTGAGTCACTTTGAGTTAAACATTATTTTCATGTTTTTTTATTTCTGCTGCAATTTTGGGTAGGAATTTCTAAGATTAGAATTTGCTTTTTGGAGTGAATTGTCCAAATTCTGTTTCTTTTTTTAAGTTGATTTTTTTATTTTTTGGCAGAGAAGAACTGGGGTGCAGGCCAGAGGTGTGGGGGTTAAGAGGATTCACCAGAGACAGAGTGGGGAGCAGAACAGGTGGATCTACTGAAACACACTGCTGAGGGGAGCAGTGGGGAGTCAGGAGAGGTCTGCTGCGCCACGTGGGTAGCTCCCTGTCTGGGGATCAAACTCAGGCTGCAGTGGCTGCGGGCAGCTTCATAGTGCTGAGACTGACCTCTGCGCCACCAGGGAGGCCCGAACGTGACGAGTATTTTGTGGGGCACTTAGAATTATGTTTTGTTTCTAAATTTAAGTGACCTGTTCTTGTGTGTGTGCTGGTGACCCGAGACGTGCCGCGGGGCCCGCGGTGAGCTGTGCTCTGGCTTTCGGCGTGGGCGTGCGCTCCCGGGGCAGCTCCTGTGTGTTGTCATCTTAGCTTCATTTCTGTTTCACTTAAATGATTTTCTTTTTTTGAATGACAGTGCGATACAGAATGCCCCAAACCCCGGCGGTGGGGACCTGCAGAAGGCAGGGAAGCTCTCCCCACTTAGAGTCCAGCCCAGGAAGCTGCCCTGCCGCGGCCAGGCCCCCTGCCGCGCGCCCTGTGACCCCGGAGAACCCGGCCGGCCCTCGGGACAGTGCTCCCCGCAGATCGAGAACACGCCGCTCCTGTGCCCCTTCCACCTGCAGCCAGTACCTGAGTACGCATCTGCGCAGACCCCCCGTCTGGCAGGGCACACCTGTACTTCCTGAGTTGCTTAGTATCAGGAACAGTTTTAATATTTTTTTGCAAATATAATTAGTTTTTTAACTAACGTAGGTAGAAAAATGGGATCTCATTTTAAGCTGTGAATTTTTCATTTCAGTGAATTTGAATTTGTGCCCTTTCCATGTTTTATTGTTAATTCCTACCTTTTTTGTGTGTTCCCCATTTGTACGTCCAGCTTTTCTTCCATGCCACATCACCTGTTTTTATCCACTGCCTTAAGAACTGTACTCACCCGTAGGTGAAGGGGGGCGGAAGGGGTGGGCATTAAGCTCATGACTGCAGGGGACAGAGTGGAGGCGCTGGCGGGGGCAGGGGTAGGTGAGACGGCCAGGGGTTAAGAAACAGATCTCGTTAGACACGTCATGAGGCTATAGATACTTGGCTGCCTCTTGGCCCCATGGAAAATAGCAGACCTGCCTGGGAGCGAATCCTGTTCCTAGCAGTTGGTTACAGTCCCTAATAGTTAAACAAAACAAGTGAAAAAGTTATACAGCTTAAGTTTTTATATGCTATAGTCTCTGAAAGCACATTGGGCTGCGGAAAAGTCAAAGTCAGGACTTTTAAGGGTGATGTCGTTTCGTTTACTGCCCCGTGCCGTTTACCGCATTGCCAGTGGACTTAAAAAAGAAAAACAAAAAACTGATTTTCAAAAGATTTTTAAAGAGCCCCGAAAAATGGCTTGCTTTTTTAAGTGTAAAGAAACTTAACACAATTAAGATTTAGAATAGCTAAGAGTAATATTCATGCATAGTTCACTTAAGTGCCAGTTAATGTATTAATTCATTTATTCCTAATCTGAATCTTTGAAATTCTGTTCCTAAAATTTTGGGTTCACTATTTATAAAACCATGTGTGTTCTTTAAAAATTCAGTATAATCTGGGTTCTTTGCTATCAAATTGTGACAGTTTATGTGAGTCCGCCTAAGTCTTGCTGCCTAGTTATCCTGATTGTTAGGGGCATGTTGACATTTGCGATTAACATGTTTTTATACAGAAATTAATTTCCTAAAAGGAAGATTTATTTTAAAACTCAGAGCTTTTCTTAAGTGGCAGAGTATGAAGGGCTAAGATAGTTTTCTTTTGCTTCTAAAAGTCCAGTCTGGTTTAATATTTCCCATCTGCTTTTACTCTTAATTTAAAAAGTATTGAGATGAGCGATGTTGTTGTCGCTGGCTGAAGGAGTCTGTCTCCTGTGTGTTTTCATGTGTCAGGTATGTTTACAGACTTGCAAAAATGTCAAGAATAGAAAGGTGGGAGATCCTGGCTCTTGGTCAATTATGAGCTGAGAAGTGCCTGGATGGCAGCTTGTGGCTTTGTGTGTTCTGCAGCTGTGGGGGTGGCGGGCTCTGGACATCTTTGCTCCCTGGGGCCCTCGGAAAAGCCTCACCAGGCTGTGTCGTGACCCCAGGGCTCACCCAGTGATGGATTATTAAGGTGGTCTTTGTTAAAAGGCAAAGTGGACAGTTAAACAAGTATGATTGTCTGGACCCTGGAGGACATGCATAATTCAATCATATCGATATTCTGGGCGGCGCTTAATCACTAGCTGGAGGCTGAAATAAGCAACTTAAAGCTGTTAGAAATAATTTAAAAAATATACCGGTTAGATCAAATGAAGTTTTCCTTCAAAAATGGCACTGATTTTATGGGTTGGAGGTGAATTGTTGGGGGCCTTGGAGTAAGTAATCCATGTGAAATGTGATCTGCCTAAAGCAAGCTGCTGCTTACACCAGATGGAACCTTCGCTTGGGTGAGAGGAATACAAGATTTTTGCCAGAAGTTCTTTTTACATACAAACCTTGACATCGTTATGACATACATAACCAGTGTCCCCCTCCCAGTGTAAGGCAACACGGAGTCACGGGGTGAGACACACGCACTCAGGGCCCAGGGCCTCATGTCTTTCCCGGTGGAGGGCCAGTGTGGCCCATCCTGTCCTGGCGGGCTGTGCCTCACCGCACAGAGCCACCTGGGGTGCTGGTGTAGGCAGCGCCTCTTTGTTGAGAAGAAGGCAGCTCCTGCTGAAAAATCCAGTGAGAGTGCAGGGCTGTTGTGTGTCTGAGGTGTGGGCTTGGGGGCACACGCGGTGCGTCTTCTCTGGGATGCATTTAATACCGGCTTTTCTCTCTCTCAGGCCTGAAACAGTGTTGAAAAATCAAGAAATAGAATTTGGCAGAAATCGAGAACGGCTTCAGTTTTTCAAGGTATAAATGACTTGGGGGAAACTTTTGTGTTGACAGTTACAAACTATTGGTAGGTACAGCGTTTATGTCTCTAGACGAGTAATTGTTAGACACTTCCCGGCAGTAGAGCCCTTTTACTGCTTCAGTAAACTCTTGGCAGAGCCCCCGTGGATAAAACAGGTGAGACGGGAGAGTCCTGTGCCGGGGGCTAGGCGCTGTGCTGGCGCCTTCCCTTGTCCACGTGCGGCCGGAGCGGGAGACTGCTCCTCTGGCTCCAGGATGTCCCCTCTGCCTCTGCTTTGTCTCAGCGATCTGCTCGCGGAGTGTGTCATGTTTTGTGTCAGCACATTTGGTTTCATGTCATGTAAACTCTGATCGTGCTGAACATTGGTAAATTTTTCTGTCAATATTTACTTGTATCGTGATTGTGAGCACAAGTTCATGTAACCTGCTAACACTTGGATTTCTTAAATTAAACACAATACAGTGGAGTTCAAGAGCTTTCAAGGATGTGGCTGTCATCCCTCCTGGAGCTGGGATGGCACATCAAGTGAACTTAGAGTTTCTGTCGAGAGTGGTTTTTGAAGAAAAGGACCTTCTCTTCCCGGACAGTGTCCTTGGCACAGATTCTCACATAACCATGGTGAACGGCTTGGGGATCCTGGGGTGGGGTAAGTAAACACTGGACATACTTACTGTGGGCAGAGCAGGGAGGATGTCAGGGACATTATAAGAGAAAAGCAGCTGCTTTTTTGTGGTCTCTTTGAAAATGTTTTTCATCTATAACTACAGCAACAAAAATGATACCTTAAGTGGTCGGGACAGTGTAGGGGAAGGAGCCGTGAAGGGCACCCCCGGTGTTCACGGGTGGCGGGGCGAGGTAGCGTCTGCCAGGGCGGTGTGCTCGAGGCCCCTACGGTGGCTCCTGGCTCCCTGCATTCTATGCCTGGCCTTGCCAGCCTGGCCCTCTCCGCCTGTGCTACCGCCCGTGTGGCCCACATGGGCTGCCTCCAGCACGATGCTCTGCTCCAGGGGTCGTGAATTGTGGCTTTTTGTCTTTGTCATTGAGTTCAGGGTGGCTGGCAGGGGCTGGGTTCTGCTGTGACCTGGCGTGATCAGCATTAGTGCAGCTGAGCTCCTGTGATGGAAAGGTAAAGACCAACTTTCTGGTCACGTGGTGGAGCCTTTTTTAAAATTTATTGTGTGTAGAAAAACTGGGATACAGGCCAGAGGTGGGGGGGTGAGAGGACTCGTCAGAGCAGATTAGGCGGATCCACTGAAACATACTGCTGAGGGGGTAGCGGAGGACAGGAGAGGTCCGCTGCGCCCTGTGGGTCAGCTCCTGGCTGGGGATGGACTCGGGCTGAGGTGGTGACTGCCTGAGACTGACCCTGGGCCACGGCGCAGCCCTGGAGCCCTTTCCTCGAGCGGACTTGTGTGTCATGCCTTGTCTGCGGCAGCCAAGCTGGCACCACATAGGCGGGGGCGTCACGGAGAAGGCGCCTCGCCTGCCCCTGTTCACCTGCCCGTCGTTGCTGCAGGGGTCGGCGGCATCGAGACAGAAGCTGTCATGCTCGGCCTGCCAGTCTCCCTCACTCTGCCAGAGGTGGTTGGATGCGAGTTAACCGGGCCGTCAAACCCTTTCGTTACGTCCATAGACGTTGTTCTCGGCATCACAAAGGTAAGTTCAGGCTGTGTCACATGCTGGACCCTTTCACGAGTGGAGGGGCCGAAGAGCAGGGCCTGGCGCGAGGCACGCCCTGTCCCCTCACAGGTGGCCGCCGTCGCATGGCCATAGCAGAGGGTGACACGGTGTGAGGGCGGGCGGTCCGCTGTCACTGCTCCTTCCCACATGCTGCTAACATGGCTACTGCCACAGGCCCGTTTTCCTGAGACAGCGGGACGCAGCAGGGCTGGTGCTGCCCAGAGGGCAGGGGCTCAGTGGAGAGCAGGGCTGTGGCCGTGAGGCCACCCACTGTGGTGCTCGCTCGGGTCTCCCCAGTTGCCGGCTGCGTGAGCAAAAATGGTGTTTAGCAAAACATCCTCAGTATTTAATCAGAGCATTTCCCTTCAGAAGTTATCCCTGTGCTTGACGACGCCTTCCAGTTTACATGCTGTGAGGAAACGGGGTTGGGCCGTGGGCTGTGGGCACATTGCTCTGCGGTGTCTGTAGGAGCTGCTTCTCGGCGCAGAGCCGCGTTGGCTGCGCATGGCCTCCTCGGTCACGAGGATCCTCCTGAACTTCTGGTTCTCATTAGCTGGAATGCCCGAGTCCCGTTTTGCTAAGTGGAGGGAGCGGGCGAGCGCCCCCTTGAGCTCCCTGGCCCCGAGGTCTCAGCGCTTTTGTTGAGCTCTTGGTCTGCAGCCTCCCAGGGGAAGGGAGGGCCTCGACCATTGACCCTTCCTCCTAATGAGAGGGGATTTGACATCTTAGGTGATTGATCAGTGAACACTACAAAGGGTTGTGGACTCAAATTGGGAACTGCAGGTTATTCCTAAAGGACAAGGGGCCCATTATGCTTCCAGATAAATCACTTCTTTCCTGCGGGCATCCTGGAAATGGATGCTGCTTCTCAGATCCCCCGGCTGTGCTTTTTCCCCTAACAATGTTGCTCCCTGTTGTTGAGTCAGAGTGACTGACATGCGTGTGTTCACAGTTACCCCGTGTTGTCCCTCCCTGGGGCCCCTGAAGGTAGCGCTTGGCAGAGCTAATCGATACAGCTTCGTCCTCAGAACAGCAAGGAGGTTTCCTGCCCAGTCACCCCCGCGCGCTCCCCCTTGCAACCTGAGCGTCTTGCGGTTCAGAGAGTGAGCAGCGGATCTGATGACCTGCCTGTGACAAGGAAAATTACTTGAGAAGTTCAGCTTGCAGATGTGTGAAATCCTGTCAGAGTGGAGTTAGGATTAGTAGTGCTAAGAATATTTCAGCTCGCAACTGGAAGTTGGAGAGTTTTTATATGTGGTATATAAATTTTTTATTAAAATACAGTTTCACAGCATGTTGGTTTTTAATTAGACCTGAGGGCCTGTCAGTGACTAGCAGCACCACTGATTTTTGTTCTGCTGAGAACAGAAAGACGCCCCATCTGATCTAAGGTTTGCCTGGCCCCGCGGACTTGGCGGGAGCGACTCTGCGCCCCAGGAGCCTCCGGCACCATCGGGCCACGCTCCCGCAGGTGCTCTGGGGACTCCCACGGCCGGCAGCAGCGGCCCTTCCAGCGCTGCCGTTGCAGAGAGCCCAGGCTGACGTCGCTCATGCCCGGCTCACCTCTCCGCATGTCCCCCTGCAGCACCTCAGGCAAGCTGGAGTAGCCGGAAAGTTCGTTGAGTTTTTTGGAAGCGGAGTTGCGCAGTTGTCTGTCGTGGACCGAACTACGATCGCTAACATGTGTCCCGAGTACGGTGCCGTCCTCAGCTTTTTCCCTGTTGACAATGTGACGCTGAAGCACTTAGAACACACAGGTAAGAAGAGCGGTACACGCGCGGCGCCTCGCGCTGCAGTACTCTGTCCTCACTGCCTTGAGCACACTTTAACATGAACGAAGTTCCTGCCTGTGAAACAGCGACAGAGACGCCGCAGATGTCTCTATGGAGTGCCGCGCCCTCAACTCCCAGCCCCTCGTGGCTTGGGATGGCTCTTCCCCGTAGTTACGGACTCCATCCTCCTTCAGGGCGTGACCCCTGGGCAGACTCAGTCTGCACGTGTCCATGCCCCTCCCTCCCTTCATCGCCCAGGCGCCCGTCCGGAGGCGTGCACGTAGTGGGGAGAGGCAGCCGAGGCCGGGGGCCCGGCTCCTCACTGACCAGCGGTCTTGGCCGCTGCCCGCGGCAGGGACTGCAGAACCGCATGCGCGCATGCCCGGGCCCCACCTCCGGGCGTCCAGGTCTCTCTCCCCGTCCACTTCCTTTCTGTCAGATCCCGCTCCTGAGGCGGCATCTGTCACCCTGGCCAGCCAGGGAGGTGAGTCCAGTGTTCCTCAGTTCGGAGGCAGAAGTGGCCGCGCACGGGTCAGTGCAGGACGGACAGCTGGCGTCTGTGGGGTGGGGTGGGGGGTGTCCCTCGCGGGGCATGGAGCTTCGCTGAGCGTACTGTGTGGGATGGACGTGTGGGGGGGGGTGGCTGCGGAAGCCGTGAGCACCGCGCTCTGATGGGCAGGTCACCCGGGGCCAGCGGCTTCCGTGGCTGCTGCTGCTCGCTGTGGTGTCTGCCACCCCGTCCTCTGCGGCAGGGCCTGGGGCCTGTGGGCCCTTCCATGGCTGTGGCGTCCGCAGGGCTGGTCTGGGCTGCAGCCGGGCCCCTGTGGGGTGACGTCGGGGCGTGTGCCTGAGCGCGGGGAGCCGGGGGCCAGCGGGCAGGGCCCAGCTGAAGCAAGTCCTTGCTGCCGGCGTCTTCTCAGATGTAGCGCGCGCCACCCAGGGCTCGCTGGATGCCCAGCCGTGCTGCCTCGGCCTTTCCGCTCTGTGAGACTTTCCTTTCCTTCTTGTCCTCTGACGCCCAATGCTGTCTGTTGTTGTCATTTGTCGTTGTTACTGTGTTTATTTTCTAGGGAGGGAGTGAACCCCACTGTTGGGATGAGCAGTGGTGTGTCGAGTCCAGTGCTCATGCTGTGACGGACCTTTTTTTTTTTTTTTTTAATAGAGGCATGTTTTTATTTATTTGTTTGTTTTGCTTTTTGTTTTGTTTGTTTGTTTATACATGCACTGGGTACAGTCAGAAGCGCGGGAGGGTGAGAGAATTCACCAGAGCCAGAGCGGGGAGCAGAGCAGGCAGAAAGACCGAAGCACACTGCTGAGGGGAGCAGCGGGAGGCAGGGGAGGTCCGTGCGCCATGTGGGACCCTACTCTGGTGGCCGGGTAGCAGCCGGGGATCGAACCGGCGCCGCAGAGGCTGCGGGCAGCTTCGCAACCCAGCGCTCAACCGCTGCGCCACCGGGGAGGCCCTGTGACGGACCTTTAATTGGGATGGTTCCCTTTTGGTTTATTGGACTCCGATGTACTTTTTTTTTTTTTTAAGATTTATTTATTTATGCATACAAGAACTGGGGTACTGGCCAGAGGTGTGGGGATGAGAGGGTTCACCAGAGACGGAGGGGGGAGCAGAACAGGCGAATTTACTGAAACACACTGCTGAGGGGAGCAGTGGGCATGACAGGAGAGGTCTGCCACGCCATGTGGGTTGCTCCCTGGCCGGCCCGGATCGAACCCACACTGCAGAGGCTGCGGACAGCTTCATAGTGCAGTGCTTAACCCCTTGCGCCATCAGGGAGGCCCCTGATGTACATTTTTTTAAAACCTTTTTCCTTTATTGAGGTAACATCAGCTGAGAACGCTGTATGTGACTTAGGGGCGCAGTCACGTCTCCTCTGATGTAGGGCGCAGGCCCACCCCCAGCACACCCACACCTTGTGCCCTGGAATCCCAATCCCCCCGCTTCCTGTAGCCTCACTTCTCTAGTCCTGTGGGGCTTGTTTTGGTTTAGTTCTGGCAGCTTCCTCTCTCTGTGCGACGTGTGTGAGTGACGCCACCTGGCCTTGGTCCGTCATCTTCTGACTCGTGTCCGTAGCATGTCTCCCTCTAGTGTTGCTGAGCGACTTTTAAATGGGTGGGTGGGTGTGTGTGTGCGCGCGCGTGCGTGTGCTGCTGCTTATTTTATAAAGTGGAGTTTTCTTGAAAGTTATAATTTTTACTATTGTGGACAATGTGATGTTCTGATAACTGTGTCCTGAGTTCATTGTAATCTGGGTGTTTCTTGCTCGTTTTAGAATTCAGTGGCACACACTAAGATTTTAGAATCTTAAAATCTTTCACTGCATTTCTGTTGTTGTTCTTGATCTTTTTAGGTGTTGACAAAGCCAAACTCAAGTCAATGGAAACCTACCTTAAAGCTGTGAAATTGTTCCGGAATAACCAGAATGACTCAGGAGAACCTGAATACTCCCAGGTGTGTGCAGGAGGGCCTGGTAGAAATGCGTAAAGGGAACGAAATATGAAAGTTAAGAGTGTAGATGCTGGGCCCCATCCTGGCCGCGTCCTGGCTCCGCAGGCGTTCACCGAGCCTCCTGCCATAGTTGCCTAACCCTGCGCTGTGGGAGCAGCGTCCCCTTGTGGGGGCTGAAGTGATTCAGCTCAAATGCAGACACACAATGAGTGCTCGGGAATGTGAGCCTTTGTCAGTACACACGTGTTACTTGTGACTCTGCTTTTGAGCTTTTTTCATTAGTTTTATGTAGATTTGTTAAATTATTGACTTTTTTGTCATGTTTGGTTCTTTTTTAATTTAAAATAGAGAATGGAAGCGAGTTGTGTGGTGCTCCTGTGCTCTGCCTTGTTGGGTGCAGCCTCTGCGTCCCGTCTGGGGTGGGGGTGGGGGGTGTCTGTCAGAGTGACGCAGGCAGAGTGTCTGGGACACACGGCGCACCTGGGCCTAGTGCGGGTACACGTAGCATCCAGAGGCGTTGAATTTGTGTGATACTTTGGGCAAATCTTTGAATATCTCTGGTTATTTTCTTATCCTTGCATCTGTGTGTTGAATTTAGTGGTTTGTTCACATTACAAAAATGAAGGACATACAAGGGAAGAATTTGGGGGGGCGGAGGGAAAACTTGGGTGATGTAATAGTGGACTGTAAAATTGGCCTCTTATAAACTTGACCTGATTAAGAAATAAAACTACGACTTACCAGGGTGTTGCTTTCAAGAGAAACTCCCCAGTGTGCATGTCAAAGCAGGCAGATAAACAGGCACTGCAGCTGTGGTCAGTCAGAATAGCAGGGCCCTCAGGTAATCCATGAATTGATGAAACCCAAATAATATACATAAAGGGAAAGGGTCGGAATTCCAGAAGAAATATACAGAAAGTTGGGAGATGGGATTTTGAGAAACAATGATTTCTAACCAAGTAATGAAAGCGAGACCTGTGGGGCCCTGGCTGGCAGCCCAAGCCAGGAGGGGCCTCCCCTTGCGTCCCTCCAGGACTGACGTAGCGCCCAGCAGGCTGGGGGAGTGGCCCTGCAGAGTGGGTGAGGAGGAACAGTCTGGGTGTGCAGGCTGCGACCAGAGCGCCCTGGGCAGTGTCCCTGAGCCGCGGCCATGCAGACGGGGCTGTGGGCACAGTGGGCCCTTTGCTTGCCTGGCTGCCATGGTCTCCTCGCACCTGCTGGCCTGTGCACATTCTGTTTCTAACATGCATGCTTTAAAAATCTGTGCAGGGGGCCTCCCCTGCTGGCGCAGTGGTTGAGCGCTGGGCTGCGAGGCTGCCCTCAGCCTCTGCAGTGCCAGTTTGTTCCCCGGCCGCCGGCGAGGGTCCCACCAAAAAAAAAAAATCTGTGTGGGGCTGTGAGTCACCTTAAAGTCCCTAATTGAAAGAAACGTGAATATCCCCACTGTTTCAGCAGTCACGCTCATGTCAGACCTGAACTCGCAGATTATAGTGTCTTTCTGCTCTCACACCCCAGGTGATCCGGATCAACCTGAATTCCATCGTTCCATCCGTCAGCGGCCCCAAGAGACCCCAGGACAGAGTTGCTGTGACAGACATGAAGACTGATTTCCAAGCCTGCTTAAACGAGAAGGTACCCTACCTACCTGCCCGCCCGCCCACCCTCTGTGTTGCGCTTCCTGCTCTATCGTGAGCGCGTTGGGCTGTGGCCGTGCCTGCGTGGGCAACCCTCCAGCTGCCACGTCCGCTGCTGTCCAGAGCGTAGCCAGCCTGGGGGCTCCCCAGTTTCACCCAGGAGCAGAAGTTGATTGTGCTTATTTAATTTAAAATTGTCTTTAAAGCCAGATACAGTTAAGAGTTGAGTTGCGTGTGACCAGGCGGGGCTCACTTGGCACTGTGGGCGTGGGCAGGCTGGGTGGCGGGCGGCCCGCTGGCGCTTGAGTTTGGTAGTTTCCACCTGAGCATCGCAGCGTCCACCTTGTTCCTTCCCTTTGTTCTATAACTGGCAGCTGACTTCCTTTCCAGAGCCTTTCTTTTTATAATTTCTGGGCTTCTGTGTTGTGGACAGCTGCAGGTCTTCTGCACGCTCAGGGCCGTTTTGAGGCGCATCGTCAGTGCCGCTGTTAGCAAAGAAAAAGTTTGTGCTGTCCCTTGAGACTCACTGTCCAGGAACAGAGATGATCTGGGTCATGGGTGGCTGGCTAAACTCCGCGGAGGACAGCTGTGACCCCGCAGGCACCAGTCTCACTGGGCAAGCTCTAGGCTCAACTGGGTCTCGGTGCTGGTGCCCGGCCCCTCACCCACCAGGACTGCGACACGGCATCAGCAGGGGCAGGGATCAGCATGCTTGCCCTCCATCTCTTCCTGCATGTTTTCAAAGTACTTATTAGTCTGTGTCATTTGTGCCTTTGTATAGGTTGGATTTAAAGGCTTCCAAATCGCAGCTGAAAAACAGAAGGACCGCGTGTCCATTTGCTACGAAGGGCGCGAGTATGAGCTGGCCCACGGGTCTGTGGTCATGGCCGCCCTCAACAGCTGCACCAACAACTGCAACCCCTCGGTCATGCTGGCGGCAGGTGGGTGGCCCCGGCCCCTCGCACCCTCCCGCTCCCGGCCTTGCCCTCCGCCTCGCGGAGTGCACCTGCGCTTTATGTTTGTTTGATTTTAAGGAACCTGAGTTTTATTGTATTAAGAATTCTGCTTATTGCACAGGAGGTAGTTTAGTGAGCTGCGTGTCAATTTTCGGTTTCTTTCTTTCTTTTTTTTTTTTTTTTTTTTAAAGATTGATTTATTTATACAAGAAGCAGGGTACAGGCCAGATGCATGGGAGGGTGAAAGAATTCACCAGAGCCAGAGCAGGGAACAGAATAGGCAGACTGACGGAATACACTGCTGAGGGGAGCAGCGGGCACGACAGGAGAGGTCTGCTATGCCATGTGGGACCCTCACTGGCCGGCCGGGATCAAACTGGTGCTGCAGAGGCTGCGGACAGCTTCATAGCACTGCGCTCAACCACCTGCGCCACCAGGGGAGGCCCTTGGCTTGTTTGTTTCCGCAGTGCCCACAGCCCATGCAGGGGCTGGAGGCCATCCAGGCCGACCATGAGTGACGCCGGGCGTACGCCTGTGTGCACCTGTGTGGTGATGCTGGCTGCTGTCAGCTTGTCCTGCAGGGTGGGGGTGCTCAGCTGGTGACACCCACGGGCTGTGCCTTGTGAAGCCACAGCTAATTGTTTGGTGTCTGCTGTGGTTTTTGTTTTAAATGAAACAAACCAGTGGCATAGAATGGACCAGAACCTGCCAGTAAGGTCACGAATTGAGCCCTGACCTGACATGAGGCCGGTGTGCCATGCCAGCCCTTCGATGCCTGCCCTGACGCTGTGCTGTTGCCCTGCAGGTCTTTTGGCCAAGAAGGCTGTTCAGGCCGGTCTGCGCGTCAGGCCCTACATAAGAACCAGCCTGTCTCCCGGCAGTGGGATGGTCACGCACTACCTCAGCGCTAGCGGGGTGCTGCCCTACCTCAGCAGACTCGGGTGAGTGCAGCACCAGCGGGGCGGGTGGGAAAGCAGGGCCCCTCGCTGCTCCGCAGGGCTGACACCGGCAGGCAAGCTCAGCTAGCAGAGCCTGCGTGGGCACCGGGAAGCGCCTGTGGCCTCTGGCTTCAGGGTGGGAGGGCCAGGCAGGCCACACAGCAGAGGTGGAGCAAGGGCTGGTGCCCGGGACGTGCCACGTCCGTAGACAAGATCAGAAACTGGGTGGCGGTTTTGGTTGAGTTGGTTGTCTCTGCGAGTCCTCTGGTCCAGTGGGGCCTGCCCTGCTCCAGAGCTAGCGCAGGCCCTGGGTACGCCGTAGCACATGCCTGATGGGCGGTAGGCAGTGCCAGTCATCCAGGTAGTCATATTCCTGGAAGGTGGGACGCGTGGGTTCTGGGTCAGCGACTATCCTCACCCCAGGCTCTCCCGGCCGATGCCGTGGGCACCCCAGGGACGCCACCGCGGTGGGCAGGGGAGCAGGACGTGCTCTTTCTTTATAAACGTTACCACTCCTTTGCCCAATAGCTTTTATCTTGGGTCTGCAGGTTTGAAGTAGTCGGCTATGGGTGTTCAACCTGCGTGGGGAATACAGCACCCTTGTCAGACGCAGTTCTGAATGCAGTGAAACAGGTAAAATGTGGGAATCAGTAAAACAACTAGATGGTTGGTTTATTTATTTTAAAGATTTATTTTTATCTGCATACAAGAACTGGGGTACAAGCCAGAGGTTTGGGGGGGGGAGAGGATTCGCCAGATAGTGGGGAGCAGAACAGGCAGATCCACTGCTGAGGGGAGGAGTGAGGAGACAGGTGAGGTCTGCTGTGTGCTGGGGGCAGCCCCCTGGCTGGGGATGGACTCAGGCCACAGCAGTGACCGCCTGGGACTCAACGCTTAGGCCACAGGGAGGCTGGAATTTTTTTTTAGACTACAGTGTCTTGTTAGTTGGTAGGAATACACGTGGAAATATTTGTTTCTGTAAGTTCCAGTGCCTCTTGGGAAGAGTAATCTGTGAGTCATGAAGGATGTGATGTGATGTTGTGATAATCAGCGTAATCGCTAATGTAAAGTAAGGAATTAGTTTATTTACCAAATTGGGACTTCTGCGCCTACAATGAGGCGTGTGTGTTTCAGTGTTCGTACCCTTAGAAATATTTGAAATTACGTGTCATTATTCAAATTTGTGCTACCTTTTAAAGTGGATATTTATGTTTTTTTCCTACAGGGTGATTTGGTCACTTGTGGAGTTTTATCTGGAAACAAAAACTTTGAAGGTCGTCTCTGTGACTGTGTCCGAGCCAGCTACCTCGCCTCCCCACCCCTGGTGGTCGCCTACGCCATCGCGGGCACCGTGGACATAGACTTCCAGGCCGAGCCACTAGGTAGCGCCCTTCGCGTCCGTGTCTCGTGCGCACACTCCTTGCATGCACACATGCCTCCCGCGTGCACACGCCTCAGGCACGCACAGGCCCGGGCTGTTTCCGAGCTGCCCCTCGGGCCAGTTGCTCTTTGCACTCCATCTGAGTGTCGTCGTGTGCAGCTGCTGCCGGCCGCGTTCCCGCGCAGGGTGGGGTGCAGGGTCAGCCCCAGCGGCCACTGTGCTGAGTGTCTGTGATGTGTCCTTGGGGAGCTGTGGGCCGTGGAGCAGGTGCTGGGGCGTCGACTCACGGGGGTCTCTTGTGCAGGCGCTGACCCTGCCGGCAGGAGTGTCTACCTGCGTGACGTTTGGCCCAGCCTGGAAGAGGTTCACCAGGTTGAGGAGGAGCACGTTATTTTGTCCATGTTTAAAGCATTAAAGGAAAAAATAGAGGTAAGAGACTTGATTATTTCTTAGTTTAATTATTTTGTGCATGTCACTTTTGAATAGAATAATGAAAAATAAAGTTTCTGATACAGAAACTATAATCAGCCGTCGTCACTGCACGTGGAATCTAATGACGCCGAAGAGCTCAGGGTGCTCAGCTGCTTGGCAGGCGTTTGTGTTAGGCGCTGGGTGTGGGTACCTCGGGGCGGCTGCCCCGGGCCCTGCCACTCATCCAGTGAAGTAAGAGCAGACGGCCCCCACACCCCAGCATGCGCGTCTCCTCCTTGAGGCAGCCCGTGACAGCTGTTCCTTCCATGTGTTTCCAGAGAGGCTTTGTGCGCCAGGAACGAGGACACACGTCTTGCTTCTGTGTCAAGAACAGAATGCAGGTGTGAAGGCAGAGAAAGTGTTCACGTAGCAAGCACCCTTGAGCCCCCGCTAGATTGGGCTTTCCGGCTTTCCGCTGGGTGTTTACCAGTATCAGGGATCCCCCCATCCCCCGCAGTTTTCGTGGGGAGAGGCGGGCAGTGAACTGTAAAGCGAATAGTGAGGTAAATGGCGTAACGTCTTCAACAGTGTTAAGTGCAGCAGGAAACTGCGGGCCAGGTGCAGAGACCTGATGCTGCCCTTGTGTGGGGGGAGGCAAGCTGGTGGGCGGAGTCTGAGGTCTTGGGGAGCGGCCCATCAGGGGGTGCCTGACCTGGAGGTTCAGGGCGGGGTGAGATGGAGGAGGCTCCAAGGGCCCCTGTGGGAGCCACCAGGAGTGGGGCTGGCGAGGGAGATGCTGCCAGGCAGGCCTCTGCGCCGGTTGTGGGCCAGGGAGTCTACGAGGCCCAGAGTGTGGCTTGGGGCAGGATGGTGCAGGGTGATGTTGGGGGGGGGCATCTCCGGCACTGCTCAAAGGTGAAGGCCGCACCAGGGCTCGCTCTTCAGCAGACGGCTTGGTGTTTCTCGACTCTTTTGCTGATTTTTTTCTTTTAAAGATTTAGTTACTTATGCATATAAGAACTGGGGTACAGATCAGAGGTGGGGGGTGGCGAGAGGATTCATCAGAGACAGAGTGGGGAGCCGAACAGGAGGATCTACTGAAATACACTGCTGAGGGAAGCAGTGGGGAGACAGGAGAGGTCTGCTGCGCCATGTGGGTAGCTTCCCTGACCGGGGATCGAACTCGTGCTGCAGTAGCTGCAGACAGCTTCACAGTGCTGTGCCTAACCCCTTGCACCATCAGGGAGGCCCTGATTCTTTTGCTTATTTTGGATTCTGTGACGTCTTTGTGGTCAGTTTATTATGTTGACTCAGCTCTGTGGGTGTTCCTGAATATGTGGGGTGCCAAAATGTGGTGAGAGGCCTTCTTGCCTTCTGGTCAGAGAGCCGGGACTTTGTAGAGTGCAGAGCCTTAGGCTTCTTCCCAATGGGGGGAGGCCTGCTTGCTTTCATCGTGACATTTCCATGAGCTCTTTCCTGACGCCATTTTATCTTTCTCTTACTCGTCAACTGCACCCGCGTCTGCAGCTGGGGGATAAGCGGTGGAACTCCTTAGAGGCACCAGAGTCAGTTCTGTTTCCGTGGGACGTAAAGTCCACGTACATCCGCTGCCCTTCGTTTTTTGATAAGCTTGTAAGTACGGTTTTCCCGTTAGATGTTTGAAAGAAGGTCGTGGACCCTCACTCTCTGGAGGGACCCAACATCTTGACTTTCATCTGCAGACCAAAGAGCCAGGCCCGCTCCGGCCCATTGAGGGCGCCCACGTCCTGCTGCGCTTGGGGGACTGCGTCACCACGGACCACATCTCCCCCGCTGGGAGCATCGCCAGGAGCAGCGCTGCCGCCAAGTACCTGGCGCACAGAGGGTAGGTGTGCGCCACCACCCGCCCAGCCACCTGCGCGGGGCTCCGCTCGGCTGCCTCGGGGTCAGCGGCCCGATGACCATGTGTCGGACCCAGGCAGGAAGTCGCCTCTGCCGTAGCTCTAGGAACGGAGCAGCCGTTTTGTGACTTGAGTCCATGGGACAACAGGTTGGCAGCAGGTTTCTGTGATACCCACCCTCAGCCCCCCTCCAGGGTGGTGGTGCGTGATGGGCTAGGCCAGTTGTGTCAGGGCAGGACAGCACTTCCCGTCTGTGCCTTTCTGGGCATAGATGAGACCTGCAGCCACGTGTGCAGGGGCCCCAGCCTGGTCCACCGGCAGCGTGCTGCCACTCTGTCAGCCGCAAGTGTTTTGATGCCGGGGAGCCCGGCTTTCCAGAGCGCCAGGCTGGTGGTGCCCTGCGTGGCTGGGGAGCGGTGTGGATTCCTTCCGCGCCTCCTGTGGTGGAAACCGCTAGCAGTAGCCCCACTTGGTTCTGCGTGAGGGTGAGCGGTGTGTGCCAGGTGCGGCTGTCGTGCGTGGTGGGGAGCAGTGGGGTACCTTCTTTCTCCCCAGTGTTCTCTGACTTGTGGTTTCCATCTTGGTCATAGCTGAGCATGACCCCCCACACACACCTTTTACATTTATTTCGATGTTAAGTTGATTTCTGAGCTCGTTTTATTTAGTGGTTAAATACGCTCATTTAAAAAAAACAGTCACTTGGCCCAAGCCCCCAGCGGGCCGGCCCGGAGAAGTTCTCTGAGTCTCAGGCTCTCGCCATCTGGAGACCAAGTCTGGGCCCAAGGGCGTGGGGCTGCTGTGGCGTGGTCACCTGCCCGTGTGCATCCATCCCTACAGCGCCGTCACGGTGGCCGCTCCGGAAGCACGGAGCATGCACGGCTCTGGGGGGAGTATGTGTGTGGGACCCCCAGTTCAAGCAGCCCGAGCTTCCCAAGGAAGGGGTTGACTCTGGTCAGGCCTGGGTGACGGGCCGGGGACCCGAGGGCGCGTGTGCGCCAGAGCAGAACCACAGGCGCCGTCAGGCCCGGGGCAGCCGGGCTCCGCTGCTGGTGCTGCCGAGTGCACCCCACTCCCGCGCTTCGGATCCCGAGTTCTGCGCTGCCTGTGGGGGATGACGGAGCCACCTGGGTCTCACCATGTGTGTCTGCTCAGCCGTTGCTGCTGCAGCGTGTCGAGTCTAACCAAATCATGGCGCAGCAAACCGTGTCTGTGTAGAAGGACCCCACTGTCACAGAGCAGGCGCGACAGAGTCAGCGCGTGTCTGAGGGTGCAGCCTGAGCCCTGCCTCCCAGTGGCCGGGCGCTCTGGAGAGTGCTGGGAGGAGCACTGTGGGGACCAGCTTTGTTGGCAGAGATTAAAAGCCCGGATGGTGGGGGTCACTGGGTCTCGGCACACGCCGCGTGGCTCACACGTGTTGGGGGAGAGTGTTGATGGACAGGGACTGGGTCTGCCGAGTTAATTTTTAGACCATGTTTAGATCCTTTATTGACAAACCAGACACAAAGTGTGGGGAAAATCAGAGATACTTGAATATTGACTGGCTGTCTTGTAATTTCAATATCTTTTTTTAAAGATTTACTCATTTATTTATACAAGAGCTGGGGTACAGGCCAGAGGTGCAGGAGGGTGAGAGGATTCACCAGAGACAGAGCAGGGAACAGAACAGGCAGACTGACTGAAATGCACTGCTGAGGGGAGCAGCGGGGAGACAGGAGAGGTCTGCCGCGCCATGTGCATTGCTCCGCGGCTGGCGCGGATCGAACTGGCACTGCCAAAGCAGCGGACAGCTTCACAGCGCTGCGCTCAACTGCCTGCGCCACCATGGAGGCCCTCAGAATTATTTTGTTATCAATAAAACACTGGTAAAGAGACGGTGTCTTTAGTGGCGGGCCAGAGCACGCATCTCTGTCCCCTGGCAGCGGGTTGGGGCAGGGGGCGTCCTCATCACGGAGAGAGCTGCGGGGGGCTGGCCTGGCCTGTGTCTCTGCTTCGGAATGTACTTGACAGGTTCTGAAGGACGCTGACGTCCTTGGTAAGTCTCCGCCACCCTCCGGAGGGGGGTGGTTTTCCGTCTAGGTGAGCATTAACAACTCTCTTGCAGCCTCACCCCTCGGGAGTTCAACTCCTACGGAGCCCGGAGGGGGAATGACGCGGTGATGACGAGGGGCACCTTCGCAAACATCAAACTCTTGAATAAGTTTATTGGAAAACCCGCGCCCAAAACTATCCACTTCCCTTCAGGACAAACGGTAAGGGCGCCCTGCGGGCGTGCGGGCAGCTGGGCCCCGCGCGGTTTGCTTTAAAGATGTTTCTGCCCATCTCCAGCTGGATGTGTTTGAGGCCGCGGAGCTGTACCAGAAAGAAGGCACCCCACTCATCATCCTGGCGGGGAAGCAGTATGGCTCGGGGAGCTCCAGGGACTGGGCCGCCAAAGGACCATACCTGCTGGTATGGAGTCTCGCGCCCCGTCCACACTACCCACAGGGGACTTGTGCTCGTGTAGCTCTGTTTGCATTTTTGAAAGTGATCTTGTGGGGCATGTCATACCCCCCGAGTCCGTGCTCTTGGATCTGACAACGCCCACAGCTGACGAGGCACGGTGCCGGGAGCGTCTGTCCTAAACCCTTGCTTTCCATCACCGTTCTCTGACGTGACGGGTAGCTCGGTTTGCTGCTGCGTCGAGTCTGCTTTGCTTTGCTCTAGACCCAGAGGTGGTGACCAGCTTCCCCTTAGTCCATACAACAGTGATGGCGCCTGCCTGGCTGCCTACTGGGAGGGCTCTTCCTTGGGGCCCCAGCTTTGTTGGGGAGCAGACAGAGCCCCTGCTGGAGAAGAGTGCTGTCTGGGACACGTGCTGTGGACCCTGACAGCGACATGGCATCACTCTCTTGGGGTGCTCAGTCTCCCCCTAAACAGGATAGTCCGAGGACTTGTCAGGACAAGCCCCATCCTCGTGTCCGAGATGCTCGCCGACGGGCCATTCCCAGCAGGGGATGTGCTGCCCAGGGTGGAGTGCGGGGCCAGGCGGCAGCAGAGCTCGTGCCCTTTAAAATGCCCAGGAAAGGCACCTTGGGAGAAGGCTGGGTGGAGCCAGACGCGTGTCTCCTGCAGGGCGTGAGAGCTGTCCTGGCTGAGAGCTACGAGAAGATCCACAAGGACCACCTGGTTGGAGTCGGCATCGCGCCTCTGCGCTTCCTCCCGGGGGAAAGCGCCGATTCCTTGGGCCTCTCGGGCCGGGAGACGTTTTCCTTCACGTTCCCTGAAGAGCTGTCTCCAGGGGTCACGGTAGACGTGCAGGTACCTATGACACTCTCAGGCCTGGGCTGTGTGTGGCGTGGCGAGGGTGCTGCGAGCTGACTGAAGGGCAGCGGCTGTCTCGGTGGCTGTTCTCTTCCCACTTCACCCCGTGCAGCAGGGCTCTCTCCGGGGGACACCTGGAAGAGGAGGCAGCGTTGGCACGCGCGGGCCCCCTTCCAGCTGCCGGGGCGGGGGCGGGCCACCCCAGGAGAGGGCCGGGCGGGCTGCAGGGTCAGGGTGACGGGCCTGACAGGAGCCCCCTGCTGTGCCCCCCTGCTGATGGGGCTCGAGTCCTGGGCTGCGGCGCTTGCGGGTAGGGTTGGGGTGGGCGCTGCAGTGCCGCGGAGCTGCAGGCCACACTCAGGGCGCCTCCCTCACCGCCCTGTTTGCTCGTAGACAAGCACCGGGAAAGCGTTCCGTGTGATCGCGTCCTTTGAGAACGACGTGGAGATAGCATTGTACCAGCACGGAGGGTTATTAAACTTTGTGGCCCGGAAATTCTCCTAGTACCTCCTCCCCTGCTGGGGACGCCCTGGACGCCCGAGCCACCCGCGCGGGCCGTCTCGCCGTGGGCGCCAACAGCCATGAATTGACGTGATGACGGAAATGAAATCTCCTTGATTCTCAATCATACACGAATGGTGCTATTAACATTGCTTCAATCAGCGTGTGAAGTGTCTGGGGAAGAGACCTGTAAGTACGGGGGGATCTTTTATCAGACCATTTTGTAAATAACGGCAGGATTGGAACTTGAAGATTCTCATGAGCGACCTTCCTGAAGGTGTTTAGCTTTTGCACCTGTAGAACTGTACACTGCTGTTGGCTGGTTTAAGAATTGCCTATTGGGATATAAGAAACAAGATCAGACTCAAATTCTGGACGGTGGAATGTGATTTATAAATGGACTTTCAAGCATGTTGATTTCTTTTCATACCTGAGCTGGACACAGCCAGCCTCGTGGTTCGTCGCGTTGACCAGGGCTCCCCGCACGCCCCCACTGCAGGCCGCCCACTCGTTCTGGCCAAGCCTGTCCAGGTGCCCGCTGCGGCGCGTCTGGTGCACAGCCCAGGTCCTGGCAGCGCTTCCGGTCCCGGGGCTGACGGCCCTGGCTTCTCTTGAATTTGCTGCTGACCCGCTGGTGAGCTTGGATGGAGAGTTCATTGGAGCCTATAGTTTTGCTCGCTTTACTAAACTTCCTGTGAGCTAGTGTAGCTGTCATCAACCAAAATTTCATAGCTCTTTTATTTTTGCTAAAGAGATCTTTATTTAGTCATTACACACTAAAGTGACTTTCAGCTTTTAAATTACCCACCCATAAATTATATGGTTGCTTAGCCCTAGGCATTTTTTAAATGTCGGCTGTTTCTTAATTATTTAAGTGGATTTCCTGTCTTTGGGACTCTCACTTTCCTGGGGTGCTTCTGTTAGTCATGGCCTCTGTCCCAACCGGCGTGGCCTCGGGCCAGAGCCCCACTCGGTACTGGCGGCCTCGTGTGTCTGTCCCGCGTCGAATGTCCTTTCAGCAGCGAGGCTGGCGGCTGCCTTGGAAGGGCTGGGTGGTTTCCAGAATGTCCTGTCCCTTTTTTCTTTTAATGAAGGTATTCAGGGAAGTGGTTGGTTGTAGTGGGTTCTTGTGTTTCTTTCACACGGAGCTCTGCCTGTGCTCTGTTTAAATCACTGCAGTTTGGAACTAGCTCACATCACACAGGATTCAGATTTAAGTGAAGCTAAAATGCTGAAACTTCCAATTCATTGGGTGAAAACCTCTGAAAATTTTGCACATACTCAGTCACAATCATGTGAAAATATTCTGCAATTATGGGGTAAGATAGACTAGAGTCTGACACATGATCTTCTGTCTTTACAGTTTTTACAATATTTCTGTCGGTCCTTTCTCACCACACCGTGTCCCAAGCCTCTGTTGTGCTGTCTGTCTGTCAGTGCCTGTGTTTTTACTTTAAATGGAAACATGAGTCAGGAGTGGGGAATTTCCAAGTTGAGTGTCACCATAACAGTTGTCTGCTTTGAAAAAATGGTGATCCCAGCGCGCAGGCCACGTGGGTGCCATCTGGAGCTGCACTTTCTGGACCGAGGCTGGCACTGCTGTCCTGTGCAGATCTGGGCGAGGACGGTCGGAATGCTCGGTGGCTGTGAGCTCAGCATTTCCGTTTCCGGTGACGGTACAAGCAGATCTTGTCCAAAGTCAGAATTCTCTTTGTCTCTTGCTCGTGTGTGAACTGGAAGCCTGGGTCAGTATGGCCGTCGGCTTGGAAGAAGAGGCCTGGGCAGACGTCCCAGGTATGCTGAGAATTCTGCCTCCAGCCAAACGCTGTGTTTTCAGAACTGCCATCTCTTGGTTTTTACTGTTTTATTTACCTGCCTTGTTGACTGTATCTTGGTAATTTTGTATTAAAAACAAGAGCGGCATGGAAGGAAGTGGAGTCACGCTGGAGGCCAGGAATGCGCCTGCAGGCACAGTCCAGAGGTTGCTCCAGCCGCAGCATCCGCGAGCCCCTTCGGCAGACATCACACTCCTCACTGGCGCCTTTGGGCTCTGCCCCCTGGAGAGCAAAACGCCCATCCCCTCGCTGCCGTTAGTTACCATCTCAAAAATGTTTCCAACATGCTGTTGTCATTTCCTGTTTTCTCTCCAAGCTGAGTGAGATGTCTGCACTCCGTCTGAGCGATGGCCTTGCCCCCATGACGATCAGACAGAAGGCCCAGCTGGGCGCGGCAGCAGAGATGTTGGCAAGGATGGGGGCGCTCGCCCAGCAGTAGCACCTGGCGGGATGCAGAGAAATTGGTTGATCTATTTCTGTGGTTGAATTAGAAGACAACTTTCTTTTGCCTTCAGGCCTCGAAGAAGGCACAGAGGCCCTGGGTGTCGGCTCGCCTTAGTTTGGGAGTGATAAAGGGGGCCGGACGGGGCTTTCCGCGGAGGCTCCCGAAGACGCTGTGAAGCCGTATAGATCATTACGTCAATGCAAATCATTGTATTTAAAGCCAACAAACAGTGTAACAGTTTTAAGCTCAATAATGTTAAGTATTGTACAGAAACATTGGAGGCAAGTCCAGTTAGTGACAATTGTGTATATGTTATTGATGCTGTAAATTATTTTTAATAAAGAAAATTGTATTATCACATTTTTTGACTTTTGTTATATTTGATGGTACTTGAACTTTAAGCAGCATGACTTGAAACAGAATGGGGTGTTGTCCAGAAATCTCTCTGTGAAGACATCCCTGGGGCGTCAGACTCAGCCGCCCGCAGTGGGCTCGGCGTGCCCCGCCCGAGGTGGCCGGCCGTCCTGGCCAGTGGGAGGGGAGCCAGGGGCAGCGCTGAAACAGGGACCACGTGGGGTGAGTCGCGTCGAACTCGTCCGGGTGGTGCCAACAGAGCCTGGATACGGGGGTCTTGTTTCAGAATCGGAAAGGCTAGTCTTCACCCAAAGCGAGATCCTTTGTCCAAGTAACACAAAGTGCGGCTCCCTTGTCTTGAGCGCTCAGGAGGTGAGGGGTGTCTGCCACCACACAGCCGGCCCGGTTGACACTCCGGTGGTTAAATAAACTTTGCTTTCAGCCAGTTTCCCCTCACAGCTTCCACTTGCTCGGGTCCCAGACGCCCATGTTCCTCGGGCAGGTGTTGCAGCTCCTCAGCACATGCGCAGCGAAGGAGCTGGGTGGGCCGCGAGCATCGTGAACAAAACACGCTCGGACAAAAGGGAAAGAAAGGGCTGCGGACTGTCCCCCCCTCCCGCCGCGGCTTCCCGAGCCATCCAAGGAAAACGAGTGTGTCACGCCCGGCCAGGTCAGCTCACTCGGGAGCTCACGGGGCTCTGCGGCCATTCCCGGGGTCGGGCCCTGGGCTGGGTGCCGCTCAGGCCTCCCTCTCGCCCTCCGTGCTGCTTCCCCCTCAGCCTCCAGGTTCTTTGTCCTCCTGCTCAGGCCCACCCTCCTCTGGGTGGGGGACCCTGGGGCCTCTTGCAACATGATTTGGAAATATTCTTTTGAAAGTTTTACAAGTTCATTTATAAAGGGAGCTAGGAAGTTGCCGGCTTTATATTACTGTTGCTTTTGCACTTTGGTCGCCGCTGGCCATCATCTCCTAGAATCCACCAAGCCATTCTGGGTAATTTTCAGACGTGCGGAGCTGCCGAGAAGGGACCTTTTCCTTTCAAAACCACACCGAGCTGACCAGCGCAGTTTGGGGACCGCCAGGGAGAAAGCAAGGAGTTGGTTCCTGGTGGTCAGTCAGGAACAGGGTGCCCCAGCCCCCAAGTCCACTTCTCTGCCTGACTGAGAAACACCGGGCTGAAACCAAGAGGGTGCCCTTACTGGCCCCCAGCCCCACTGCCCCCCCAAGCCCTAGGTGATTTAATAGTCTGACTGGGGATTTCAGACACCAGCACAGTAACACAGTGCTAGCGACGTGAAAGGCTGCTTTCAGGAAGCTTGGCCAGGTCAGGTGGGTACCCTCAGCGGACCTAGGTAGCCCAGCAGAACCCCACAAACTCAAGCCCAAGAGACCCCCCCCCGAGAGCCCAGCCAATCAGCAAGAGACACAGCACTGAGACACCCAAGGACCAGACCCCACCCCCTGCTCCCTCTCCCCGTGTAAGCACCCACTTCTCACCCCGAAGGCTGCCCAGCAGGCCCCTGTGTGTGGAGAGCTTTCCGGTTCTCCCTCCCTGCCTCTCAGCAAGCGTCTCGCGTTCCTGTAACTCCTCCATGTCCAATCTTGTTCTCTCCCAAGACCAGACCGGGAAGAGCCCGCCCGGGGTCCTCAGACGCCGCGCCTGTCCCCGGACCCCAGTTCTTTAAGAGTCATTTGGATTCTACTGGTTTGTGTTCCTTTTGTGCATCTAGCGCTGCAGTCCTGATGACACTGGCGTCTTCCCCCGAAAGTGAGCTCATCCCGGGGACAGCCGGGGTCACGCTGGGATGAGGATGATGGGAACAGCAGCGCAGGTACTGCTGACCCCTGAGGGGTGTGTCCGCGGCTGGTGCGGTTCTCAGCGCTTCCCATGCAGGTACCCGCCATGTTCCTCTTCTAGGGCAGGAGTGTATACAAGAACTGGGGTACAGGCCAGAGCTGTGGGGGGGATGAGAGTGTAATAGGGTGGCCCCCAGGAAATGGGGAGGTTCCAGGTTTCCTGCCCTACCCAAGTATAGGGTGGAGCTGAGCAGAGAAGGAACAGGACGGAGCCAGAAGGAGACCTGGGGGTGGCACATGGAGCCAAGAGACACGTGAAGAAACTGCGCTTGCCTTTTGGTCGTGGACGGGTGACACAGATGTGGGGGAGACCCGTGGGGAGGTGACAGTGGCGGTTTTTGTCTTGATTTTGCTCTTTTCCTCCCATACTTGTCCGGTTGTTTCTGACCCTTTTCTGTGGGTCCCACTGGAAGGTGCTTTAACCCTGGGGCAGGCTTTGGGGCCTTGCTCTGGGCCAATCCCATCTGGATGGACTTTTACCCACGAGGGGACGGGGAACTTTGGGTGCTTCATTTAGAAACTAGGTTCTTTGCCTTCCCTGTGTTGTTTCCTAATTGTATTAAAGTCCCTTCCCATTAAAGTCTCATATGTTTTGTGCTGATGTGGTGGATGGCAGAACCTATTTAGGTTTGGGGGGCCTGGGGTGCCCCTCTCCCTGCCCTGTAACAGGAGGATTCACCAGAGACAGAATGGGGACCAGAACAGGGAGAGTGACTGAAATACACTGCTGACTGAAATACGGGCAAGTCAGGAGAGGTCTGCTGCACCATGTGGGTCTCCTCCCTGGCCTGGGATCGAACTTGTGCTGCAGTGGCTGCAGACAGCTTCATAGGTTGTGTCTTAACCCCTTGCGCCACCAGGGAGGCCCCCCAAATGCATGAATTTCTGTGAATAAGGTGAATGGACTTTAGACTATGAGATTAATGTAACATTCACAGTGATGATACCCTAAAATATTTTTATTCCACTGATGGAACTCTAAGTAAGATCATTCTTTTGTGATCTGCTTCATGGTGCCACCAGAGAAAGTTGCACTTAAGTGACTTAGTTGCAGGATAGTGCCAGTGTGCTTTATAAAGGAATCAAGGAGAGGAATTAAGTCAGGAAATTCAAAACATGATACTGGAAAACATGAAATTGATAATAGAGGTAGAACCATGTCACTGGTCATGTGTGTCTGTAAAATCCACAATCCTCGATTGTGGGCTGGTCACTCGCTGCTGGAAAAGTTTGGGCCAAACCCACTCATCCGTGGACTGTCCTTTCGGAAGCTGGACGTGGGGTCTGAATTTGTACCTGGCGAGCAAGGGCACATCGCTGCTGTCCTGGGCAGACTGGTTCATGTCCTCCTATCTTTGCCTCGCTGGGGAGAGGAAAGGGAGGAACCAGATGTTTCTCTCCCAGGCTGCGACCAGCTCCAGCAGGACCCGGGTGTGGTGGACACAGCAGCAGGGTGAGCTCCTGGGTGGACCGTGGTGCATTTTTACCTTGTTCCATTGAGTCCTCCGCTCAGAGTGTTCAGAGCACAGCAGTGATCAGACCTTCATGCTTCCGTGGGTCTCCTGCACCCCCCCTCACGGTGTGGGTTCTGACCCAGTGGGGTGCTCAGGAGTGAACCCAGACCTCTGTGCTCCTCCGTGCCCAAAACACAACCTGCCAGAGCCTGGCAGTTTTCCACATCCAGCCCTCCCTCCCCTGAGTCCTCCCGACTGTTGCCCCCCACTCTGCCATCGGCCACCCACAGGAGATGCTCTTCAGTCTCCCCTCCCTCTGGGCTCCCCTTTTGCCCAGATGGAAGCACAGAGGGTGCTTCCCTGCTGGGTCCTGTAGGACCAGGTTCCTGCCCCCACCCCTGCCCACCCCGTTCCCCCCCTCAACTCTCCCCCCCGCCACCCTGCAGGCCCAGGCCAGGACTTCACTCTAAGTCTTTGGGGAGCCTGGACAGGAGAGGACGGGACTCACAGTGGCGACACCCACCCGATGGTCCCGCTGCATCATGACGGTGTGGAAATTCAAAGTGAGATAGAGGTAAATAGTCCACGTTTCCTCCAAAGATGGTGACAATGTAAAAATTATAAGATGAATGGGGGAAGGCTCAAGTGTCCTTACGTCTGAGGTGGAAATGTTGGTGAGGATATCCAAATGGCCAGGCCCATGTGGGCCTGTGTGCAATTCCATTTCAACATTGCTCAAATGGGTTGAGACTAGAATATCTGTTGCCATTTTTGCTACCTTGAAAGTCACCAGGTCACAAATAATAAAGGTCACGGAAGACAAGGCAACAGCTGTCTGCTCTGTGTCAGTGGCTTCCTTTCATTGACAGTAGACAACATTCATTTAAAGGGTATCTTTTTAGCCAAAAATAAAATCCCCTTTTAAAAAACTGGGAGTTAAATATTGTTGGCATTCTTTGGTTCCTTGAACACTTCCTGCTATTCCCAGTGGGTTTTTTTTTTAAGATTTTTATTTATCTATGCATAAAAGAATTGGGGTATAGGCCAGAGGTGTGGGGGGGGGGGGTGAGAGGATTCACCAGAGACAGAGTGGGGAACAGAACAGGCAGATTGAAGTACACTGCTGAGGGGAGCAGTGGGCGAGTCAGGAGAGGTCTGCTGCGCCATGTGGGTCTCCTCCCTGACTGGGGATCGAACTCATGCTGCAGTGGTCGCTGACAGCTTCATAGGTTGTGCATTAACCCCTTGCGCCACCAGGGAGGCCCTGTTGTTTTTTTTTTCTTTCTTCCTTTTCCTTGAGCCTTAGCACCCTTTTCATTTATGAAACTTCTGACCTTGTACAGTTTACAAGTTTACCCAGAAATAAAACCACTGTTGAACTACCACAAAAGAATCAATATAAATTTTGATACCATCTTTCCTGTCAATGATGGAACCTCCGCTGAAATAATCATGTTTTCATTTCTAGGATGAGACAGAAAATGAAAGTGTTCTGTGTGGCAGGACCCTAGATTTATATCCATCTGTGACAAGTTGACTTGGAATACAGGATTTTCGTTCTATTATGTTCTATATTTCTTTTTGCAAAGGCAATAAACTAGTCGCAGGAAGGTTTTATCAGTTATTTCAAATTTTGTTTTTTGAAATATCATTGCACCATTCAAAATTTTGTCTTTTTCTTCCCATAGTTATTGCACAACTTTCAGGCCTCTTGTATTTGTTTATCTTGTAAAATTTTTATTTATTTGTGCATACAAGACTGGGGTTGTAGGCCAGAGATGCAGAGATACTCTTCTGAGGGGAACAGCAGGCAAGACAGGAGAGGTCTGCTGCACCATGTTGCCAGCTCCCAGGCTGGGGATGGAACTCATGCCACAGTGGCTGCCAGTAGCTTGATAGTGCTGAGACTTATTGGTAGCATGATTAATAATTGGTTTCAGTCAGAAGTTGGCTCTCAAAGAGAATTTTATTACTGTATTGGTCACACACACACATTCACATAGGCAAGCCAACCCCAAGTTCCCAGCGTAGCTCTGACTGAAGACAGTAGCCACAAAATGTCTTAGCCAGGCCTTCCACCCAGGGGAAAGTCCTCCAGCTGTGGAAGTCTCTAGGCTCCAGTGCCCGAAGTCCGGATGGTCCCCAGGATGTGGAGCCGGTCTGCAGCGTGTGCTGCTGTCAGAGAGCAGGCGACAAGTTTGTGGGAGGAAGAACTGGGGAGTGAGTCTGGGTTCGTGGTGTGCCAAACTGAGGACTGAGGAGAGGTTCTGGCTGTAGAGCAGTCTGAGTCCAAAGGGGGCCAGTGGTGAGCTGGACTCGGAAGAGGAGCCTTAGGCAAGTCCTTAGCTCAGAACCAGATTTGGGACTGCTCCGAGACTGCTTCATGAATCCACTCCTTCTATACATCCTTATCAGGTTTAGGCCCAGGTACCATCTGTTTTTATCAGCCTTTAACACTCAGAATGTGGATGCAGCCACGTTCACTCAGCGCTCGCAGGCGCCTTGACATACTCTTAGTTTCACTTTTAGCCTTTGTATTTATATCGCTTGTAAGCGTTTTATGTTGGTTACATGCTTAACCCCTTGCATCCCAAGGGAGGCCCCAGACCTCTTGTATTTGAAAGCTGGAAGGGTCTGGACTTTGAATTAGTGCCTTATTATTTCCACTGTTTTTTATTTTTACCTATAACTAGATGAAACTTGTTGACTAAAACAATAAATATTGTAAAAATTGAAAAAAGGGCAAAATGTGTTCATTTGGACTGACAAAGGAGTTCAAGCTAAAAATTGAAAACCCATTGATGGAATTCAGGTGATGGGGTTCAGTATTGGGGGGGGGTTCTTGGATCCTCTGAGAAATCATTCAGTAATTGCCGCGGACCAGCACAGCAGTAGACGATGAGGCCACCTCAGGGTTGAGAGAAGCGTGCAGGGTGGTCAGGGCGTCGGTGAAAGAAATGACAAACAGACACACTTCAAGAGTGAAAATCTGAGTGTAATTTTCTTTGAGTTTGTGACCAGTATATATATGTTTTCCAAAAGCACAGGAATGAATATCAATGAAATCAGCTTGCTCATGGGCTCAGTCTATCACCATTAGGGAGGTGATCTACATAACAAGCAATGACTTTTATAGAAGAAAGAAGGAAGTTTAGAAAGACAAATAAGGGATTAAAGTTTGTAGTTCTAGAAAGACGGGATAAGATTTTTAGCATTCTTGTAGTGGTTCCTGGTGGTCGTTATCTATTGATAAGCTTCTGCCTTTTCAGGGAACTTCTGCTGCACTTCCTCTGCTTCAGGGTGTTATGCTGTTCTCCCCCTGCGCGCTGGTTGCCCAGCCAGACCGTGGCGAAAGCCATTCCTAAAGGTCACTGCAGGGGGAGGTGCAGCAAGTACGTCTTCAGAGGGTTTTGCTGTTCGTGATGTGACTAAGATGCCATTGCTGGGTAAAGGCTTTCCCACACTCTTCACATCTGTCAGATTTCCCACCACTATGAACTCTCTGATGTTCAGAAAGGTGACCCACATCTAGAAGGGCTTTACCACAGTCTGCACATGTGTAAGCCTTTTCTCCAGTATGACTCCTAAGATGGCGCGTAAGCTGTGACTGCCAATACAAGGCTTTACCACACTCTTTACATTTGTGCAGCTTCCCTCTGAGCACCATGTGTTACCTTTGCCATATCCTTCCGAGTTGTAGGGTTGCTCACCAACTGTGTGATGTTGGATAAGTTTTGAGGACTCCTCAGTAGGATCCCATGTAGTTTTTTGATCTTCCCATTTTCAACTCTGATGTTGAGAACTATTTGACTTAAAGTATAAACCTGTCCTATATTCACAATGTATTGAATGATTATTTGCATTATGGACTAGGGGACTTCCCATATGTTCCAATTTTCTGCTCACAAAATACGTATTGTTAATAAATTTCAAATGGGGCCTCCCTGGTGGCACAAGGGGTTAAGGCACAACCTATGAAGCTATCTTCAGTCTTTGCAGCATGAGTTCGGTCCTCATGTTATAGGACAGGGAGAGGGGCAGCCCAAGCCCCGCAAACCTGCCTATTCTAAATGGGTTCTGCCATCCGCCGCATCAACACAAAACATAGGAGACTTTAATGGGAAGGAACTTTAATAAAAACTAGGAAACAATACAGGTAAGGCAAAGAGTCTAGTTTCTAAATGAAGCACCCAAAGTTACCCATCCCCTCGTGGGTAAAAGTCCATCCATATGGGATCGGCCCAGAACAAGGCCCCAAAGTCTACCACAAGTCTAAAACATCTTCCAGTTGAGACCCACAGAAAAGGGTCACAAACAACTGGACAAGCCCGGAAGGAAAAGAGCAAAATCAACATCCAGATAAAAGCTGCCATTGTCACCTCCCCACGGGTCTCACCCACATCTGTGTCACCTAGTCCACGACCAAAAGACAAGCGCAGTTTCTTCACGTGTCTCTAGGCTCCATGCACCTCCTCCAGGTCTCCTGGCTCCATCCTGCTTCCTTCCTTCCTCAGTCTCTTCTGCCCCTTCTCCTCTTCCTGCTCAGCTCCACCCTCCCTTGGGTGGGGCAGGGAACTCCCCTTTCCTGGGGACCACCCTGTTACAATCCCCCCTTTTAATTTTTATTCCACCATATCTATGGTGGCAGAGATCTCATGGTGCAATCTTAGGAGACAGTCTTTTTTTCAGGGTTATAATGTGTGTAAGAGAAGCAACAATTAGTCAGCAGCATTGTCCATGAATGTCCAGTATGACAGTTTCATTACTTAAAAATAGTCCATTATCCTAGCCAAAAGAAAAAAAGTTGGAGCATTGGCTAAAACAAGATAGCAAATATATCAAATCACAGGGAAAAAATGTTAAAATGGTTTAACTTATGCAAAAACGAATTCTTTCAACCTTGATCCCAAACTTTAACAGCATAGCAAAAGTTTGCAAATTAAATCTATCTTTAAACCATTTTTCCCATTTTTGCATAAAATTACAGGGCAGAATAACTAAGCAGCAATTTTAGCTGGCTTTGTTGAAATACTCCATATTGGATCAGAGCGAACCATTGGCATCCGGTCGATGTAGGCTTCAGGTACAAAGTTAGTGTCATCAGACTCCACCTGGGCTTCCTCTTCTCGAGGGTACCAGGGCATTTTCGTTGGCCGGGTTGTCCAGTCCTGCCAATGGAGGCAAGCTTCCTCACCTTCTTTGGAGGTCTCTGGAACCCTACAAACAAGGCAAACAGGTTCTCCTCTTCTTGGTTCAGCTCTTTTTCAACTTTCTGGAAGAACTCCACACAAAGCCACACAATCAAACTCACGTCCAATTTTCGTTAAAACAGACAAAATCCCTATGGAAGTTATGCAAAAACAGACTCTGAAATAAGTAGCAAAAATTACTACCACTATTTGTATGCTGTGTTGGTATCAAGGGGAGAGAAAATGTGACAAGTTAGCTTTGCTGGAAAAAAATTACAACCTTTCTGCAGATCCTGGTTAGTCAAAACAAAACAAAACAAAACAAAAACTTCGTGGATTCAGGACAGAATGCATAAAAAAAAAAGTTCCAGTATTATGTCAAAGAAACCTTAGTAAATGTCAGGTGTATTTCCAGGTCTATTGAGTCCTTTGTAAGAAAGTTTTACTCTCAACAGTTCCATCAATAGGAATCTGTTGAGACCTTTTCTCCCTATATTTCCAGAAACAATTTCTGTAGATGTGAAACAATTGAATTATACAATATTACAAGGTGACAATCACCACTGACAATTTACATACATACCCGATACTACTGTTAACATATTGGACATACCAAAGTTTTTTACCATTTTCCCAAGTGACAATGCTTCCCTTCCAGTTTTACGTCATTAGGTAAAAAGCCAAATAGAACAAATTCATGTAATGCTTTCCCAGGAGGAAAAGGAGAAACTTCGTGGAGTGTCTCAGGAGCTCTACTGAGGTTCCACAAAATTTCCTTGCATCAGTCAAATGACAGGCCACCAAATTTGTACTTGAATTTAGATTTCTGGGAAGCTTTGCCATAAATATCAGAAAAGTAACAGAAACAACAATATTCAATCTCTATGAAGGCACCGGCTTAGTTCAGTAGCACAATGTTGACAATCAAACCATAACTTTTTGTTTTTCTCATAACTGGAGACTCTTTTTTTCAACTTATACGGGCACCAAGTATACCAATTTGTCGATCACTGGAGGTCAAGACGGTTAGACACAAAGACATACAGACAGACAACATACAGACACAAAGAGCTCTTTAGTTACCATTCATCACGCGTGGGATATCCCATACAACTGCAGTTTGTCTGATAGGCCAAAGTAATAATAAAAAAACAAGCAGGGTTAACAAAAAAACTTCAAAGAAAAAAAAAAAAAAACAAAAGTTGATAGGAAATAACAAAATCAAGATTAAAAACCTTTGTATGAAAGAAAAAAAATACTGTCAGCATATGCATGATCCTAGATGTCATTTCACATCTCCTAAACTTTGCAAGGAAAGAGATTGGTTAGAGCATGGTAGTTTTTTTCTTCTCAGGGTTTCTTCAGAAAAAAAAAAAAAACGAGTTCTTGGGTATCCTGCAACAATAACTGGAAAAAGAAGTCAGTAACATTCAAGTTTCTTTCTGTTTCTTAAATAAATATCTCAAGTCTTCAATGGGTTCACAAGACCAATGGGACTTCGTCTCTGGGTCCGTTCCTTCTGGCGCTTTTTTAACTCTGGAATGATGTACCCAGGGTTTTATTCCTGCAAGTTTCAGAGAAGTATGTGTGCTTAGCAAAACATCATATGGACCAGTCCATTTTTCTGACAACTGGTTTTGGGCATCCCCACTCTGCCAGGTCTTCAGTAAGACCTGATCTCCAGGTTTGAAGGGATGCAATGGTTGATCAGGAGGCATAGAGATTCTCGAGGTTGCGAAGTTATGAATTACTGTCAGAACCTCCTGGATGTGTTTCACATATTGTGTGATCCGGCAATCTTGAGCTATTTCCGGACTGGCTTTCAGAACTGAGGCCTGGAAGGGTCTTCCAAACACAATTTCAAAGGGGCTTAATTGTAGCCCACTTCTAGGTGCCACTCTTATGCGGAGGAGGGCAAGGGATAGTACCTGGTCCCAACGAAGCTGTGTTTCTTGGCACAGTTTCGCCAAGGTTTTCTTCAAGGTGTGGTTCATCTTTTCTGTTTGCCCAGAAGACTGCGGTCTCCAAGCAGCATGCAATTTCCAGTTGATCTGTAACGCACTGCTTACTGCATGAGTAACATCAGAGACAAATGCTGGCCCATTATCACTCTGGATAGAATCCGGCAACCCAAAGCGAGGAATTATCTCCTTTAGCAGCTGTTTTGTTTCTGTACCTGACTGGGGCATGAAGACCTGGATGTCATGAGAAGAGATGGCTGGAAGACAGCAAGTGATGAATTACCATATTTACAGCACTCAAGACAAAAACTTAAAATGTTTATGATATAAAATTAATACCAAATAAAAGACATTGGCATGACGTTAGAATAGGTGACACGTGGGCCTACCTGGTGGTGCAAGGGATAAAGTCTCAGTGCTATCAAGCTTTCCCCAGTACTGTGACATGAGTTTGATTCCCAGCCAGGGAGCAGACCCACATGGTGCAGCAGACCTCTCCTGCCTCATCTGCTGCTCCCCTCAGCAGTGTATTTCAGTCACTCTGCCTGTTCTGCTCTCATTCTGTCCTTGGTGAAGCCTCTCACCACTACCCCCAACTCCTCTGGCCTACACCCCAGAGGAGTCTTCAAAAATGAAAATAAATATCCTGGTTTGATGAATTCCTACTTAACTAAGCAATAATTTTTTTAAAAAATTGAAGCAGGTCTGAAAATTTCAAAAGTGAAAAGGGAAAAAAATTTTAAAACACTTTCTGTGAGGACAGTATTGAATGGCTGTCAAAGACCAATCAAGATTCGACTAATGGGGCCTCCCTGGTGGCACAAGGGTCTAATACACAACCTATGAAGCTATCTGGAGCCACTGCAGAATGAGTTCGATCCCTGGCCAGGGAGATACCCACATGGCATAGCCGACCTCTCCTGGCTCACCCGCTGCTCCTCTTAGCAGTGTATTTCAGTCGGTCTGCCTCTTCTGTTCCCCACTCTGGCTCTGGTGAATCCTCTCACCCTCCCCCCATGCCTCTGGCTTATACCCCAGTTCTTGTATGCATCAATAAATAACTCTTTAAAAAAAGATATGACTAATGAGGAGCATTTCAACTGCACCATCATGAACATGGGTGCAGAGTCCTGAATAAACTATGAATAAAACTATGCACACTGAATAGAAAAGGACATTTAACAACTTTACCATGTGAACAACTGGGAGAACATGCTGGAATTTAAGGGAGACCCAATACATGAAGAGCTATCAATGTAAGACTCCAGAGTAACAGAATAGAGGGTGAAAACTGCATGATCATAACAACCCATGTAGACAAAGAATGAGACAACAGTTAACACTCTTTCATGATACCGTCATTCAGCCCAATAGAATTGGACACTCTAGCCAGGACTGCAATACTTAATATTAAGCTGTCGGGGCCTCCCCGGTGGCGCAGCGGTTGAGCGCTGGGTTGCGAACCTGCCCGCGGCCTCTGCGGCGCCGGTTCGATCCCCGGCTGCTCCCCGGCCACCGGAGGAGGGTCCCACATGGCGAGCAGACCTCTCCTGCCGCCCGCTGCTCCCCTCAGCAGTGTACTTCGGTCCTTCTGCCTGCTCTGCTCCCTGCTCTGGCTCTGGTGAATTCTCTCACCCTCCCGGCTTCTGACTGTACCCAGTGCATGTATAAACAAAAACAAACAAACAAACAGATAAATAAATAAATAAACATGCCTCTATAAAAAAAAAAAAAAAAAAAAAAAAAAAAAATTTAAAAAAAAAAAAAAAAAAAAAAAAATATTAAGCTGTCAACATTATTCAAAGTTACCTAAAGGATCGAAATAATCCCCATTAAAATTCCAGTTATATATTTGAAGGAAGAGAGACCCCACCCCCTAAATTCACGTGGGAATAAAAAGTGTATGTGTGGGGACGCCTGTGAGATGTAGACTCACAGGAGCAAGGGCTGAAGGATTACAATTTCCACTTACAAAATCCACGGTGCTCGCGTCATCCCACATTTTGGATATAAAGGGCAAACTAAGCAGTATTTCCTTTCAGATCTATTATGATGCATTGGGCATACCTCCCAGGAAATGAACCCCAAGCCCCGATCAGGAGAGCATGGACACCCTGAGATCAGGGTAAAACCATGACCAGATAAAATATTCAACATCCTTTAATAATAAAAGCAATCATCAGTATTGCTTTATATGTCATCCAGAAGAAAATAGACTATACATATATATAAAATATACTTTTCATTAAACTATTAACTGTTCTTCCATCAACATTCAGTTAATCTTATTTATCAAATAATTACATTCCCAAATATTTTGTTTTGTTTTATGCTTGTCAGGCAGAATTTTATGTTCATTTTTATTATATTCCTATGCATAATGTGAAAGTTCCTGCCAGAATGCAGAGGTAATTCATATGAGAGGAAGATGTTTTTTGGTGGGGGGGACAAGGAGTGAAACATTCTTAATTATTTAAAAAACACAAGAAACTCTCAGTATTTGTAATCAGGGAAATGCAAATCAAAACTACAATGAGATACCATCTTACACCAGTGAGAACGGCACATATTAAAAAAATTAGCAACAACAAATATTGGCGAGGTTGTGGAGAAAAGGGAACTCTCCAGCACTGCTGGTGGGAGTGCAAACTGGTCCAACCACTATGGAGAGCTGTGTGGAGATTTCTGGGCCTACTAAACATTGAGCTTCCATATGATCCAGCAATTCCACTCTTAGGTATTTACCCAAAGGACACAGAAACAGTAATTCCAAAGGGCACCTGCACCCCTGTGTGTATAGCAGCACTGTTTACAATAGCTAAGCTATGGAAACAACCCAAATGCCCCAAAATAAATGACTGGATCAAGAAGATGTGGTACATATACACCAGGGAATATTACTCAGCAATCGATAAAGATAAACACATGCAGTTTGAAGCAACATGGATGGAGCTAGAAGGGATCATGCTCAGCGAAATAAGCCAGAAAGAAAAAGAAAAATACCGGATGGTCTCCCTCATAGCAGGAATTTAGGAAACCTAAATAAGAGACCAGGAAAAAGACTAATCAACACAAAGTAAAAATCAAAATCAACAAGCAACTATAAACCAGAGACACACTACGGGGGCAGGGGGTGGTAGAGGGAAGGGCAGGGAGAGGAAGGACTAGAGTCAAAATAAGAGGGGGTACAATTGTATGGGGAATATAACCAAAATGAAAATGTATACATTGTGCAAAGATGAAAAATCATGTAAGAATTTTATAAAATAAAATATTAAAATAAAAAAAAAAGAAAGAAAGAAACTCTCAGTGTCATCCTGTAAATGCTGTGAAAGCTAACAACAAGGATTACATTGCTAGCCATTACTCTAAGGACAAAGAATGAAATTCAGCCTGGCCCACAGACCCTGGATCATCTGTTCTCCATCTTCCTCCCATCAAATAAATGGAAAGATATACCCAGTTCATAGGTTGGAAGAATCAACCTTGTCAAAATGGCCATCCAACCCAAAGCAATTTAGACATTCAATACAATCCCAATAAAAATCCCAATGGTGTTCTTCAAAGAAAGAGAACAGATATTACTGAAGTTCATAAGACAACACAAAAGACCCCAAATAGCCAAAGCTTTCCTGATATCAAAGGGGGGAAATGAGGTATCACACTTCTGATTTCCAACTATACTATAAAGCCAGAGTAGTTAAGGCAGCATGGTAATGGAATAAAAACAGACACACAGACTAATGGAATAGAATTGAGAGCCCAGAAATAAAACCATATGTTTATGGACAATTAATATACATGACAGGAGCAAAGTACATGCACTGGAACAAAGAAAGCCTCTTCAATAAAGGGTGCTGGAAAAGTGGACTGCCTCATGTAAAATAATGAAACTAGACCATGATCTCACACCACACATGAAAATCAACACAAAATGGATAAAACACTCAGATATAAGACCTAAAAACATCAAATATAAAGAGAAAAACCTATGTAAAATGCTCCCTAACATAAATTTCAGAAACATGTAAAGGAGAAAGTAAACAACAGATACTATATCAAACTAAAAGTTTTCTGTACAGCAAAAAAAGACAGTGACCCAAACAAAGAGGAATTAACATAAAAGGGGGCCTCCCTGGAGGTGCAGGTGGTTGAGCGCAGCGCTGTGAAGATGTCTGCAGCCTCTGCAGCGCGGGTTCGATACTGGCCGGCCAGGGAGCTACCCACATGGTGTGGCAGACTTCTCCTGTCTCACCTGCTGCTCCCCTCAGCAGTGTATTTCGGTCCATCTGCCTGTTCTGCCCCCTGCTCTGTCTCTGGTGAATCCTCTTACCCCCGGCACTTCTGGCCTGTACCCTGGTTCTTGTATGCATGAATAAATAAATCTTATTTTTTTTTTTTTTTAATAGAGGCATGCTTTATTTATTTATTTATTTGTTTGTTTGTTTTGTTTATACATGCACTGGGTACAGTCAGAAGCGCGGGAGGGTGAGAGAATTCACCAGAGCCAGAGCAGGGAGCAGAGCAGGCAGAAGGACCGAAGTACACTGCTGAGGGGAGCAGCGGGCGGCAGGAGAGGTCTGCGCGCCATGTGGGACCCTCCTCCGGTGGCCGGGGAGCAGCCGGGGATCGAACCGGCGCCACAGAGGCTGCGGGCAGCTTCGCAACCCAGCGCTCAACCACTGCGCCACCGGGGAGGCCCTAAATCTTATTTTAAAAAAGGGAATTAATATCAAAGACATACAAAGTACTTTTGCAACTCAACAAAATGAAAACAACGGAATCAAAAACGGGAAAATTAGCTAAACAGTCACTTCTCCAAAGAAGACATATAGATGGCCAACAGGCACATGAAAAAATTCTATCATTTATCACCAGGGAAATGCAAACCAAACCATAATGAGACATGACCTCACAACTGTGAGAAAGGCCCATAGTTAAAAAACACACATACACACAAACAAAAGTGCTGGCAAGGATGTGGAGAAAAGGACCCTCTTACACTGTTAGTGGATGTGTTAACTAGTCCAGACACAATGGAAAAAAGTGCGGATATTTCTCAAAAGACTGAAAATGGATCTTCCACATGACCTTGCAATTCCACTCCTAGGGATCTACCCAAAGAGCACAAATGAGGGTGCTTCCTGGTGTTGCAAGGGGTACAGTCTCAGCATTATGAAGCTCTCCACAGCCAGTGTACTGAATGCAATCCCTGGCCAGGGAGCTGAGCCACACGGTGTGGCAGACCTCTCCTGTCTCCCTGCTGCTCCCCTAAGCAGTGTATTTCAGTGGGTGGGCCTGTTCTGCCACACACACGCACATCTCTGCCCTGCATCCCATTTCTTGCGTGCATATATAAATAAATATTTAAAAGAAATCTTGATTTATGAAAACGTCCCCTGGATCTTTATGTACAGGAAGAACTGACGGGAAAGCATCTCAATGAAAACCCCAGGAAACGAACCACTCTACCTCTCAGATATATCAAATGTGATGGGCCTCCCCCGGTGGCGCAGAGGTTGAGCGCTGGGTTGCGAGGCTGCCCACAGCCTCTGCAGCGCCAGTTCGATCCCCAGCCACCGGCGAGGGTCCCACACACACACAAAAAAAATTATCATATGTGACTGTGTTCAGTCAAGAAAGTGGAATATAAAATTCTCAAGATAGTGTTATTCCAGCATGGATAGGAAACAGGAATGAACTCACCTAGTGTGCATGTGGACAAGAATGGACTTGGTGTCCAGTGGAACAAGATACAGCATTAACAGCAGGAGGCTCTAGCTGCAGCCAATCCTGGGGATCACCTTGCCCACATCTTGTTCAAAGAGTGTCCTTAGAAAATGAACCAAAGAGGAATGATTTCTATTTCACATACCAGACAAAATCAAAATCATGTTTTCATGCTACATTTCCTAACACACCATTATGTGAGAACGTGTCGTGAAGAGCATGGGGAACTGTTATTGTAAAGGTCACCTATTGGTGTGAACTCAGGGAAGAAGATGATGACATGTGATGGTATGTTTCTTCCCCCAGTTCATGGGAGTTCATGTTGTGATTCTGAAACTCTACATGGATACAAACTGCCCTTATACACATGTGTTTTAGGTCACAATTCAAAATAATGGAAATCACCACGAAAAAAGTCAGCTAACTCATAAAAGTGTTTCTCTGTGGATGAAAGATCATCATTGGCCATAGGTCATTTTATTTTCATGTATGGTTGAAATTTCCTAGAATGTACACAGTTCTCTCCGAGGTTCAGAATCAGTCAACTCTACTTGTGAAAACTCACCGGTGCACTTATATCCCGACCCTTGCCAAGGGAAAAGGAACCAGTCAAATTATTTTCAAAGTGAATCATTCTATTGTAGTCATAGAAAAACTACTTTAAGGGTGAAACTATGGCCTTCCTGCAAGTCAGGCAGGCATGGGCAGAGCAGACTCACTTGGAGTGAATGTCAAGGTCACCTCACTGATGTTAGTGAGGGGGTTTGGGTTTCTGGCCCGAACCCAGGCTCCTGCTCATTCGTAAATCCAAACAAACACATTTTGCCTTTTTTTAATTTTAAATTTAGAAATGTATTCTGCTTAACTCACAAGCTTTATCTTGCTTTGATTAAAACAGAGAGACAACAGGACACGCATTGACAGTCCAGACCCTTCGAGCTTTCCAATACAAGAGTTCTGAAAACTGTATGTACCTATGGAAGGAAAAAGGCCAAATGAAAAATAATGCCATGACATTTCATCAAACAAGATTTGAAATAACTGAGAGATCCTCTGTCTGCCTAGGTAATTGGCCTTAACAAAAAACAAACCACAAAAAAGAACAGGACAGCACAGAATGAAATTCCTGTGTTCCAAATCAACTCACCCCACATTATAGCCATGCCTAGGGTCCAGCCAACAGCAAGCTGTCATTTTCTGTCTCCTCCCAGAGCTCAGATCCTGATGATGGTAGCAGAGATTCCACAGTCAATAAGAGATATGGTGGCAGCAACACAGAGTTCCACTTTTGTGGAATTGCAGCCTTGGGCTGACTTCCAGGCAGGCTTGCCATCCCTACAAAGCCAGAAGCATCATCAATTATTTGGGCGCTAAGACTCCAACGAAGTAATGAGGAAGGAAAAACACCTCTGGGAATAACCAGAGCCAGGTCAAGGAGCCGTAAACATGCCAACATCAGGGTTCTCCACCAAGGAGTAGGAGTAACATCAATATAGTGTCATTAATGGAGATCACTCACTTCAGTCACGTGTGCACTGCAGGGCCTCAGGTCACCTCCAGCAGGTGCTCAGTAAACGTGATTCCTTTCTCCTTACCTGAGGAGCCCAACTTCTCCTCATAACAGGGGATTGCAAGGAAGGATGTAACAACAGTTTAACACATTAGAACGGTTAAGAGGCTAGTGGATTATCTACAAAATGCCCAGTTCCACGTGAATGAGTCGCTGTGGCTGATGCAGGCCCTGAAATAGGAGGAATCCTCTTGGCACCATGGGTCATAGAGAAAAGATCTCCAGAGCTCAGGAAAGGGCCCTTCTGGGTCTCAGATGATCCCCCATGAAGAACTTTCCACCCCTCATTGGTGACAGCACCTGGCTTCACCTGCTGTGTTTCTCGGGTGTGTCCTTTAGTGACACAGAGAGGGTCACTGCTTTCACTACATTGAGTCGGTTAATAATAACCCATTTTAGAAAACCAGAGACGTGCAGCCAGAGTGCGGCAGCCGCTGGGCTCCTGGTCACTCAAGGCTCAGGAAAGCCTGGGTTCTACTCAAGGGAGAGTCTAAAGGCGCCTCCTGAGGCAGTTTCCAGGTGTGAAAGCGCCGTTCCAGGCTCTGAATGGCCACATCAGCTGCGCGACAGCAAGAGACGAGGCCCTCAGACGAAGGCCCAGGCCCAGCAGGGGCAGCACCTCGGGAAAGCGGAGCCCCAGGCCCACGCGGCCCGCTGGTCAGAGCCCGCACCCGGGAGACTGGACGCGGCCCGGCCTCCCGCCTGCTGGACCCGGGGCGGGCGGGGACGGGCCCCGGAAAGTGGAAACCCCGGTCCCCAAGCTGCCCTGTAGCCCGCGGGGTGGAAACGCACAGGCCCGCGGGGGGGGGAGGCCCAGGACCCGCCGGGGCGCCCTCGCGGGCCGCAGTCCGGAGCAAACGCCTCGGGGAGCGGCGGGGCCGCGCACGAGGGACCCGGACCCCCGCGTCCTGCCGGCCCCAAAACGAGCCCCCAAAGCCCCAGTTCTCCACATCCCTGAGCCCCGAGCCCTCGCGCCTTCCCTCCCTCGGCCTCACCTGTCCGCTCCCCGCCGCCGGCTCCCCGGGTCAGGGCAGCGGCGCCCCCGCGGGGCTCCTGAGGGACCAGGCTCACCCCAGCCGGAACCTCACCCCCAAAGGCGGGCCAGCGGGGCCAGGGGCCTGGCCTGGGCGGGAGCGCATGCGCGGTAGCGGCGCAGGTGCAGCCAGGTGCGCGGGGCGGGGCGGGGGGCGGGGCGCGCAGGGGCTCCCGGAGGCCACGCCCACCGGCGCCGGCGCGGGCGGGAAGGTTCGCGAATAAACCCTGAGGCGCGGACGGATGTCGCCTGCTCGCGTATATACTGTGACCCTAAATTATCCGTAGTCATTAAAACGGCAAACAAGGCTGCTCCAGTTTCTGGGAAAGATTTTTTTTTAAATCATTCTTAAAAATCCCCTCACCTGAAGCTGACATAAAAGCATGACTAGGAGCCTCCCTGGTGGAGCAGGAGGTAAGCGCCGCGCTGTGAATCATCCCCAGCCTCTGGAGCCCCAGTTCACCCCCAGCCGGGAAGGTGACCCACAGGGCGCCACAGACCTCGCCTGTCTCCCCGCTGCTCCCCTCAGCAGTGGATTCCAGTCAGTCCACCTGCTCTGCTCCCCGCTCGGTCTCTGGTGAATCCTTTTAGCCCCAACCCGCACCTCTGGCCTGTACCCCAGCTCTTGTGTTCATAAGTAAATAAATCTGTAAAAAAAATAAACAAAATAAAATAAAGGCATGACTAAAACGTCATTTACCTGCAGATCCTGACATGGATCCTATTGCAAACATGAAAAAGCAGCTGCTATTCAAAATACACTCTGAGAAAAATGAAGGCTCTCGGCTCCACATAGAAGGTTTCTCGTTGCACATCATGGTGCAGCACAATACACCGTGGCCCCGACTCTGACATCCCTGAGTCTGCTCTGTGGTTAGTGGTTAGGGCTTGGAGTCAAGCCAAGCTGCAGAGACTGGGGCGGGATACTCTCCTTTTATCATCAGTGATGAATGAATGAGTCAAAAAAAAAAAAAAAGAAAAACAACACACCCCTGCCAATCTGCAATTACAAACGTGTCTCAAATTGAGTTTCCTACCTTGGAAGAATTGATGGAGGACAAGAGTGAAAAAACTGGAAAGGTGGTGCCCCAAGACCACAACCTGACTAATACAAGTTGGTGGGGGTAGAGGGGAGTAACTAATTCCTGAAACAACTTCAGTTTTTCAAGTTAAGTGGATATAGCCATTTAAGTTTGTTTGTTTGTTTGTTCTTGGTAATCAAGGAGGTTTCTAATATGAGATGGAAACTAAAGTCCTTACATGTTCTAATAAGTATCCCATTTCAATCATTTTATTTTTTTAAGATTGATTTATTTATGCATACAAGAACTGGGGCACAGGCCAGAGCTGTGGGGGGTGAGAGGATTCATCGGAGACAGAGTGGGGAGCTGAACAGGCAGACTGACTGAAATAGCTGCTATGCTGAGTTGTGTAGGGAGTGATGGCAAGGGCAGCGGCTGGGCAAGTTCAGGGCAGACACCCACCGCGGCCTCGCTGGATGCGCAGCCGCTGCAGCAGAGGCTGCCTACGGCCTGGCCTGACGCTCCCCCCCTCACCGCCCTGTGGGCTGTGTATCCATCCTCTGTAGGGGAGGGTCCAGCGAGTGTCCTGACACCTCCCGCGGCCCATGCAGGGCCCGGGAGATGTTTCCGAGCCCCGATATGTCTGCTGTCAGCGTCTTCTCCGAGGCAACAGCAGCGAAGAGCTCTGGGAGCGGCTGCTAAGTCAAACTAGAGTCACTTTCTGAGTCATGGGGCCGCCGCTCTGTGGGGCCACCTTCCTAGGACAGCCACGTGCACTGCCGCCCTGCTCCTCCCCACAGTCTTCCCTCCCTCCACCTTTCCATGCTGGAGCCGCCTGTGCGGCGCGATGGTGCCTTCCCACCGGGAGGCTGCGCAGGGCGGCTGAAACTCAGTGTGAGCCACGTGGGTTTTCTTGTAACCGACGACGGTAAACGTATTGTAGCTGATCAATGTTGAGTCCGTGAATGGAGAACCCACTGACAGCACAGCCGGCATAAGGGATCGCAGCTTTCTCCAGGCATTTTGGTGTCTGCAGGGTGGTGGTGGGGGGTGGGTGGCAGCATGGCTCCTCCAGAGTCAACTGCACTTGGCAAACTGGCCACTGGCTGGTTGAGGCACTCAGTGATCATGAGGATGGGCCGTGTCCATGAAGAAGCTGGTCTGGGCAGCTTCCCACCCTACTGCACATCAGTGTCACCCAAGGAGCTTTTAAAATGACACACAGACCCCCCTGCTTCCCCCAGTTTAACCATCCTATGTGCACCTGTGGTGAAAACCACCAGAAAGCTGAGGCCGGGACAGATGGGCTTCAGGAAACAGGCAGAGCCCACAGGGACCAGCTACATCCAGCCCTCTGTGGAGATGTCAGTGGAGGGGACCCCACATCTGTGTGAACCTTCCATACTCACGCCCTTGGTGTTACTGAACCCCCTGCTGTCATTTCCTAGGGTCACCAGTGCCACCAACTTGGTGGCTTTAAACCACAGAAATGGACACTCCCAGCCCTAGAGGTCCAAGCACAAACCCTGGCAAGGCTCCAGTGAGGGTGTCCGCAGGGCCACACACCCCCCCCCCACCTTCTGGGCTGCGGCCACACCACACAAGCCTCTGCCTCTGTCTCCACATCGCACGCGTGTGTGTGTTTTTGCACATGGGTGCACACACCTGGGCTCACACATGCTCAGGCCACACGGCCATCGCCACCCGGCCCCTCACACTGCGGATATTTAAAGTTGAGGTGCTCTGTGGGGCCCCGCAGCCTCCTGCCAAAGGCGCTCCCTGACCTCGCGTGCCAATGGCCTCGGAGCTGATGAAACAGAGGCCATGATTGCCGCCTCCTGCTCGAGTTTCCTTTAGATCCAACTCGTGGAGCCTCACCTGGCTGCTGTCCAGGAGGCAGAGCGAGTCTGCAGCCAGCGGCTTGGCCCCATTTGTCACCCAAGTCCAGCCAAAAAGTCAGACGCAGGGTGCCCCAGACTTGGGGATCACTTTGAAATCCCTTTTGAAGAAATGTTGCTTATCTTTAGCTCACTCTTAGCAGAATTTCAAGGCTGGAAAAGTCACCGACCCCTCGCGGGGGGGAAAAGCCTCTTAGTGGTCGTTTCTCAGTTGCTGCCACTTGCCATAGTGAGCCCCGAGAGGGCAGGCAGGCTTCTCCAGTTCAGAGCATCCGGCCGGCCTCGCCGGCCCCGGAGTTCCCCAGAATTCGCTGGGATCAGAGGGCGGGCAGCGCGAACCAGGGCCGTGGCCCGCCCGCCCCCCGCCCAGGCCCCGCCCAGGCCCCGCCCCTCGAGGCCCCGCCCCGGCCCTCGAGGCCCCGCCCCGTCTGCGGACAGACTCCGCGGCGCCGCCCGGCTCCCGCGCCCCCGCCCCCGAGCGCCGGGCGGGCGGAGTTGCGGGCGAGGGGCGGGCGGCGAGGGGCGGGGGTCCCGGTGACGGCATCCGAGCGCGCCGCGCTGGGGCTGGGAACCTGGCTGCGGGGCTGGGGGACGGCGCCGACGGCCCGGCAGGTGGGTGCGGGCCGGGGGCCGGGAGCGGGCGGGGGCGGGGGCGGGCGCGGGCCGGGCTGGCGGGGGGGGCGCGCTCGCCCCTGCCCGCCCGGCCTGCGCGGGTGGCCCCGGAGCCCGCACCCCGGGGGAGCCCTGCCCGGCGCGAGGAGCCTCGGTCCTTGCTCCAGCCCCGCAGGCCCCTCCCGGGCGGGCGCGACCCCCTCCCCCAAGTCGGGGCCCGAGCCCGGCACCCCGGGCCTGGCCTGGAGGAGCGGGCGCGGGCGCTGCGGGGATCCGGGCCCGCCGTGGCCGCTTCTGCAAACTTTCCGGAACTCCCGTCCCCTGCCCGCCGCCCCACGACCCTTCCCCTAACTCGAGCGCGGGTGTGGGGGCGCGGGCGTCTCGGGGGCTCGGAGCCCGGCTCCCCGGGCAGCAGTGCGGGGAAACGGGGACCCCCCCCCGCCCACACCCCGGCTCCACCAGCCTCAGGGAGAGGGGTGCGCCGAGGCGCCCGCGGTGTCGCGCGGCCGAGTTACTGGGTCCCCAGGGCCGCGCCCAGCAGGTACTGGACGATTCAACAAACCACTGAGCGCACGAACCGTTACACGTGCCAAGAGATCTAAAGTAATGAGAATAAAGGGGGGTGGGCAGCGGGCAGCGAGGACTGCCACCGGCGGAGGGAGCATGGGCGCCAGGAAGGTTCCTTGATGAGGTTTAAGCATGGCTCTTTGTTGGGCAGCTGCTGAGCATGGGGTCCCAGCAGGAAGGGGCAAGGAGGGCTGGCCCTCAGCTTCCAGTCCGGAGGGGGGTCATCAGCTCCCCCAGGGACTAATGATGGCCGAGTGGATGTGAGGGGTGGGGGGACACGGTGCTCAGGGGCTTCCCTGGCTCCCTCTAGAAGGTGGGGTGGCTTAAGGAAAGGTGGTGCATGGGAGGTGGGTTGTCAAGGCAGCCAGTCCCCAAGGCAGAGGGAACCTCCTTTAGGGGAAGGTTACAGAGGAATAGCATGATCGCGCCCCCTTCTGAAAGATGTCCCTGGCTGGTGGGGGAATGGGGGGTTGGAGCAGGAAGACTGACCCAGGCAGCTGTAGGTATCACCCTATCCAGGTGTAAGGACAGGGCCTGGGCAATAGGCAGGGAGTGCATGTGCCCCTGAGAAATGCCAAGGAGGTGGATCTGGCGGTGGAGGTTGACTGTGGGGTAAAGAAGGTGGGGTGGGGCCTCCCCGGTGGCGCAGCGGTTGAGTGCTGGGTTGCGGGGCTGCCCGCAGCCTCTGCGGCGCTGGTTCGATCCCCGGCTGCTCCCCGGCCACGGGAGGAGGGTCCCACATGGCGCGCAGACCTCTCCTGCCGCCCGCTGCTCCCCTCAGCAGTGTCCTTCGGTCCTTCTGCCTGCTCTGCTCCCCGCTCTGGCTCTGGTGAATTCTCTCGCCCTCCCGCGCTTCTGACTGTACCCAATGCTTGTATAAATAAATAAAAAATAAATCTTTAAAAAAAAAAAAAAAAAAAAAAAAGAAGGTGGGGTGGGGGTGATGTGACAAGCCAGACCTAGAAAGCCTGATGGGGTGTGGGAAGGAGTCCTGGGAGGCGGGACCCAGGGAGAGGGTGCAGCCGCAACTCTGACACCCTGGGTATCAGGTGGAGTTAGGGCTGCATCCATCACAGCCCCTACAGCTTTGGGCACCAGGGTGGGCACAGGCCTGGCCTGAGCTGTGACCACCCTCCCCTCCATCCTTCCCAAGTTGGGACTGAGGGCAAGTCGGGGCCTGATAGAAGAAGCCTCTTCCTCTCTCCGCAAGGCGCTCCCTCAACATGGGGCTGGAGGCCCAGAAGCTGCCGGAGGTCGAGGAAGCCCCGGTGAGGGTGGCCCTGCGAGTCCGCCCGCTGCTGCCCAAGGAGCTGCTACACGGGCACCAGAGCTGCCTGAGGGTGGAGCCCGGGCACGGCCGGGTCACCCTGGGCCGAGACCGCCACTTTGGCTTCCACGTGGTGCTGGACGAGGACGCCGGGCAGGAGGCTGCGTACCAGGCCTGTGTGCAGCCCCTCCTGGAGGCTTTCTTTGAGGGGTTCAATGCCACCGTCTTTGCCTACGGTCAGACCGGCTCCGGAAAGACCTACACCATGGGCGAGGCCAGTGTCGGTGAGTGACCCATGGCCCTGTGCCCTCTTGAGTGTGTGTGGCTCTGGAATCGCTGGCCCTGCCCTCTTGCTGCGGCTGGGAGAGCAGGTGTGGAAGTTGCTTCCTCTTTGGGGGTTGCCAGGCTGGCTGTGGGGGGGTCAGGAATCAGGGTTCTGGTTGGAGTGGTCGGGATAGGAGCTGCTTTACCACATGGCAGGGGGCAGCCTGGAGTAGTTTGGGGAGAGTTGCCCCTCTTAAGGAACACACAGTGTTTGCTTAGAAGTTCGGAAAGATACCTGTTGGTCATAGGAAAATAGGAAAATATGGCAGGTCACGTGCAGAGTAAAACTTATTTGGTAGCTGCCTTTTAGAAATCATGCCCTGTTAGCATTTCTTTCTCAGTGAAAATCATACTTTAAAAAATGGGATCATATTGCACCCACTCTTTTCTACCCTGTTTTATTTTCTTAATTTATCACAAACGTTTTTCTGTCTCGTTAAATATTCTTCAATTAAATTTTTTAATGGCTGCCTGGGATTCCACTGGAAATATAAGGTAATTTACTGACCCAGGTCTGCTGGATGTGAGGATGTTTGTATTGTTTTGAAGTTATGAGAACAACCTCTGGTTACCTGCTTGCAATAAGCCTGGGAGGTCCCAAACTGGAGGTCCCAGATCCGGCCATCTGGCAGGAATGTGGTGAAGGAGATACTGACATTGTGAAAGGTGCTGGTGGAACCGCAGAGGTTGCCTCCAACTCTGAAGTCATATAACTTGCCTGACCACCCAGCACCTGGCCTGGTTCAGGCTGCCCAGCCCATTGTAGCCCCTGCTGCTGCCTTCCTGCTGGAGACCGATCCTCAGCTGTGGGCAAGGGCCTCGGGCCATGTGCAGCTGAAGGCACAGTGGCAGGAGGCCCGGCGGTGTCTCCCCAGCCTCCCTGCACGAGGATGAGCAGGGCATCATCCCGCGGGCCATGGCGGAGGCCTTCAAGCTCATCGATGAGAACGACCTGCTGGACTGTCTGGTGCACGTGTCCTACCTGGAAGTGTACAAGGAGGAGTTCAGAGACCTGCTGGAGGTGGGGACCGCCAGCCGGGACATCCAGCTTCGGGAAGATGAGCGAGGCAATGTCGGTGAGGATGTGACCCTCCGCTGGCTGGAGGAGGGGTGCGCCTGGTGGGAGGAGGTTTGCCTGCTAGCTGGGGTGGCTCACTTGAGGGGGTGGCTTCCTAACTGCTTTGGTTTCCAGTCCTCACTGAGCTCAGTAGGCGCCTGAGTGAGAGGCACTGAGGTGGGGCAGGGGCGGGGCTGCATGCCCTCAAGCCCCAACTAGGGTGGGCAGGTCCCCTGGGCCTGGGGTGGGCCCCTGAGTTAGGAGAAGCCATTGAGGCCCGTGGTGCCCCCCTGCCCCGGCCCTCTGTGCCCGCAGTGCTGTGTGGGGTGAAGGAGGTGGACGTGGAGGGCCTGGACGAGGTGCTGAGCCTCCTGGAGATGGGGAACGCCGCCCGGCACACGGGCGCCACGCACCTCAACCGCCTGTCCAGCCGCTCGCACACCGTCTTCACCGTGACCCTGGAGCAGCGCGGCCGCGCCCCCAGCCGCCTGCCCCGGCCCGCGCCCGGCCAGCTGCTCGTGTCCAAGTTCCACTTCGTGGACCTGGCGGGCTCGGAGCGGGTGCTCAAGACGGGCAGCACGGGCGAGCGGCTGAAGGAGAGCATCCAGATCAACGGCAGCCTCCTGGCGCTCGGCAACGTCATCAGCGCCCTGGGCGACCCGCAGCGCCGCGGCGGCCACATCCCCTACCGCGACTCCAAGATCACCCGGTGAGCGCCCCGGCCGGGGGAGCGGGAGGCCCCTCGGTCCCCACGCGCTCCCGGGGTGACGCCCCGCCCGCGCGCCCGCCCGCCCGCAGGATCCTCAAAGACTCGCTGGGCGGCAACGCCAAGACGGTGATGATCGCCTGCGTCAGCCCCTCCGCCTCCGACTTCGACGAGACCCTCAACACCCTCAACTACGCCAGCCGCGCCCAGAACATCCGCAACCGCGCCTCGGTCAACTGGCGGCCCGAGGCCGAGCCGGCGCCCGAGGCGGCGGCGCCGGGCGCGCGGGGGCCGCCGCGGCACCGCTCGGAGACGCGCATCATCCACCGCGGCCGCCGCGCCCCGGGCCCCGCCGCCGCCGCCTCGGCCGCCGCCCGCCTGGGCGCCGAGTGCGCGCGCTACCGGGCCCGCACGGACGCGGCCTACAGCCTCCTGCGCGAGCTGCAGGCCCAGCCCGGGCTGCCCGGCGCCGCGGCCCGCAAGGTGCGCGACTGGCTGTGCGCCGTCGAGGGCGAGCGCAGCGCCCTGAGCTCCGCCTCCGGGCCCGACAGCGGCATCGAGAGCGCCTCCGCCGAGGAGCAGGCCACGCGGGGCCCCGGCGTGCGGCAGGTGGCCGAGGGCGGGCGGCGCTGGGGGCCCTGGGGAGGGGGCGCGCCCAGGGGGCGGGAGGAGGTTTTCAGCCGGACGGCTGTGCCCTTCCCTGCCCGTCAACCGAGCGCACTCGGGATTCAGGGTCACCTCTGCTGGTGACCGAGGGCGTCTCGCGGGCCAGCCGCAGGGTCTTTCTGCAGACCAAGTTAGGGGAACCCCTGGCAGGGCAGAGAGGACCAGGTGTCCAGGGACGGAGAGGCCTGTCTGCCCCTGAAGCCCTTCTCCCGCCCCGTAGGAAGAGGAAGGGGCACTGCAGCTGCTGGCTCTGCAGAGCCAGGTGGCCCGCCTGGAGGAGGAGAACCGAGACTTTCTGGCCGCGCTGGAGGACGCCATGGAGCAGTACAAACTGCAGGTGGGGCTGCCCCCTTCCCGAGGAGGTGAGGTCTCCCAGGGTGAGGAAGTGAGGGGGGACCCGGCAGGGGCGTATAGATGGGGTGGTGCAGGCACACCTGGCACAGGGGGGCACTGGGGAAGGTCATGAGTATGGTGGGGAGAGGGGACCAGAGGGACAGCAGGACGGATTCTGGATCCAGAACCTTTTTGTCTTGTCCCAAGATAACTGGGTCAGCACCCCTCCTGGTGCCCCCTAGGCCAGTGGTTGGCATGGATGGGAGGAGGGGCATGGAGGGGCACGGGGGGGGGGAGGGGGCTCAGGGTGGGGTGGAGAGAACCTGAACTAGTGCTGCACTGGGGGAGAGCACTGGCCCCCACCCCACCCCCCAGTTTTGGCCTAAAGAGGCCAGGGTGGCCTCAGCCCTGTCCTTGGGTCCCCTGCACGCTGCCTGTGAGTGCTGCCCCTCAGCGCATGCTCATGTTTTCCAGAGTGATCGGCTGCGTGAGCAGCAGGAGGAGATGGCAGAGCTCCGGCTGCGGCTGGAGCTGGTACAGCCTGGCTGGGGGGCCTCCGGGCTCCTGCAGGGCCTGCCTCCTGGGTCCTTCATGCCCCGGCCCCACACAGCCCCCTCAGGGAGTGCCCAGGCCCACGTGTTGGGCATGGTGCCTTCGGTCTGCCTCTCTGGAGATGAAGCTGGCCCTGAGAACTGGGGAGAGGTGAGGAGGCGACGAGGCTGGGTGTCTGCTGGGAGAGGTGCCCCCTTTTGGTGTCCCTAGAGGAAGGGTGGAGAGGTGGGGGACTCCACAGGGCCCCTCAGAGGGTCTGGTGCCATCGGCACCCCGGGCTAGCTGGAGACTGCTCACAGTGCGGAGGGTACGGAGGGGGTGTGGATGGTCCCTGGCTTCCCATGCTGCATGGGTTTCGCCGCCTCGAGAGCGGGTGAGCTCACCACCTCTGGGCGTCCCCCGTCCCTGAACACCTCTCTTTGCAAGGTCCTTTCCTGGGAGCCCTAACCTTCCCCGGGCCTGGCCGCCTGCTGTTAATTCTGTCACGTGGACCTCTGGGCAGAGGCTGCTCCTGCATCTCCCCGGGCACCCTGGTCCCCTGTGCTCCGATCCTAGGGGACTGACGGGTGGGCAGACTTGGCTTTGGCAGAGGTCTGCTGTGCACCCACACGCTGGCAGGGCAGTGCTGGCAAGACAAGACTGGGCGCAGCTGAGCCCTGTACACAGAATGGGCAGGTTGTCCCCTGAGGGGTAGCAGGTGGTAGGAGAGCCAGAGCAGGGGGAGGGCAGGGAGGGCAGAGGGAGCCAGAACAGGGTGGGCAGGGAGGGCAGGGGGAGCCAGAGCAGGGGAGGGCAGGGAGGGCAGAGGAAGCCAGAGCAGGGAGGGCAGGGAGGGCAGAGGAAGCGCTTGTTCCAACCTGAGTTTGGAGCAGCCCCCACGGGTGTCCTGAGTCCAGACCTTGGAGGCGCGGGGACTGAGGGGTTGCGAGGCAAGGAGAGGGCCCCGAGGCTTTGCTGTCCTGAGACACCGACATGCCCCTAGCAGGTGGCAAATGGTGAGGAGGCTGGAGCCGTGCTGCTGGCGGAGGGAGACAGGCTGGAAAGCGGGTCCTCAGCTGCATCAGAAGAGGAGGAGGAGGAGGAGCCCCCGCGAGCCTTGCACTTGCGCAGGTGAGGGGCACCCACTGCTCCCCTCACCAGGACCAGCACCCCACTGGCCCTGGAGAGCAGGATGGGCGTTGGGTGCCCTGAGCCAAGCGTTCCCAGCTGGTGGGCCTAGGCCTCCTGGTCCTCAGCCAGGGTGATCACTGTGTCCCCAGCAGCCCTGTGCCCCCAAAGCGGGGCCCCTGACCTCAGAGGCCTACCAGATCAGCACTTGAGGTGCCACCCCACCCTCAGGAGGCAAAGCTGGTGGTCTCTCTCCCGCCCTCTGGACTGAGAGGTGTCAGGGTGGGGAACACAGACTCCCGATTCTTCCTCCAGAAATGGGATCAGCAAGTGGAAGCACAGAGTGGGGGCTCACCCACGGAGCCCCCCTGACCTGAAGGGCACTGAGCTCTGCCTTGAGGAGTTGGATGCTGCCATCCCGGCGCCCAGAGGTGAGTGGAAGGGACACAGAGGGCCGAGCTCTCCCCAACATGTGCCCCTGCCCAGCTGTGCCCCTGCCCTGCCTCCCTCGTCATTTGGGGTGGTGGCCTGACAGTCAGCCTGTTCCAGCAGTCAGGGGGAGCCAGGCCCCTGTAGCCACGGCCTCCGAGTGGCGGCTGGCCCAAGCCCAGCAGAAGATCCGGGAGCTGGCCATCAACATCCGCATGAAGGAGGAGCTCATTGGGGAGCTGGTGCGCACAGGTGAGGGCGTTCCGGGCCTCCCACATGAGGGCGGTGGGGGCCGGGTCGGAGGCCCTTGGTTTCATACCCAGCTCAGCCTCTTCCATCTGTGTGACCTTGAGCAAGAGGGAAACCTGTAGGTGCCCCAGTTTCCTCATCTCCTGAGTGGGGAGCGCGAGTGCCCCTGTTTTGTAGGGCTGCTGTGAGAATGAAGGGTGTTACCTCCAGTGCTTAGAAAGGCTCCAGGAGACACTCCTTCCTCCGCTTCCTCCTCCTCTTAGCACACCCAAGTGCCTGCCGGTGCCACGCCCCTCTTGGACACACTGCCTTGGTCCTGGAGAACACTCAGGGGTGTGACCAAGACTCAGTGCCCCCAAACTGTGTGAAACCTGCTCCCAGTGACGCGGTTCCTATGTCGGGGCCAGGGGTGTGCCCAGACGGTGACCAGTGACCCCGTCTTTGAGTAGTTGTGAAGGTCCCACGCAGTGCTCTGAGAGTGTCCCTGTGACAGGCCAGGTGAGCGCAGGCCCCTCAGAGCCGCTGTCTGCCAGTGAACAGCCCCGAGATGTCCCCTCCTCTGTCTCATGGCTTTTTGTTGCTGGAACATTCTGGAGCAGGTCCCAGACATCACGTCCTCCCCCGCACTTTGCATGTGGCCCGCGGTGACTTCTTCCCAGGCCGAATGCCAGTAGCCCTGGGTGCTGAGCCCCGTCCTGGGGGTGAATCGGGCTCCAGACGTGTCCCGCATTGCCTGTTTGCCACCTCCCGGCCTGGCCTCACTCCCTCTCCCACCTTCACAGCCATCCTGCAGAATGTTCCAGAGTGTTCTGGGCTTGCCTGTGAGTAGAAGGTACTTCTCGAGGCTTAGAGCATGCAGGCTTGGCCTCTGTTCACACACGTCAGGTGACGCGCCCCTGGGTCACCGCTGGGCACGAGCTCCTCTGGAGACTGAGCCAAGACAGTGTTAAGCGGCTGGAGGAGCCGGTGGCGCTCAGCCTTGGCAAGGCCGAGAGGGCAGGTGTCCATGGTGACAAAGGTCTCCAAAGCCATCCAGTGGCCCAAAGAGGGTCCTCTTGGGGGAGGGGCCGACGTGTCGACTCAACCCCTCTCCTCCAGGGAAGGCGGCCCAGGCGCTGAACCGCCAGCACAGCCAGCGCATCCGGGAGCTGGAGCGGGAGGCCGAGCGGGTGCGGGCCGAGCTGAGCGAGGGGCAGCGGCAGCTGCGGGAGCTGGAGGGCAGGGAGCCCCAGGATGCTGGAGAGCGGTCCCAGCTCCAGGAGTTCCGCAAGAGGGTGGCCGCGGCCCAGAGCCAGGTACAGGTCAGTGTTGGGGCCCCGATGGGTGGCAGCTCTGGTGGGGTCCCTAGGATCAGGCGCACAGGCCGAGGAACTAGGCTTGCTGTGCATCCTGTGGGTACCCAGGCCTTGCACCCAGCCCCTGGCCGGTGGTGCAGATGCCTCCTGGCCTCGGACGAGGCCTCCTGGGCAGTGCTGGGATCAGCTCAGCTTTGACACGGCCGCGGCAGGTTCTGCCCAAGACCATCCAGGGGACCAAGGAGAGGGTGGGGGTTGGGCCCCCACAGAGAATCACCCCTCCCTTATGCAGCCCTCTCTTCCCTCCACCCGCCCGCCCCTCCCTGTCGGCCTGCCCGCGTGTCCTCTCCCCAGTGGACGCGCATAACCGCATCCGTGCGCCTGTCCGCTCCCTGTCTTCCTCGTCCCTGACACTGACCCGTGCGCCATCCGTCCACCCTACTTTCACCTCCGAGCTGCCCCTTCCGCCTGCCTGGCCGCGGACTCCCGTCACGCAGCCCGCCTCTCCCAGGCCGGGGTCTGAGCTCAGGCTGTGGCGCCTGCCTGCTTGGGTTTGCGTCCCGGCCCCACTCCTCACCGCGTGTGTCCTCGGCCAGGTCCCTGCCCTCTGTGCCTCCGTTTCCTGATCTTCAGGGTGGGGGGAGAGTCATCTCACTGCAGGCCACGGAGCCCTCGGGACCCAGCCCGCCCCCCCAGGTGCCTGTGGGCGCCGCCCCACCTGTGCGGGCTCCCTTCTTCCCGGGCCCCTGGCACGCACCGTTGGTCCCGCCGGCCCTTGCTGCGTGCTCGGCGCCAGGCTGCGGTGCCAGCAGAGGCTGTGTCGGCCCAGGTGCTGCGGGAGAAGAAGCAGGCCACGGAGCGGCTGGCGTCGCTGTCGGCACAGAGCAAGAAGCGGCTGCAGGAGCTGGAGAGGAACGTGCAGCTCATGCGGCAGCAGCAGGGGCAGCTGCAGCGGCGGCTACGTGAGGAGACGGAGCAGAAGCGGCGCCTGGAGGCGGAGATGAGCAAGCGGCAGCACCGTGTCAAGGTCTGCGCTTGGCTGCCAGGGGCCCGGCCCAGCATCAGGCAGGGCTTGGGCTGGGGCCTGCCCGGGAGCCAGGGAGGTGGCGCCCGGTCTCACGGCTCCCCGCCTCATGGCCTTAGTCAGCAAGGGGGTCCCGGTGGTCTTTGCCACCAGGAAGGGGGCAGTCACGGGAAAGTCAAGGCTGGGGTGAGAGGGCAATGAGGGCCGGCGCCAAGGGGACTGCAGTGGGGAGCTGGGAAGGCTTGGCCTCTGTCTGTGGCCCCCAGGGGGAGAGATGGGGTGCTGGGGCAGGCGCTGGCCCCGCACCAGGCCCTGCACCCAGAGTCTCTCGCTGGTGTGTTCCCAGGAGCTGGAACTGAAGCACGAGCAGCAGCAGAAGATCTTGAAGATCAAGACGGAGGAGATCGCAGCCTTCCAGAGGAAGCGGCGCAGCGGCAGCAACGGCTCGGTGGTCAGCCTGGAGCAGCAGCAGGTGCGAGTGGGAGCCCCCATGGCCTGGCCGGGCCCCCGGGCATCAGCTGGTGGGCACACTTCCCCCCATCTGAGCTGGGGGGCCTAGTGGTCAGAGGTGAGAAGCTGAGTACCCCCCGCCCTGCTGCTATCCCACAGAAGATCGAGGAGCAGAAGAAGTGGCTGGACCAGGAGATGGAGAAGGTCCTGCAGCAGCGGCGGGCACTGGAGGAGCTGGGGGTGGAGCTGCACAAGCGGGAGGCCATCCTGGCCAAGAAGGAGGCCCTGATGCAGGAGAAGACGGGGCTGGAGAGCAAGCGCCTGCGGTCCAGCCAGGTGAGGTCCGGCCAGGTGAGGCCTGGCCAGGTGGCATCCCATCAGGTGAGGTCTTCCAAGTGAGGTCCCGTGAGGCGATACCCCTGCCAGGTGAGCTCTTGCCTGGGGAGGGCCGACAGGCGAGGCTCTTCTGGGCGATGTCCCGGCCAGGTACAGTGAGTCTGTGTCTTTCATGACCTTAGGGGTCACGATGCGGTTCCAATGTGTGGCTTGAACCTCCTCAAGTTCCCATCCCATTATCCATTTTGCCTCATTAGACCCCTGCTCTGGGAGGGTGAGCGAGGAACAAGGGGGGAGGTGCCTGGCCAGAGTGCCCCCCACCTGCCCCCAGCGGCACACCACTGCCCCTCGCTGCCCGCAGTGTTGCTGTTCTCTCTGGAGCAGGAGGCTCCGAGCCACGTTCCTCCCATGAGGTGGAATTCCACATTGCTCTCAGGATTAGAGGGGCAGGCCACACGTGGACCCGAGCCCGCTGCAGGAGTGGTGCTTGGGTAGAACCTCGCTCTAGAAGTCCAGGAGCTTCGGGGTCTGAGCCATGGTGCCCCCTGGCCTTGAGCACCCTCATGGCCTCCCACACCAGGCTCCCAGAGGGCCTCAGGCCCTGTGTCCTATAATCCCCACTGCAAACCCCAGTGAACGGCCATACCAGCCTCCTCTAGGGGCCTCCCTGGCAGCTGCAGGCCCGTCCGTCCCCACCCCTGAAGCTTCTGCAGAAAGAAGGCCGGCTTCAGGATTCTAGAGAGGACTGCGCCTCCTCAGCCCCCGACTGCGGGGCTGGCTGTTTGTGTGACCCCAGCGGTGCTGCCCCAGGCCCTCAATGAGGACATCGTGCGGGTGTCCAGCCGGCTGGAGCATCTGGAGAAGGAGCTGTCCGAGAAGAGCGGGCAGCTGCGGCAGGGCAGCGCCCAGACCCAGCAGCAGATCCGTGGGGAGATTGACACCCTGCGGCAGGAGAAGGACTCGCTGCTCAAGCAGCGGCTGGAGATCGACGGCAAGCTGAGGCAGGGCAGCCTGCTGTCCCCGGAGGTACGCGCCACCTGCCTGGCCCCATCTCCTGGCTCCGGGCACTGGCCTCGCTGCAGCCCTGGACGGGGTGGGGCCGAGAGCCCTGGCCTGGTCCTGGACACAAGGTGGGCCTTGCAGCCAGACCTGGGCTCATGCATCTCGGTTCCCTGGGCAGGAGCCATTGGGGCAAGACCGTGTACCTCGTGGCCATGTGCACATGCCCGACCCAAGCAGCAGGGAAAGCCGGGGCAAGCCGAGCTTGCGTGCAGTGCCCGTGCTCCGCCGTGGCCCGGCCTCATGTGGGTTTCTGAGCTTCCTGGGTCCTGTGACCACTCAGGCTGCTTCAGAGAGCAGCTGAGTAGAGCCCGGCTCTGTCCCTGTCCCACCAGGAGGGGCCGCCACCTCTGGACGGCCTGACTGCACACTCAGGACCGGGCCACTTGATGGCTCGGCCGCAGCTGCGTGCTCACCTCTCCATGTGCCAGAATCGCTGGCTCAGGGAGCGGGACTCGCCCCCTCACCCTGCCCGTGTCCTCGCAGGAGGAGCGGACGCTGTTCCAGCTGGACGAGGCCATCGAGGCCCTGGACGCGGCCATCGAGTACAAGAACGAGGCCATCACTAGCCGCCAGCGGGTGCTGCGGGCCTCGGCCTCCTTGCTGTCCCAGTGCGAGATGAACCTCATGGCCAAGCTCAGCTACCTCTCCTCCTCGGAGACCAGAGCTCTGCTCTGCAAGTACTTTGACAAGGTGGGTCGCCCACAAGCCCCCTGCGGCCTCTCTGGGACGCGTGCAGGGGAGGCGTTTGGCGGCCACCCTCCCGACAGCGGGGGCAGAACTGGAACGGTCCAGGGCCACCTCGGACTCTGCTTTAGAGCCAGTTTTGCTTAGTGGGACCGAGACCGGTCTCCTCACCTACCCTCTGGTCTGGTTGCCCCTTCAAGGTGGTCCTGGCCGAGATCAGCGGCTCTTAACAGGGGACAGATCATGCCTGGGGGTGCTTTCGATCAACACAAAGGTGGGGTGGGCCGGGGACGCCGCTAAACAGCCCACAGTGCACAGGATGGGTTCCCACCGCCAGGAATTACCTGGCTCAAAGCCAGAGGCGCATGGGGAGCAGCTCTGGCCTTGTGGAATCCCACAGCCGAAGCCCTGCTAAACCTTCTCAGTGCGAGCAGGAGGGCTGCTGGCAGGAGGGCAGGTCTGAGTCACCTCGGGAGCCAGCGGCCATCACTTGGATGTAGCTGTTGAGAGCTGAGACCCTGATGTCTCAGGGACCTCTGTCCCGGCGTGGGGGTGGCCAGCTTGCCACGTCCCGGCTGTGCTGGCGGAGGGCGACCGGGGTTCCCGGGCCTGGGCCTGACTGAGCCAGGCGGTTCTGCGGCAGGTGGTGACCCTGCGGGAGGAGCAGCACCAGCAGCAGGTGGCCTTCTCGGAGCTGGAGATGCAGCTGGAGGAGCAACAGAGGCTGGTATACTGGCTGGAGGTGGCCCTGGAGCGGCAGCGCCTGGAGATGGACCGCCAGCTGACCCTGCAGCAGAAGGGGCACGAGCAGAACATGCAGCTGCTGCTGCAGCAGAGTCGAGGTGAGGCAGCCCCGCAGGCCCTGCCCGCCCACCCCCACCCCCCGCCGCCCCTCATCACTGCCTGCCCTTCTCTCCTCCAGACCATGTTGGTGAGGGGGGCGTGGACAGCAGGAGGCAGTACGAGGCCAGGATTCAAGCCCTGGAGAAGGAGCTGGGCCGCCATGTGTGGATAAACCAGGAGCTGAGGCAGAAGCTTGGCGGCCTGAGCACGGTCGCAGGCCCAAGTCGGGGTAACGTTCACCTTCCGTCACCCGGTTCGTTCCTCTCTGGGGGCCACTTCGAAGCCACACTGACCACACCTCTGGTGGGGGCTTTTCGCACAAGGCTTTGGGCAGATCATGCTTCGGGGCAGGGGGAGGGGAGCCACCCCCTCTGACCAGGCTGGTACTTTCTGTGACAGGTGGAGAGAAGCGGACCCTCTGCCTGGAGAGCAGACACCCTCTTGGGAATGAGGAGGAGCTGCCCCCAGCCCCCGAACTGTTCTGGCAGCCCCCCATCACTGAGGGCAGCCCCCGCACCCCCGGGAAGAGATGCGGGACTTGGTCCGCGCACCTTTGCCAGTGACCTGGAAGCGCTCCAGCCTGGGGGGTGAGGAGCAGGCTGCCCCTGAGGAGCCCCGACAGTGGGAGGTGGCTGAGCCCCCAGCAGGACAGGCGCCTCCTGGGGGTGAAGGGGGCCTGTCCCGGGGTTTCGGGCCCTCAGCCAAGCCCCGGAGGGAAGTGCGCAGGGTCAGCCCCAGCATGATTGACGTCAGGAAGAACCCCCTGTAGGCTCTGGGGCCCAGCAGCCTCGAGGGGGGCTAGTCCTGCTGAGGTGCACCCACAGATCTGTACCCCAACCAAGTGACAAGCTGGCCATTGGCCTAAAGAGCTGGACTCAAAACCTGGTTTTTAAAAAGTGCACCCCTCCCCCTTCACTGGGGGACTTGACTGCCCCAGGCCTGGGTCTGGGGGAAGGCTAGCGCCATGTCCAGTGCCCTAGGTCTGGGGCGCAGCAGGAAAGGAAACGGCCTTGGGCTCTAAATGTCTTCTGCACGCGGCGGAACTGGGCAGTACATATTTTTAGGATTTTGTAAAACCATTTTATAATAAACAAGTACAGTCTCTAAAGGGAGAAATGGAGCGTCCACTTGGGTTTGCTGTACCAGCAGGCAGGAGTCGGCTTCGGGAACACGGCAGGTGAGGTGGTCTGGAGACGGCCCCCACGGCCCGGGCAGCGCGGCCTCCAGACCCGGCCCCTCCAGCCAGCCGCCAGGGCGCAGCTGAACAGAAACACACCTGAGGCCGGGGAGCCAGAGGGACTTTATTGCTGCAACAGAAATGGCTCCTGTCGCCCACAAAGGCTTTGGCTTCTCAGGGCGGAGTCCAAGAGCACAGCGTGTCCCGGGGTCCCGCCTGAGGGCAGCCAGTGGGAAGCTGCCTGGGGTGGTCTCTGCCCTCCTACCTGCCCAGGTCACGCCCACAGCAGGGCTGGGTGGGCTCCACCTGCAGCCCAACCTCCAGCTCCCGACAGGTTGGCTTTCAGGGGGTCCTGAAAGCTGATGTGTCAACAAGCCTTGGGGCCAGGCCCCCATCTCTCCATGTCCGCGGGGCCCTGGCTGACTTCACCTCCATCTTCAGTGCTCCCGCAGCCATCAGAGTCCTGGCCGATGACGCAGAGCAGGGCCCGGCTGGAGGGCTGGAGCCCCCCTGGGGCAGCGCATAGTGCTGTGCTCGGCTGGCGGCATCCCCCCAGCTAGCTGATGAGCTTCTTGCGTGTGTAAGTCCTCGCGATGGGGCGCCGCCTGGAGAAGGCTCGGCTCAAGGGGGACTCCTCTGCCACAGGAGGGAAGATATCTGCATCCTCGTCTAGAAAAAGCAGACAAGTGGCCTGCAGAGACGGCTGGGGTGGAGCAGAAAGAAATGCATGCGGGGGTCCCCAGCCTGTGGGTGCCGTCCTACGGGGGCGGGGTGCAGCGCCCCACAATCACGTGCTCCCGGGAACACCAGCCCCGGGGCAGCACAGATCTGTGGGGTGTGGCGTTTGGTGTGAAGGGAGGCCCACGGGCCGCACCCACGCTCAAGCTGCAGGCGCAGCACTGCTCAGGCCCCCTCGGCCCAGAGTCAGCAGCAGGCCGCGTCACCTGCCCCTTCTGGAAGCCAAGGTGGGTGCACCCAGCGGCTTGTGTCTGGGTGCACAGACCCAGGATGGAGTTTCCCTGGGGCCGGCCCGTGGTGCTCCCTCCTGGGCACCGGGCGGAGCCTCGGAGCTCATGTCCACACGGGGCAGGTCTGTCCAGGCCACAGGGGCCCTCGCAAATACCTGAGGCGTCGCCGCGCCGGGCGGGCGCCTTCCCCTGGAGGAGCAGCGGAGACTGGGTCAGCGCCTGGAGCCCGCTGGCAGAAAGGCCACTCCCCACGCTGCAGCTGGGGGGCGGGGTGCAACCTGGGGGGAAGGCACACGGTCAGCACAGCCCCGCAGCACCCCCCCCCCATGGTGTGCTCAGAGGCAGCGCACCCACCTGAAGCAAACACGTCGTCGTCCCCTGCAGTGGGCAGCTGCCAGGCGCTGGCACCCTGGGGCCCGTCCTCGCTCCTGCGGGCTTCCTGGAGCTCTCCCTGCGGACCACACCCCCTCTTGGCCTGGCCCTCGGCTTCCTCCTTGGCAGAAAGGGGTCTCTTCCTGGACCCCAACCCGAACAGGCCCCAGGCGGCCTCCTCTACCCTGGGCATCCCCTCCCAGGGAGGCGACTGCTCTGGCAGCTGGCACACTCCCTCAAGCTCAAAATCCCCCAAGAGGGGAGTCCTGGTGACGCTGAACTCCAGGTGGGGCTCCTTCCCCTCGGGCTGGAACATCAACATGCCCCCGGGAAAATCCAGGGTGGCCTCGCCTCTCCCGGCGTTGGCGCCGACACTGCAGCCCACCGCCCTCTTTCTCCGTGGCCAGTCTTTGATGGGGTCGGGGGGCGTCTTGCCGCTGTGCTTCGGAGATGGGGTCCAGGGAACCCCAATGTCTGTGTGGAAGGGTGAGGGGGTACTGGTGGGGCAGTGGGTGGGGGTACAGCACTGGCAGATGTAGGTCTGCCCCCCACCTTTGCCGGGGGTGCTGTGCGAGGGCCGAAGGCAGGGGGGCGACAGGTAGGTGGGTTCAGGTTTGCTGGAGAACTTGCTGCCCCTGGGGGCGCTGGGGCCGGGGAGGCTGCTCTCCTCTCCCGCGGCGTGCTCCCCGCTTCCTGGGGGCTCGGCTTCTGATGTGGAGCTGGGGTCAATTTTTTTAATCCGCAGCTTGGGGAGGCCGGAGGCCTGCATCTCCAGCTCCACCGCGTAGGTCTGCGGGCTGGCGGGGGCTCTGGACACCGCGGCCGGCAAGCCCCCCGGCTGCGAGGCAGGCTGGCACCACCTTCTGTCTGAGGCCCCGCACGGGGTCCGTGGGGAGCTGGGCCCTGTGGAAGGAGAGGGGGGACGCCCCCGGCTGGACAGATAAGTCTTCTCGGCAGCTGCCACGCTGGACCCCTGGCCTTCCGCCGGCGAAAGACTCCCTTCCATGCCATCGTGGGCACCGGGCTCGGCTTCGTCCAGGAGCGTGAGTGGCTCCGTGTCACCGGCAATCCGCGGTGGTGGGGATGCAGGCCAGCCGCTCCCAGAACGGGCTCCAGAGGAAGCAGGCCTCTGCGGAGCAGGCTGAGGCGAGGGGCTGGCTTCCGCCAGGGCCTCTAGAGCGCCCCCGGCAGCAGCCGGGCCGTCAGTGACAGCAACCGCGGGAGCAGCAGCGGGTTCTGAGGCGCGCTCCAGGAACCTTCTCGTGGGATTACACACCCTTCGAGGCCTTTTCCCCCATTTAGATGGGGGCAGCGGAGGGACACTGTCAGAGTCAGGGTTCTGGGAGATCCGGGGGGGAGTTGAGGGTGCAGGACAGGAGAGCGAATGGGCTGCGCTGCCCGCTGTGTGGGGCCCTTTCCCAGCCAGGTCTCCGGGGGCCGGAGGCGCTACCGACTCCCTGTGTGGACTCCTCCAGGGAACATCGCCCAAAGAAGGGTTCTCTGGAGAGCCAGGTGGGGAAGAAGTCAGAGTTGTGTCTCCTGGTCCCTTTGGGGTGTGGACACTCTTGTCCTCCCATGTCTGTGCTGGCTCCTCTGCCTGAGAAGCTCCGGGGACAGGGGGATGTGGGTGCATTTGATTCAGAGGTGTGCCTGTGCAGGCAGCTTGTCCCTGCACCCCCAAGGTAGCTGCTCTCGGGGGCGTTCTAAGGGCGTATCTGACGGGAGTGGCAGCGGCTGACAGAAAGGGGGCTGCCGGGCCCAAGGTGCCTTCTGGACTGGGGCTCGGGCAAGATGGCCACACAGGATTCTGCAGACAGCCAAGCGGGCGAGCCCCTGGCCCATGGGGAGTTCCTGGTGTCGTCTTTTCCAGAGGAGAGGCAGTTCCTCCTGCCAGGGAGCATCCGCTCTGAGGGGTAACTTTTGGCTGAGTTGGTGCACCCCAGCCACACGGGGAGGAGTCTCTCAAAGACCCCTTACAACCGGCCTGCTTGGCAGGTGTCACTTCTGCAGGGGGTCTCTGCGGCCTCTCGGGGGTGCACAGCGGGCTCTGTGGTGGACGAGGGAACCTTCTTGGTGTTGCTTTAGAAGAGCCTGGAGATTTTCGGGACGTCTTCTTAGGCGTCTGTAAAGGAAAACTCATTCCAGTGCTGGATTATCATAACCCGTGTTCTCTAGGGGGCGTTTCTGTCATCCCTCGATGCTTAGAAGGGCAAATGGGTGCTTTTGATTTATCGTCTCAACCTAGTCTAGTCAGCACTCGTGCTCAGTGGGACACAGACATAGTAATAGTGGGGCCGGTACAATAGGCCAGGCAGGGGCATTGTGGGAGCCGAGGGAGGGCTGCCTGTCTCACCCAGCTGGGGGTTGGGGAGGAGTCTCAAGCCACACCTTCAAGACTGAGTGTCCGCAGGTAAAGGCAAGAGGTGGGAACGTGGGGCAAGGGACTTCAGGCACAGCAAACACTTTAAGTAAAGGCATGAGAGTGAAAAGCAGCAGCTGTGTGCAGGCCAGGACACAGCCTGGTGCTGCTGAGAAGCCCCAGCAGAGTTGGCTGAGGCAGGCCAGCAGGGACCAGACCCAGAGGCCCTTGTCTGTCCAGGGAGCAGCCTGAACTCGGGCCTGCAGAGCTGAGTTTCAGACTTCCCAGAACTCCATGTCCTCCCCCAACCTCAGAGCAGCTTACTGGGTTTCCAAAAATTAATATTTTTTAACACAAGGGCTCCATTTTAAGAAAACTTAGAATATCCTGCTCTAACGGATGAGCGCCAAGCAAGTGATGTGGCCAAAGAGATCTCTGGGGCAGGATGGATTTGAGAGGAAAGGCAGGACAGGGAAGGTCGATGTTCTGTAAGACACAACTTGGCCTAAAATGGGCAGGAATGATTGACTGGCGGTGCCAGGGGAGAGGGAGCAGTCAGGGCGACTCCAATGGGTCCCGGCTAGAGCAGTGGGCAATCTAATGGCGGGTGACATGCTACACGCTCATCTCCCGTGTGTGCCCACGGCCCACTACAGATCAGGAGCAGCCACAAGAGAATGGGACCACTCCCATAGCCTACCCCCACTGTGGCCTCCGCCAGACAGCCGCCCTAGTCCCCGTATACCCAGTCCCCTGGGTCACCTGCTGTGGCCCCCAATCTCTAGGATTATCACCTACAGACCCCCCTCACAGACTCAGTGGACTTCCTTGGCCTTGTCTCTCGATATGCTCCCCAAGACTATGCTATTTTAAATATTATAAAAACTTTATACCTGATAAGCTGTAGGTCTGTCAGACCCAGGCGTGTTTCGTGAAGGCCTTTTAATTCGGGCTGAACCCTTCTCTGAAGGACTGATCACCTCAGACACAGCCCCAAAAAAAAGCCTCTTGGGAGACCGAATACTTTGAAATGGAGAATTTTCTCTTTGTTCTGCAAATCAAAAAAGTGACATCACTTAATTTCTTCACCATTCCTGCCCTCCCAACACCAATGAAATAGTCCATATGAGAAACAAGATGAACTTTTAGAGCAACTGGGAAAGAAACCCCATCAGTAACTGCCACCTTCTTGAAATATAAGCAATTACATTAGTTTAATTTAAACCTATAAATAAAAACTCCTAGATGATCCAAGCTAATGATGGGGAAAATTATAAAGGGGATACAAACAAGCATCACCTTCTCCCTGGGACACCTGTTTGGGGTCTCTGAACACAAGCTGGAGGTTACAGGTGACTTCTTGAACGAATTACTTCTCAGGACAACGTGGACAACCAGCTGGAGGAATCCAAAGGGATAACTCCAAAAATGGTGGCCATGAATTTTTTAGTTCACCATTATGAGCCTCAAAATACAATCTGATTTCACTTCTCTAATGTCAAGAAAGAGAATGTTGAATGTTATCCTTCTCTTCCTAGATTACTCCCCACCAGTCAGCGCGGACTTCTGGAGCAGGCGCGCCACGTTACCTGACTTGTCTTGGGATGAGTGAACTCTCTGCACACTTCGAGACTTGGGCTGAGACACAGAATAGAAGGAACCAGAATTTGTCCTGCTGAACGACAACTGCTTGATTCGAGGACTTCGTCTCAAACCTAATTCTGTAAAAAGGGAATCAGAGCCAGTGGTCAGGGGAGAGCATGAGGCTGACGATTCCCCACGGCAGGGATGACGGCTCTGCACCACCCAGGCGGAGACAGGACAGCTGTTGGTCTTGAGACTTCTGAGTGTGGGTCCAGAGTCAAGAGGCCTTTTTCTAGACCCCAGCAAGATACAAAACACACTGGCTCACCAGACTGTCACCTTCAGAAGTCTCATTTTAAAAAACATACACTGCAGGTTTCACATGTGTATGCTATACATATCTGTATAGCAGTAACACTGGTGAGAGTATTATTAAAGCTAAAAGTACCTCTAAGTTAGGATCACCCAAGTAAGCATTAAAATTTTGACCTCTCTACATGTTCTGATTTTTCAACAATAAAAATCAATTGTAAAAAAAAGCTAGTTTTTAGAAACCCTTTCTTCACCAAATACTTTTTTAAAAAAGCCAAGCTGGGCCTCCCCGTTGGCGCAGCAGGTTGAGCGCCGCCTGCGCTCTAAAGCTGTCCACAGCCTCTGCAACGCGGGTTTGATTCCTGGCTGGCCAGGAAGAAACCCACATGCCTTCTCCTGCCTCGCCTGCTGCTTCCCTTGGCAGTGTCTTTGGTCTTTTTGCCTATTCTGCTCCCCACTCTGTCTCTGGTGAATTCTCTGGTCCTCCCTCACCGCTGACTGTACCCCAGTTCTTTTATAAATAAATAAATCTTTAAAAAAAAAAAAAGCCACAGCACTTTGAGTCATGTGACAGTTACAGCCCTCACTCCAAATTCCATTTCTTTGGTAAAAATATTTCTCAGCACATTCTAAGACCATCCATTCACCCGTAGGTATTTACTGATTGACGCGATGGATCCAGAACTGACAAAGTGTCTGTAAAATATCTAAATCAGTATCTTGAGAGACAAAACAAATAAAGGAAAATTTTATAAACTAGGTAGACTGTAATAAACAAACCCACAAACAAAAGTGCAAGCCCCCCAAACAAACAAATGTTGGTAATACCATGGTCTCCTTTTTCTGGGGACTCTTCAACCACGTCAATCTCAGGCCCCGGATCAGAGGACCTTGAGGAACAACAAGCAGGACGGTTACTTGCCATCACCACTGCTGTGTGCGGGACACAGCCTGTCACCCCCAGGCAGGACCCCTGCTGTCAGTGCCCATCTGCACTCACATCCAGTGGGATGCTTAGGGGGATTTTTAAGAAAGCAGTTTTAAAGATCACATCTAAAACATGTATACCTTCTGCCCCACAACTTCATTTCTTGCTATCTGTAGGGAAACTTGCACAAGTGCAACATCTGTACATAAATGACATTAGGACAGGGCCCTGACAAGGTCAAGTGTCCCCCCACTGCTCCTATTCAAATAGCTAGAGATCCTGGGCATTATAGAGACAACATACTTAAGACTAGAAGTGGAGATAAGTGATAGACTGGTTGGGGAACTCAGGGGCAGGAAAGAGACGGGGCCAGTGAGCCCCCAGTTCCCTGGGTTGGGTCTTCAGAAGCTGACGACCGGAGCACCAGCAGTAGAGCACCAGCAGCTGAGGACAAACACTACCTGAGGTAAAGTCAGTGATCTCCAGTCAGAGGGCAGATGAACGGGACAGCAACCTTTCAGACAAGAACAGCCTGCCCTCTCCCATTCAATTGCCACGGAAAACTGTGGCCCCTGCCACATCCTGTTCTAGCCTGGCCTGGCAGCAATGATGGTTCCCTTCTTCCCTGGGTCACTAGATGAAATGGACGTAAGCTAGCAAAAAACTGCAGCTATCCACTCGATGGAATACGACTCAGCTATAAAAAGGAATGAACCATGGACACACCCAGTCACATGGACAGTCATGCCAAGTAAGACAGCAGGTCAGTGCACATGCTGCATGTGGTTTTCCCGCCCCCTCCCCACCCCGGCATTTACTGAAGACCCTTTGGTTATAAGCTCACAGTGAAGACCTAAGATGCATGGGTCACGAGGAAACAGCGGCACCCCAAACTGGTCACTGGGAAGGCTGCGTGAAGCTGGACCAGGCTGTCACCCACCTGCCCTTGATTTGCCTGTGAAGCAGCCTCCTGGACATCTGCTTGTGTACAGGGGTCTCGGCCACACTCTTCGTCAGCAGTCTGTGATAACCTAAAACATAAACAGCAGGAGCTTCCTTTCACTTCATCAAGCCGCAGCAGCAAAGTAAGAGGAGCATTTTACACTTAAGTGTGCCTAATTGCTGAGCTGGAGCCAATCTTAATGGTTTTGGACTAAGGCCTAACTACAGCCCAACCACTACAACACAATACAGTACAGTACAGTAGATACAGTACAGTATCTACAATATCAGTAGATTATAGAGATTAAATAAAATGTTAGAGATTAAATAAAATGTTAATGTAAAATATTCTAAAATTATTAGTTCCTGAAATCCTGAGGAAAGAAACACGCTCACATACCCATCCTAGTTGGTCATTCTTATATTTATGATTAAATGAAAAATAGGATGTGAACGTGCCGACAGGCCACGCAAAGGTGAAGCTATTTAATATAAGGTAAGCCAGATGGCATACATTTTCTCATTAAGTAGTTAGTAATCTGCTTATGGGAAGACTGGCTTAAAGGAAGTTAAAAATGACCAGAAAGAGGCATTCTATCGGCAGGAATGCACTGGGAAAAGCCAATGTTTAGAACTCTGAAAACTGACCAGTTTACAATCCAGGGAGTAGTTATTCAAGAAAAATAGCAAGGTAGGCCCAAAGACCAAAACCATACAGGGTATGTTCTCCAACCACAACAGAATGAAACTAGAAATCAGGAACAGAAGAAAATTTGGGAAACTCACAAATGTGTGGAAGTTTGACACACAACTAAACACATAACAATAGGGAAAGGAGAACTTAAAGGTATTCTAGATGGAAATAAAAACACAACAGACCAGAACTTTCAAGATACAACTAGAGATGAATTTGTAGCTATATAAATGCCTGCAATAAACATCTCAAACACTTACCTATCTTAACCTTTGAAAACTAAAAAAGATGAAACATCAAAGCAAATAGAGGGATAGAAGTAATGAAAGTCACATAGGAAATAAATGGAATCAAGAATAGAAAAATAGGGGCCTCCCTGGTGGCACGAGGGATTAAGACGCAGCACTATGAAGCTATCTGCAGCCACTGCAGCATGAGTTCAATCCCCCACCAGGGGCCTGATCCACATGGCACGGCCAACCTCTTCTGTCTCCCTGCTGCTCCCTACAGCAGTGTATTTCAGAAGATCTGCCTGTTCTGTGCCCTACTCCGGTGAATCCTCTCACTTCCCCATACCTCTGGCCTGCATCCCAGCTCTTGTATGCATAAATTAAAAAATAAATCTTAAAAAAAATAGAAAAATACCAAGATGAAAATGCATACATTGTGCAAAAATGAGAAATGTAAAAAATACATAAAATTTTTAAAAAAGAATAGAAAAATAGTAGAAATAATAGAGAAAAACAAAAGAGAGAACCAACCTAGTTGCTTCTTTGAAAAGATAAATAAAATCAATAAACCTTAGTTGGATCAAGAAAAAAATGGTGGGCCTCCCCTGGTGGCGCAGGCGGTTGAGCACTGCGCTGTGGAGCTGTCTGCAGCCTCTGCAGTGCTGGTTCGATCCCGGCTGGCTGGCCTACAAGGGTCCCACATGGCGCGGCGGACCTCTCTTGTCGTGCCCGCTACTCCCCTCAGCAGTGCATTTCGTCAGTCTGCCTGTTCTGTTCCCCACTCTTTCTCTGGTGAATCCGCTCCCCCCCCCCCGCACATCTGGCTTGTACCCCGGTTCTTGTATGAATAAATAAATAAATCTTTAAAAAAACAAAGAAAGAAATGGTAAAACGCAAACTACCACCTCAGGAATGAAGGGAGACTCACAGAAAAACAAAGGACTACAGGGAAATACTAGGAACTGTAACTGCAAATCAGATGAGCTAGGTGAGGGGGCAAATTTCCAGAGACATACACTACTGAAAACAAACTCAAAAGAAATAGATTTGACAAAGGAGCAAAGAATATGCACTAGCACAAAGAAAGTTTGTTCAGTAAATGGTGCTGGGAAAACTGGGTCGCTACATGCAAAAGAATGAAGCTTGACCACTACTCACACCATGCACAAAAACCAACTCAAAATGGATTAAAGAACTAGACATAAAACCTGAAACCATAAAATACATAAGTAAATATAGGTGAAACACTACATGACATGCACCTCAAAGACATCTTTACAGACACATCACCCAAAGCAGTGATAGTGAAGGCAAAGATAAACAGCTGGGACTACATCAAATTAAAGAGCTTCTGCACAGCAAAAGAGACAATAACCAAAACAAAGAGAAACCCCACCCACTGGGAGAACATTTTTGCACACAACACTAACGATAAAGGACTGATCACAAAAATCTACAAAGAGCTGATGAGACTCAACAAAAACAAAGAAAATAATTCCGTCAAATAATGGGCAGAAGAGCTAAAAAGAAACTTCTCTGAAGAAGAAATGCAAATGGCCAACAGGCATATGAAAAAATGTTCAACATCACTTGTCATCAGGGAAATGCAAATCAAAAGTACAATGAGATACCATCTCACACCAGTGAGAATGGCACATATTAAAAAAACTAGCAACAACAAAAGCTGGCGAGGTTGTGGAGAAAAAGGAACTCTCCTGCACCGCTGGTGGGAGTGTGAACTGGTCCAACCACTATGGAGAGCTGTGTGGAGATTTCTGGACCTACTAAACAGAGAGCTTCCATAGGATCCAGCAATTCCACTCCTAGGTATTTACGCAAATGACACAGAAACAGTAATTCCAAAGGGCACCTGCACCCCTATGTTTACAGCAGCACTATTTACAATAGCTAAGCTATGGAAACAACCCAAATGCCCAAAAATAGATGACTGGATCAAGAAGATGTGGTACATATACAAAATGGAATATTACTCAGCAATCAAAAATGATAAACACATGCCGTTTGCAGCAACATGGAGCTAGAAGGGATCATGCTCAGTGAAATAAGTCAGAAAGAAAAAGAAAAATACCAAATGGTCTCACTCATAGTAGGAATTTAGAAAACCTAAATAAGAGGCCAGGAAAAAGACTAATCAATACAAAGTAAAAATGAAAATCAACAAGCAACTATAAACCAGAGACACACTACGTGGGGGGAAGGGGCGGGGAAAGGAAGGACTAGAGTCAAAATAAGGGGGGAGGTGCAATTGTATGGGGAATATAACCAAAATGAAAATGCATACATTGTGCAAAGATGAAAAAAGATGTAAGAATTATATAAAACAAAACATTTAAAGAAAAAAAAAAGAGAAATAGAAAATCTGAACAGATTTGTAACAACTAATAAGATTGAATCAGTGATCAAAAATTTCCCACAAATGCCCAGGACTAAATGGTTTCACAGCTGAATTCTATCTAACATTTAATAAACAATTAACACCTTAATGTATATGTTTGATTGTTTTCAACTATGATGTGAAAATGACTGAATGACTAAAGAACAGTTGCTTCCTGTAATTCATGCTGGATCAACCGGAAACTGACACGCAAAGAATGATGTTGGACTGTTATCCTCCCACAAAATAATATACAGAAATTAACTCTAAGTGGATCAAAGATCTAAAAGCAAGCACTTAAACAATAAAACTCTTGGAATAAAAAAAATGTAAAATTAACTAGTAGTAACCACAGAAGAAAGGGAAAAAAAGATCAGATTCCCAAATTTCTGCAACCATGAAGAGAGTGGGGAATCACACTAGGTCCAAGAAAGCCATCTGTAAGAGAAGCAGTCAGAAGCAACCTCCAAATCTACAGCAGATGCTCACAGCCAACCTGATGGTACAAGGTGGAGCTTTTCAGACTCTACCCTTAATGTCACCTCTATGACAGAAGGTGGACTCCATACCTGGATGTCCTAGAGCAGGCTGATGGGAAATAGGGATGGAACTTGGGCTTTCTGTATTTAGACCCTCCCAAGGAGGGTGTCTGTGGAGAATCTGCCTCTGCCACATGAAGCTTCAGCTTGCACCTGGGTCCCTGCTCAATGGATGCTCGCTATCTGGGGCAGGACAGACGGCTTCCAGCCACATGCCAGTCTGTGAGTACTTTCTCTCTCCCCGCCCCCACCCCCTTTCCTCACTCCCTGTGTAAATAAATTCTGTTATTGCTGTTTCTCCTTGCGTGTGTGCTTTTGGGTAGGGTTCTGTGTTCTTAAGTGCATGGATGAGAACCCAGCAACTGGGTCAACCCAGTTCCTCTGGATTTGGTGTTCCACCCCAATGTAGTTTCACTGCTAAAATGTAGTACCTTTGGTCTTCTTGAAGTTGTCAGGTTTATACTGCAGACCTTCCACAGCGGACACAGATTGGCTTCTAGGCAACACCTGCTTTTGTGATCTCTTCGAAGAAGAAATCATTTCCTCATTAAAGAGATTCCTTCGAACTTTGGTCATTTCTGAAAGCATCAAAAATAAAAGTCAGACCTGCTCTGCTCCCCGCTCTGGCTCTGGTGAATTCTCGCACCCTCCCGCGCTTCTGACTGTACCCAGTGCATGTATAAACAAAAACAAACAAATGAATAAATAAATAAATAAAACATGCCTCTATTTTAAAAAAATAAATAAATAAATAAATAAAAGTCAGAAAGTATCACTACTAAATGTCATGTCTGAGAAAAAGACAGATATCCAAACCAGAAAAACTGCTCAAAGAAGCCATTTCACAAACTGATGCTATATTCACATTCACTAATAGGGTTTCCTTAAATAACATGCTCACAAGGTAGATTCAAATTATTTATTCACAAATTCAGTTTAAATCCAACTAAACTGCTATCTTTTTCATTGTAAAGTAGACAGAATCCTTAAAGAGTTTGGTCCTTTTAGTATATCCTACTATAACAATTTTTCTCACTTTGGACCGTTTCACTGCTTTATATTCAGTCCAGCTTCAAGGAAATAAACTCTTCAGTTCCACAGATTTCATTCTTCTTTTTGCTGGATTATTTTAAATTCCCTTTCTCACCCCAGAGCATGAGAGTTGTGACCATCAAGATCCCAAGTTAGGAGAAATAGCTAGAGTCAAAAACACTTCACAAATCCAGCAGGATGGCATCTTAAGCAAGAGGGCCTGCAGGGACTACGCACAAATTGACTAAGGGTAAATTCTTCTAAGAGCAAGTTATTTAAAACCAAACAGGGTTGAGATCCACAAACTAGGAGAGGCCCTCACGCTTACCTATTGATGCTGTAAACATTAATGCTAAGGACACCAATAATAACTAACAAAATCTCAAAGAAAAGTTTTTGCCTTAGGTTTCCTGTGAAACTGACGGGGGAGAAAGAGCAAGTTTAATGACCTGATGGCCTAATTTGATCTATTTTGTTTTGTTTTTTCCTCCCAAGTTTTTAAAAAGTTTAATATCTACAGAATATTTTTAAGAATATAATAGGGCCTTCCTGGTGGCGCAGGCGGTTGAGAGCCACGCTGTGAAGCTGTTCGCAGCCTCTGCAGTGTGGGTTCGATCCCGGCCGGCCAGCAAGAATCCCACATGGCGCAGCAGACCTCTCCTGAGTCTTGCCTGCTGCTCCCCTCAGCAGTGTTTTCAGTCGGTCTGCCTGTTCTGCTCCCTGCTCTGTCTCTGGTGAATCTTCTCACCCTCCTGCGCCTCTGGCCTATCCCCAGCTCTTGTATAAATAAAAATAAAATCTTAAAAAAAAAAAATAATAATTATATATATATATATAATAAACAGACTCATCACTGAAATCCACCAACTGACAGCATCTCCTTTCTTCTCACCCTTTACACTCCGTGTGCAGATGTCACAGCCCCAACCCCCGAGCTCCAGCACCCTCTCCTACAACAAGGGCACACTGTCTAGTACAGAGTCCATCTCTACTTTCTCTCACTGTCTCAACACTATCTGTCAGCTTTCTCCTTCCCCTAAATTTAAGGTGCAAGCAGGGATCATGTGATATTTAGTGACTATTCTTCTAAACCAAACTTACTGTCTCTTCTTTCTTGGCTTTCACGATAATGCAAGATTTCAGGTGATTTGTAGAATGTAGTATTTTGAGACCATGTGGACCTTACTCCCCCAGTGCTTGGTATTTGGGCATTTCATTAACAATTACACAAAAACTGTAATTTACCATGTATGCAGGTGCTCATACAATAAAATAAATTTGCCATTGAGGCCAATAAACGTGTACACTGTGCTTGCCGTGGCCATGTTCTCACACTGACTGTACGGAAAGAGGAGGTGAAGTAAACTCTTCTCTGCACACCCCAGTCCAGGCCACTTGCCTGCTCTGTATTGTGAATAGGGCAACAAGAAGGAACAGAAATAACTGCACTGAGGAGACCAAGAGTACCTTGTACGGCTTCTTTCCCTGGGAGAGGAGGCTGCTGAAGGGCAGGGTGACAGCTGTCCTGAAAGATGGAAAAACCCTGTAAGAAGATGTAAGGAAATACTCGCTGAACATACGAGACTAAAAATCCCACATGAACCCCTTTCACTCAGGTAGCTGCACTTGCAGGGATCCCTAACAAAAGCAGGAGCAGAGGCCCAGAAACAGGCATGTGCTCCAAGGACACTGGAGCTGCTGCGGTGGTGCAGTGAGACGTCCGTACACCTGCACCGAGCATGAGACACTGCAGTATGGCCACCTGACACTCATGAGAAGAATCCAAACAGCTGAGAGCACACAGGAAGGAAGGCCTACATATACTGACACAGAAAGGTCTGCAATGGGGGAAGTAAATTTAAAAAACAAAGAGTAAGTGTAGCAAGTTAACCACTTACTCGGGTTCTGCACGTGTGTAAGAGGGGTCTGTGAATCCCTGACATGCTGTCAGCAGCACAGAACAAGGCCTGAGCATATATAACCCCCAGCTGTCATCAGCGACCACTTCTGAGGAACAGATGAAAAAGGAACACCCTACCTTTTAACTTTATGTGATTTTGGTTTTCAAATTATTATACTTTTCTAACTAAAAAATGAGGAAAAGCCCATATCAGCCACCAGAGGGTGGCCACCCTCAGGAACTTCTCTATTAAACAGCTATGTATTTGCTATATTAGCAGGAGTTTCAAGCGTTTAAATTTCAGATGCATCTAGACAATGGAATTATTTTTAAAGATTTTTATGTTTTTCCAATTATGCTACTCTAATAACTGAAAGATAACGATAATATAACCAAAATTAAATCCTGATCTCAGTAAATCTTGTCTTAAAGAAGTAAATGGTCTTGATCAATCCCAAACAGAAAATTTAGAAGGAGTGCTGGAGAGGACCTGCACCGCTGGCAGGTCTGAAAAGGGGAGGCCTGACACAATGCAGCCTCTGCTTGTGGACTATGCACTAGAGAAGCACGACCCCAAGGTACCCAAGAAAGTGAATACCGTGAAGTCTTTAAAAGAAAGCCGAGCTCCATTCCAAAGAGAGCTACAAGTCCTTAGATAGTGCGCAAACCACTATAAGGATTTAAGATTCTAGAGCTAGTTCTCAGTTTCAACTATTTTCAGATCTTTGTCTCCTGTCCTTAGCAAGACATTAATTCTACTTAGAAAATAGGGTGGTTTTTGTTTGATTTTTGCAACCAGTGGAAACCTCAAGTCCTTACAACCAGGGCCATACAGAAACAATTATGGCTGATTTCATGACAGCAACCTGGCCCTTTTCTAACCAATGGCCTCTTTGCTTATGTTAGGTGTTTTTTTAATGGTTTCCTATCTACATTAAAGATTTTGAATTAACTTATCCCTAACACTTATTGCTGATTATTTTCATATTTCCGCTTCACCATCACACGTTTGGATAAGAGAGTAAAGGATACCGAGATAAAAGCAGATGTTTATACTGTGCACACAACTGTGCACGCAACTGGAAGAAATCTACATTTCTTTACTCCTGGGATCACGGCTGCACACACACTCACGAAAACACCTGCTCATCTCTGCACCCTCCAATGCCTACTTCCTGAAAATCAAGACACTGCCTTTATTCTCACTGGTTGGTCAACTCAGGCCGGAAGGAACAACCGCTGGGAATGACTTACAGTTTTTGTAGCTCTCTTGGATACTTTGGGAATTTCAATTTGCCGAAGAGTCTGTGAAACGTCAGCAATGCTTTTATGTCTTATTAATGCGTTTTTCCTTTTAAAGGAAGAAAGAAACAGTCAATATACACTTGCCCGAGGGGACAGTAGTTATATTAGCACAGAGCTAGACTTGAAACATCTAAATAAAGGCCAGTCATAGTTAGGATGGTATGCGTTTACAACAAAATAATCAATCCCAGCATTTCCAAAAGTAACTGCTATAAATTCAACTGTTATGTACAATGAAAAACATCAAGGAAAAAAATAAAAAGAAAAGCTCAGAAAGTAAGCTGGAACCCTAAACTCATCTCAAAAGGTTCCGAGTTCTGGGTGACCCCACATGATGGTGAGGGAACACAGGGTGGGCTACATGATCAACACACATCCTGTGGGCCCTGTGCACCCGCAGCGTCAGAGCTTGTCAGGATCCAGTGACTGGCTCCTGGGAGTCTGCCATGAGGGCTGCTAGTCCCTCCCTATTATAGACAAAGACAGCTGGGCTGTGGCTTGAAGGCGCCCTTCGTTGGAAACCAAGAGTGTGTGTAGCCCTGTAATTACCTCCTCTTCTTGGCTGATCTGGTGCGCAGCTCCTCCAGCTGGTCCGATTCAGTGCTGGCCGACACTGACCTATTAGCACATGAGGTGAGAGGCTCGGAAAGAAGGGGTGACTTGCTCTCCTGTGTCAGGGAATCATCACTAAAAAAGTCGGCAGGAAGGACACTGGCCAGCTTCTGAGGGATGGCTAAGCCGAGGCTGTCATAAAGCTCCCCGAGTGTCTTTGGGATGGAGTCAATGTACCTGGGAACAGATGGGTACGATGTGGTCGCCACCCTTCCTCCCCCTCCTCCACCCAGCATGAGGAACGGGCCATAAATGCCATAGTTATGAGACAATGCCACATGCAGTTCTCGGCAGAATAATTTTAAACTTAAACCAGTAGTTATCAAACTCACAATCCCAAAATTTCCTCCAGAAAGCCGGCCAGGTACGCTAAGTCCTCTGTCAAACACACTATGCGCAACAGATCCGCCACCTGCAGGAGAGTTCAGGATCACCACCCACTGCTGTGGGGAAGCTGGGGGCACCCAGTGCCTTCCCAGGGGCGCCCGCTGTACACTCACCTCTTTCACCACTTGCTCCGCGTCACCCGCGTGTTCCTGCGCTGAAGGGCACTGCAGACACATCTCCAGACGAAGAAACACCTGGAGCTGGCACCTTGGGAGAACAGACACTTGGTCATATGTATGTTGCATGCTGCGAGTGCTCTCCTTAAGCAGAGATCTGGTTATGCAGAAACCACCACAGCCGCCTCTCAGCAACGGTGTGGCCATTAGGCTGACTCAAACTGCACGAAGGAGCATCATCCGGAATTAGCCACAAAGGCCGCTTGAAGCAACTAATGCTCTATTTTAAACTGACACAAGTGAATCCTGAGCTTTGCCTTGAAGTATTGGTAAAGAGAAAAACAAAGAAAAAGGTAGTTACTTACTCTCTGACTTTTTCTCCTTTATCCAGGTTCTTCCCTATATTCTGTCGAAGACTTTTGCTAGTCTTTAAGAGGTTATTTTTTATTTGATTCAGGCAGTTCACCTGAAAGTACAAAATTATTGCATAAGGGAATGTTAAGTTACTTGTCATTCCTCATTTTTTTCACAGCTACCCAATGCCCTAAGAAGGGAAGTACATTCCCTTATAAAGCTCCCCTTTCTGGTCTCCCTGGTGGCACAAAGGGTTAAATCTCAGCACTATGAAGCTATCGCCAGTCTCTGCAGCATGAGTTCAATCCCCAGGCAGGGAGTTAACCCACATGGTGCAGCAGACCTCTCCTGTCTCGCCCGCTGCTCCCCTCAGCAGTGCATTTCAGTGGATCCACCTGTTCTGCTTCCCACTCAGTCTCTGGTGAATCCTCTCACCCCAGCACCTCTGCCCTGTACCCCAGTTCTTGCATGCATAAATAAATAAATCTTTAAAAAAAAAATCTCTCCTTTCCTTCAGATGAATGAAAAATAGTGAAATGAATATTCTTCTGTCTTTAAAAAGAGCTTGGTAGAAAAAGCACTTGGGAGCACATGGGCTCTGACACAGCAACTCTGCAGATCTGGATTTTCTAGAAAGGAGGACCCTACGAAGCAGTTGGCTGAGAAGTCTAAATGGTCAAAGATGGTTCCATCTGTTCACCTCAGAGAAGGGACTGGCCGCCCCCAGTAGCCAGGAACAGAACAACAAAGCGCGGTCTCATACGCTTCCTGAGCTCAGGAGTCGTTTGGAAAGCTTTTAAAAAGCACAGATGCCTAGGTCCCACCTTCCAGCCTCGCTTCAGCTGGCCTGGAGGGAGTCGAACACCAGCATTTAAGAAAATGTCCTAAGTGAAGTCTAGGCGCAGCCATGGCAGCCATGCAGCAGCTCGCGGCTCATGTGGGGAGAAAAGCCAGGCCCCAGGCCTCCCACCTCACCTTCCACCAAGGCCTTCTGAGTTATGCTCACCCCTGTGCTTACCTTATTTCTGAATTACATGTGGCATAACACACTTACAAACATACCAACTGAACCCCCCAACAAGCAGCCAAGACCACACCTTGACTCTTACTTCTAGTCCCTGGGTGCCTGTGGACTTGAGGAACGCTTTAATGGTGGAGACCATGTTCTGAGCACATGGATACAGCGCAATTTCCCCTGCGGCCACGGTCTTTTGGTAACTTTCATGTATGTAAGATAGTAGCTCCTCCTCAGTTTTAAATTCTGTGAAAAAAGTCACATTGGTCATTACATTCAGCTGAAATCATCAGATTATTTAAACCACTGATTGCCTATTGAGAATTTTTGCCTCTTGGGGGACACCTGGTTATGTCTGGGTTGCCATGACTGTGGAGAGAGGAAGGGAGAGGCAGGCTCCCAGAGTGCGGAGGCCTGGGATGAACCCAGGGCAGCCCCACAGCACAGAATTATCCAGCCTGAATGCAACCATGCTGACACTGAGAAAGCAGATAGTGGTTAATTTTAACACTTTGCAAAACAAGTATACATGTTATAAATTTAAGGGTGACTGCTAATGAAAAAGAAACTACATGATCTCCAAGCTTAGCAGAAAGGAAAAACAGGACAAAGAAAACTTGATTATTCCCATGGTCTGCTAAAAAGGAAAAAAACAACAGAAGCACAATATAAAATACACCTGAGCTTATCAGGAACCATAATAATCATAAACACACACTCTACAAATACATTTGCTGGTCAAAAGATGATTCTTTAAAAAGCTGAAAAGTCTGAGGCAAGATAGTATTTATTTATTTTTTTAAAGATTTATTTTGATTTATGTATATAAGATCTGGGGTGCAGGCCAGAGGTGCGGGGGGTGAAAGGATTCACCAGAAACAGTGGGGAGCAGAGCAGGCAGAAATACACTCCTGAGGGGAGCAGCGGGGAGACAGGAGAGGTCTGCTGCGCCATGTGGGTCAACTCCCAGGCATGGGATCGAACTCGTGCTGTAGTGGCTGGCGATAGCTTGATAGCACTGAGACTTTAACCCCTGCGCCACCAGGAAGGCCCAAGATAGTATAATTTAAAATGAGACAAATGTAAGCAATATTATTAGTATAGAAGAGATAGAGGAGGGATTCAAACTAGTATTATGAAGATCAAGGTTCATTTTTTTCCTAGATAACTTTTCGTTGAAAAGAGTATCCTCTTACATGGATGGCGCTGGAAGGGATCATGCTCAGCGAAATAAGCCAGAAAGAAAAAGAAAAATACCGGATGGTCTCACTCATAGCAGGAATCTAGAAAACTTAAATAAGGGACCAAGAAAATGAATAACTATAAGAAAGTGAAAATCGGGCCTCCCCGGTGGCGCAGCGGTTGAGCGCTGGGTTGCGAAGCTGCCTGCAACCTCTGCAGCCGGTTCAATCCCCGGCTGCTCCCCGGCCACCGGAGGAGGGTCCCGCATGGCGCGCAGACCTCTCCTGCCGCCCGCTGCTCCCCTCAGCAGTGTCCTTCGGTCCTTCTGCCTGCTCTGCTCCCCGCTCTGGCTCTGGTGAATTCTCTCACCCTCCCGCGCTTCTGACTGTACCCAGTGCATGTATAAACCAAACAAACAAACAAATAATAAATAAATAAATAAGACATGCCTCTAGAAAATTAAAAAAAAAAAAAAAAAAAAAAAGAAAGTGAAAATCAAAATCAACAAAAACTATGAACCAGAGACACTTTTGGGGGGGGGGTGGCGGGAGGGGAGGGACTGGGGTCAGAATGAGGGGGTTGCAATTGTATGAGGAATATAAAAATAAAATTTATTATTTAAAAAAAAAAAAAGAGTATCCTCTTCCCAATGACTTACTAGAGCACCTCTGTCAAAAACCACTTTAACACAAGTCTAATTCTGGAAAGAATCTGGTTGAGGCCACACTGTCTGGGCACTTGCTCCTGCTCTCCTTTCAATGCACTATAAAGAGACGCCCTCCCCCTCACACGTCCTGTCACCGAGGAACCTAGCCTGCACAAGAAGAGAACTTTAAAGGAGTTTCAGAATTTTCAAAAGAACGCAAGGTGATATGTAAAGTTTGTGCCCAAAGCTCACAAGCTATTGTCACAACCGCCCGCAGGACTGTTGCTGAGAGTGCAGATGTGCCCTGAGACTCTGAAACAGGCCCTAATCCAACCGATGTCTGGAAAAGAAAGCCACTGGCTTCAGTACCTTTCCAGCACGGTCCTTCGTCCTCTGACTCTGCTCACGGCCCCTTAGGAGCCAAAGCCTGTTCCAGCCCGACTGACCTCCCTTTTTGGCCCCAACAATGCTTTACTTCCTGAACGAGCAAGCGTTCTCTGTGACAGACGCTTGACTCTTTGCATTAGGTTTATTAGTTCATTATATACGTCTGTTCCTTGTTATTACCTTTGGAGCTAATCACACCAGCGACATCACCTTACTCTTACTGTGGCCCCTGGGACATGCTGTCGGGTGTACTCAGATGGCCAGCCTGCAACCTCTACTGGGGACGTGACTGGTGTACTGGGGCGGGGGGGAGGTGAGGTGTGACCCCCCCCCCCCAGATAGAGGTGCTACAATGAGGAGTACCTTTAGCTTTGGAGCTCCTCAGCACCCTCCCTCTGCCTTCCAATCTATCAGTTGCTCTCCCACTGGCCATCTTCAGGGTGCCTTTCTCCCCACTGGCCTCTGGACTGCCGTTGGGATGCAACTTCTGAGCCTTTACGTTCAGCCTGGCGACATTCAGCATCTTTAAGGAACGGCACATGGTGTTCATCTTCTGCCTCACTGGAGTACGAGGGACGCCTCCTGGCAACACACCATGGGAAGAAAGGAAAACCTTTTACTTCTGTGAAACCAAGAACTGAAACTTCATGCAGATGAAATATTTTGTGGGAGGACACTGGGACAAAGTACAGGCCTTCAGAATCTTTCTACCTACAATAGAGGGTAGAAAGAGTATAGCACAAGTTCAGAAACAAAACATGTCAGTGTGGTGAGGTGACTTACAAAAAGCAAATGCCAAACGGCCCATTCCGGTGCTACCCAGGGGCCGCTGGGCTGAGAACACTACTCTGGAAGACAGCAATCTGCATCAAGAGCTACCTTCTTGCAATTTTTTTTTTTTAAAAGATTTGTTTATACAAGAACCGGGTTATAGGCCAGATGAGTGGGAGGGTGAGAGGATTCACCAGAGACAGAGCCAGGAACAGAACAGGCAGACTGACGAAATACACTGCTGAGGGGAGCAGCGGGCGTGGCAGGAGAGGTCTGCTGCGCCATGTGGGATTCTCGCCGGCCTGCCGGGATCAAACTGGTGCTGCAGAGGCTGTGGACAGCTTCACAGCGTGGCACTCAACTGCCTGCACCACCAGGGAGGCCCTTGCACTTTAATACAGTAACTTGGCTCTGGAAATTTTTGCTATGGAAATCACTCAAAGAATAAGTCATATGCCTATTATCTATAATGATAAAATTTTTTCCTTTTTTTATAATAAAATTTGAAAACAAGATGAAAAGTTACCTTTTACAGAAAAATGGAAGGAACTTGAGGGGAATCATGCAAAGTGAAGTAAGCCAGAAAGTTAAAGACAAATACTGGACAATTTCACAGTTGTGAGTTTCGAAACAAAGCAGATGAACTTGATAAAGCCAAGTAATTATAAACTAGCAACACTGTAACTGCTCTGGATGGGGGAGAGGGGTCAGAGGTATGAGAGATGGCAGTGATAAAAGTAAACAACTTTAAAAATTTTTAAAGATTGTAAACAACCCAAATGTTCAACACACATATTTTGTAAATTTTGCTGAGCATCGAGGCGGAACAGCAGCAACAAAGGCAAGGCAGCAGGCACACACGCAGACAAAGCCAAGTGCCAAGTCACATTTAATGTATCATGACTGAAAATGAAAATGGTTCTCTCACTAAGATAGCGTTACGGATTTTAAAAAATTATTGCACTAACGTCATAATTTCCAAATACGAAATATAAGGATTTGTCCTTCTTTACTCAGCTACTATACCACTCTCGCTTCAGGGAGTGTCAACCTTTTCAAAGAGCCTCCATAAAGACCGCCTCGGGGACAGCTTGTGTGCCTACGTTTCTTTCTGCTGTCCTCCTGGTTGGTCACGGTGGCATCTTCCCGAGACCTCCGCTGGTAGAGCTCAGACAGGCACCGTGTGAATTCACTGTCGACTGCGGAAGACTCCTCCTTGTGGGACGAGGCAGCCTGCAGTAACCTGTGAACAAGCCAAGATGTCGGGGTGAAGCTGAAATTCTGACTTCCCAAAATGTTTTAAAAACAAGCAACAACAAAGTTCACTCTCCTTTAAAAGCGAACCCAAATACATCACAAGATGTCATCAAAATCTTTTTGCAGGAGGGAAAACGCCCTTCATATCACAAACGATTTGTCAAAAGGCAGGGCCAGAAGCTACCTGTTCCTAAAACCATCAGTCATTACAGTATTGACCTTTCTAAATAGGATTCATTTCCCAAGACACAGGTCTCATTTAAGAACTCCACCCCCAGTCTGATTTTGCTTTTCACATTTAGTTTTTTAATGTCTTATCACTTTATCATCATGGATGCTATAAAACAGAAATCTAATTTTTGCCCTTTTTCTTCTGTGTATTTTTCAGTTTATTGAGTCATGTATTCTTTCTTTTTCAGCATTTTATAATGCTGTCCTTTGTCATAGGCAAAACCCCCCTAGGCAAAGTGTGGGTCACTTTGGGGGCTTATTCTGTTCCATTGGTCTATTTGCCTATCCTTGCACCAATACCACACGGCCTTACTCACTAGAGCTTATTCAATTTTGTTATCTCCCAGGGGTAAGTGTGCCGACCTGCTTTGTTCTTAGCCCTTTTGAACGGTACCATATCAGTGCATCAGAAAACTCACTATTATTATGTGTCAATTCTTCCAAGCTGACCTACAGACTTATTGCATTGTCAAAACTCTTAACAGACTTTTTTAATGGAAATTAACAGACTGGTTATAAAGTGCACATGGAAAGGCAAAAGATCTAGAAGAACCAAAGCAGTTCCGAAAAAAAGGCAAAAAAGACCACAGCCGAGAGGACTTAAACGGCCTGATTTCAGTACTCAAAGTCAACTCAATTGACTTGATATCACAACATCAGTTGATATTACAATATCTACATCATATCTGGACTGATTCTTTCTAGAGAGACCTGCACACTGGCAGTAAACTGATTTTCAATGGAGGGCACAGTAATTCAATGAGAAAAAGACTGTCTTTTAACAAATGGCATAGAAGCAACCTTGAATTTACCTCTTAATGAATTTCTGCTGTACCTTTTACACTCCTAATATTTTCTGTTGGTTAACCTTGCTATAGATTATTCCACCGAACTCCTCAAAGAACCATCTTTGTCCCCGTTGCTCTCTATTGCTTGTTTCGTATTTCACTCATTTTTGTTCTGATCTTTACAACTTCTGATCTTTCCCTGCCTTTTTTTTTTTTTAAAGGTTTATTTATTTATACATGCACTGGGTACAGTCAGAAGCGCGGGAGGGTGAGAGGATTCACCAGAGCCAGAGCGGGGAGCAGAGCAGGCAGAAGGACCGAAGCACACTGCTGAGGGGAGCAGTGGGTGTAGCAGGAGAGGTCTGCGCACCATGTGGGACCCTCACCAGCGAACCGGCGCTGCAGAGGCTGCAGGCAGCTTCACAGCCCAGTGCTCAACTGCTGCGCCACTGGGGAGGCCCTGCCTGCCTTCTTAATAAAAAATAAATACCAAAAGAGTTTGCTTTATGGTATTATTTCCTATGTTAAACCATGAGGTAACTGGTCTTTAATTTTTCTTCCTCAAAGGACAGTTTAATTCTGTAAATTTTCCATTAAGTATAAATTTAGTTGCATTATACAAGTCTGCTATTTTCCATTTTTATTGAAATTTAATATTAAATATTTTCTGATACCCGCATAAGAGAACATCTTACTTTTAGAATTAACATTTTCCCACCTTTTACTGTACTAAAATGTACAATATAAAGTTACCATCTTCATCACTTTTAACTCACAGTTCAGTGACATTAAGTGTATTATAATGCGGGGCCTCCCTGGTGGCGCAGGCGGGTGAGCGCAGCGCTGTGAAGCTGTCCAGTGGCAGTCTCTGTAGTGCCGGTTCAATCCCTGCTGGCCTCGGAGCAACCCACATGGCAAGCAGACCTCTCCTGTCTTGCCTGCTGCTCCCCTCAACAGTGCATTTCGTCAAACTGCCTGTTCTGCTCCCCCCTCTGTCTCTGATGAATCCTCTCACCCTCACACGCATCTGGCCTGTACCCCGGTTCTTGTATAAATAAAATAAATCTTTAAAAAAAAAAAAGCGTATTATAATGCGCCACCATCACCAACATTATTCTCAGAACTCTTTTCAGCTTTCAAACTGCAACTCTATACCCATCACAAATATTCCCCCTCTAATCAGCTTTAACACTGTGGACAACAGCCAGGAAACGTGATCTAGGAAAACAAAACAGACCCACATGCAGACAACTGAGAGCCGATTTCAATAACCAACATCCAGAAGAAAGAAAACATTTTACCAAAATGACTCCATCAGGTCTGAACTGGCGCCGCTGAGGTTGGAGCACGGGAACCAGCTCTCCACGACAGCAGGGCTCCAGCGCGTGGTCCGGCGCAGCTCCTGCTGGGCCCACTCTGGAACAGGAGGGGCTGCGGGGCGTGGGAGCAAGGGAGGCGCGGCAGTGGCATCAGTACCAAAGCAGACCAAGCACTTGCTCCCCCTTTGGGCTGCTGAGATCCCCCAAGAACAGACGAGCGGGATCACTAACCACCCTTCACCGCCTCCCGCGCCGCCACTGCCCAGAAGGCAAGAGCACAGGCTTCCTGTGTGCCTCACCCGCCCAGGGCCCTGCCACCTGCTGCCGCCTGCACCCTTCTCCCCTGACCCTTCCTTCAAGCCTTGGCTCACGTCCGTGTTCTCCGCTGACCACCCTACTCACACACACTGCAGCCCTCTGGTTCCTGAACATTCCCCATTCCTTTCCTCCTGCTCTGTCGCTTGTTTATACTCTATAGGCTCCTTATTCATTGTCTTGTCTCCCCAACTAGATGTTAAACTCCATAAGAACCTTTGTTTCGTTCTCTGATGTATTCCCACAACCCAAAACAGTGCGAACATAAAGCAGGCACTCGGCAAACCCACTGAGCACATGAATGAACATGACTATCATGAGCACATGATAGCACACCCACTGAGCACATGAATGAACATGACCGGACCGACCTAACACAAGCGAGGCTGGTGCCACACAACTAACAACTCACCGAGCTGAGAGGCTGAGGGAATCACACGGTTCCGCTGCAGCCGTTACTAGAAACCAGTTTCATCTTATGCTTTTGATTTCAACCTTGTTTCCCAGAGCCCGTGGCCTCCTCAGAAGTGCTTTAGGACTTCTATAAATAACGGAGTAAACTGCCAGGAACCTTGCAGCTTGCTTTTATCTGTTTTACACGAGATCCTGGAGCTCTTCTAAGAGCATACTGGAAAAAAGGTTCTGCTGCCCTAGACTATGCTAGTTAGTGGCTCAGGTGCTTACCAGAAGCAGCAGGATCTTCGTGTGAACTGTGACTGTTACTCAACACATCGTCTAAGACACTGGAGAAAAGAGAAGCTGTATCCTGGGAGCTTTCTGCTTCGAGCGTGTGGAGAAAATGTCCTTGGAATTGGGCTTCCTCGGTGCGGAACACAGTGAGGATTGTAGCGTTGACAGAGAGTGGGGAAATAACTCCAGTGACAGGGGGCCAGCCCTCACCAGGGTCCACATTGACAACCTACACGAGAGGTTTCCATTAGCTGTTGTCAGACACCTCAAGAAAAACTGTTTAGTGAAGGCAGCATGGTAGCTCCCCATACAATGATTATTAATAAAAAACTGTGGAACAGACTTGATGAGTATTAAGAGCTAGACTCCAACTCACAGACCATATAATCCTGATCCCTCAGTTTACCAGTAATAAAAGCCTAAGGCAGCCAAGAATATTTACCTAACACTACTTGTGCTTATTGTAGCCCACGGAACCCTCACCACCATGGAGGTCAAAGTGACTGCCATCCACGCGAGAGAGGCGGGGCCGAGGCCAAGGGACACGTCACCTGCTTAAGGCCACCATGTACCAAGGAGCAGAGGTCAGGCATGTCTGACTTCAAAGCCTGCGCTCCGCACAACGGGGCCATAGCAGCACCTGGGGGCTGGCTCAGGCCGTGCCGTGGGAGGCAGACCAGTCCAGACTGGCCCAGCGCACAAGTCAGCAGCACTCTTGGAACAGTATCTAACCAGAGGACGACCTGGTTCTCCTTTAGAATGTTTTACAGTGGGATTTGGAACGCAGACACTTTCTGACGTTACGCGGCAAGTGACAAAGCAAGATGAGGAGTTTGTGGAAAATTTAAAAAGCAAAAATCACCTTTAAATAAAATCTGGGTGCATATGTGTTCCTTTTCAGAAGATACTTCAGAGTTGGCGTAACCACAGGACACTACTGTGTCCAATTTTACAGTGTAGTCATTTTTTAAAAGATGTATTTACTACGGGAAGGCAATAAATACATAAAATTAAAAAAAAAAAAAAGTTCATCAGCCACCTCGGCACCCTAACACAATCAACTCTGGCCCACTGCTTTTTTTCTCTGTATGAGTATAATTTAATTGGATTCAGGGAACAGCAACTTTATAAATGGTCTCTTCACTAATGAGCGAGCCATCACAATACCATACGTAGACAACCTTTTTTGCAAGCACATCATCCATCTCACTGAGAGGATGAGACACAGGGCAATCCTTGGCACGTATAAACACCCTTGTTTCACAAGAATAATGGCAATCATGGGGGTGGGGCGGACACCTACCAGATGCAGGTCTTCAGCAGTCAGCCTGCTCACCAGCTGCTGGAACAACCCCCTTTTGGCTACCGAGTCCTCCTCTGGGATCTGCAGCATCCAGCTGTCAGTGGCCAAGGTGCTGCTTGCTGGCGGAGACCACTGGGCCACTGTGCCCTTTAGAAAAATCCTTACTGGCTTTTGAAAATGTCTCTGCTGCATGGCCAAGGGCTCCAAGATAACTGCCCATGTCTCTTGACTCTCTTTGCCTATTAATGAGAAAGAATAGGAAAATTCTAATAGGAAACAGTTCATGAAAAACATTTAATAGTAAGAAGGAAAACCAAGCTTTTCAGCTGAGCTGCTAGCATCGCAGACTGAGCTCACACCTCATCCTGCTGAGTAGGCCGTTGCGCCACTTCACTTAGCTCCACAGGAAAAGCCATGCACGAATGAACTGCAGGGCATGACCTAATGTCAGAACTTCTCCATAATTACTGTTTAGAAGTATCCGTGCAATGCAGACTTACAAAAAAGACGTCGCTTCTTAAACCCATTAAATATGGGGCCTCCCCGGTGGTGCAGCGGTTGAGCGCTGGGTTGCGAAGCTGCCCGCAGCCTCTGCAGCGCCGGTTCGATCTCCGGCTACTCCCCGGCCACCGGAGGAGGGTCCCACATGGCGCGCAGACCTCTCCTGCCGCCCACTGCTCCCCTCAGCAGTGTACTTCGGTCCTTCTGCCTGCTCTGTTCCCCGCTCTGGCTCTGGTGAATTCTCTCACCCTCCCGCGCTTCTGACTGTACCCAGTGCTTGTATAAATAAATAAATAAATCTTTAAAAAAAAAAAAAAACATTAAATATGGTACATCACACCTTAAGAGATTAAATTCTAAAGAATTCAGTCCCATAAATTAAGAATTTCAATAAGGGACCTCCATGGTATTGCAGGGGTTAAAGTCTCAGGGCTATCAAGCTATCGCCAGCCACTGAGGCCTGAATTTGGTCCCCGGCCATGGAGGTGACCCACACGGCATGGCAGACCTCTCCTGTCTAGCCCACTGCTCCCCTCAACAGTGTCTTTCAGTAGATCTGCCTGTTCTGCTCCCCACTGTCTCTAGTGAATCCTCTCACGCCCTGCATGTCTGGCCTACACCCCAGTTCTTGTATGCATAAATTAAAAATCTTTTAAAAATATCTGATAAAATTTCAATAAAAAAAGAATTTAGTTTGATGCATACATTTCAACATAGTGTGTGAATGTAGAACTAGTAAGAAATGAATTCACCACATAGTGAATTCATAGAAATGAATTCACCAAATCATATAGAAAAAAAAATTTACAAAGATTCCAACACGCTGGCTCTTGTTGGTAATAAGCACCATTTTTAGCTTCTTTTGACTAACAATTTATCAATCTCCTCTATGAGGCAATGAAATCTTACCACCCACTTGCTTGGGCACTGGACAACATTAATTCATTGCAAACAGCTGGGGGGTCTCTCAAGCCACTCAATCATTTACCCACGGACCAGTAATGATACTCGATCAAGTCAATCCTATCTATGGTACCTCTGATTGTGTGGAAGTGCTTTTTCATTCTTTTAACTATCAATATAAGCGTTCACTGAGGCCAAAGTTGCTGGAAATTCTAAAGAAGTTAAAAGCAGGAGCCTACCCCTGAAAGATGAGTGTTACAAGACCAACTGCCCCAAATATCATTCACTTACCTGCAACAGGGAGAAACAAAGTTCCTTCCACCCGAGGAAACGAGGCCTCATACTCGGGCGACTGATGGAGCAAACGGTTTAGTGTGGAATCAGCTGGCAGAACCGAAAGCCACGAAGAGAGGTGAGGCTCATGTGGCAGCTTCCTGCCGTGCGGAGTCCTTCCAGCTTTGGCAAAATCCTGGCTGAAGGTCTCAGACGGCAAGATGGTACCCCCGACGTGGTGGAGTAGTTCACATACTGTCCAGTACCCAAGGTGGTCTGGGGATTCCCACAACTGAAATAAAAATTACCAAAAACCCCCCAGGTTACTGCAAATTAGGCATTCATGAACAAAGCTGAGGGAAATCAAGAGAAAGTAAAGAGATGCCTGATGCCTACGTTAAAGGATCAAATGAGGGGATCTGCTGACCTAAATAGCAGCCAGACTGTTACTACCCGGCCCGAGAGTGTCACTCCACGGTATGCTGGAAACAAGTCTCCAGTTAGCGAAACAGCAATTCCATTCGATTTTCACTCACGTGACAGAAGTAATGCAAATTGCCGGGCAAATGTGTCAGTTAAAATTAATACAAAACCTTGATACGTGAACAAAATCACCCTGTCCCACACAATGGGGACCACGTATGGTGAGAGCGAGGCAGGCACAAGTGCCCTGGAAGGTGACCACCGCTGGCCTGCCTGCTCAGGGGACTGTGGGGACAGAATTGGTCTCGCTTCTGCTGTCACTGAAGGCCTGGTGCTCTCTCTCTCTTGGACTCCTTAGGGCCTGGGCCCTGCTCAAAGAAGTGTCCTTCCAGAGCACGTGTCTGATCAAGCCACTTCTCTAGAACTTTCAAGGGCTTCCCCTGCCTTCACCATAAAGTATCTGCTCATTTTCAATTTGCCCTCTTGTCCTTTAACCCACTCCCAGAGTAATGGCATGCATTATAAGAGGTGGAATCACAGCTCTCACTTGGTTAAAGGACCTTCCTATCCAACCCAGACCAGCTTGGCCCTACAGAGACCCCCAGCTTCTTGACTCCTCCCTGGCTTGCCTCGCCCCCAGGGCCTCTGCACGCCTGCCTGCTTCTGAAACAGGAGCTCATCTCCAGCTCAGGTCTTTGCACCTGCTCTTCTCTTTGCCTGGCACGTCCTTCCCCAACCTTCATGTCCCACCCATACCGCTAACTACCCCACTTCTCTGCTCCAAAGGGCCTTCCCCACCATCATCCTTCTGCCTCCTCTGCCCCACCCCAGCCTCCAGCCCCCACCCCAGCTTTATTTTCTCCAGCGTGTCCTCTGCCATCCTATCACTTGTGTACCCCTTTAACAGTAAAAGAGAAACTCCACTTGGGCTGACCACCACGTCCCCAGGAGCAGAAACAGCTGAGCGGGTCCTCCATGTGGCTTCTCAATATTGGTTGACTTAAACGAAGGGACAGGAGGAGAGTAGGGATGGTAAAAACAAACTTTCCACAGCACTGAACAGGAGGCGGGGCCTCTGTCCCATCAAAAATCCAAAAGGGCCAGTTAGGACTGTCAGCACAGGAAGAGGCGCTCAGTCTGCCAAGTCTTTGTCCGCTGACCGGTCTACAGGGGAGGAGAGAGGCAGCGAGGCTGGAGCACAAAGAGAGCGAGCACCCCAAGAAGAGCTTGGAAATTCAGAAGCGGGGTGGTTGTGCCATTTGGGGAAGGCCTCGGCTGGCCTTCCGGGCGACTGGACAAGGCCCAAACGAACCCTCAGGACCTGTTGCCGTCGAGGAGGTTCGGAGAGGCTGGACTATGGCCCGCGTCGCGGCCACTGGGAAGGGCCTTCCAGGCTTCTCCCGGCTTGGCGCGGAGGACCTTGGACTCGTCGGCCCCTGCGACCCAGGGCCTGCTTCTGAAGGGTCCCCCGCGGGTTATGCGGGGCTCACCCTGGGCCAACCCGCCTCTCTGCAGGCGCTGCTCAGTGGCCCGGGGCCGGGCGCGCGGCCTGCGGCCTGCTGGAACTTACCCGGGCCCGCTCGGTGGTGTCCACCCAGTACAGGGTGATCCTGCGCGCGATCATGACCTCCTGGACCCTCCTGGGCAGCAGCGAGTCCATCACCTGCGCGGCGGGCTGGCGGCGGCCCCGCGCCTGGGCCTGGCCCCCGGACGCGAACTGCAGCAGCTCCCGCCGCGAGTGCGGACAGGCCGCCAGCAGGAAGACGGCGTTGGCGAAGCCCCCGAGCGCGGCCGCGGCCTCGCCCTCCACGTCCAGCAGCCGGGCCCCGCGGCGGCGCAGCGCGGGCTTGGCGGGCGACGAGATGTCGGGCCGGTCCCACTCGTAGTCCAGCAGCGCCTCCAGCAGCGCGCCGCGCGTGTGCGCCGCCCGGGGCGCCGGGCCCGGCAGGTGGGCTCCGGGCGCGCCCGCCGCCAGCCGGGCCGCCAGCGCCGCCTCCAGCTCCTGCCAGGCGCGGGCGCCCAGCTCGCGGAAGTCGGACGCGCGCGACGGCCCGGACCGCGCGCCCTGCGAGTCGAAGAACCTGAAGGCCCAGCGCACCCGCGCCAGGCCGAAGCGGCAGCCCAGGTGCGTGAGCAGGCGCAGGGCGGCCCGCCGCACCGGGCCCTGGCCGGCCGCGCCGCCCGCCGTGTCCAGCAGCAGCATCACGTCGTGGCAGCCGGCCATGGCGGCCGCGCCCGCCCGGGCCCCCGCCGCGCCCGCGCCGGACCCCGGCTTCAGGGCGGCCGCGCCATCCGCCGCTCCCCACACACAGGCCCGGTCGAATGGCTCCCGCGCTCTCCGAGGGCTGCTACCATTGGCGGAGCCGGACGCCTGGGCCAGTTTCTATTGGTCGCTCTCCTTACGTGAGAGACGTGAGCCACGTCCATCCTTAGCGCTGATTGGTCCAGCGGTAGGGCCCGCCCCGGCTGCCTGGGTGGAGGGCGTGTGCGTGGGCGGGGCTAGGTGATCCGGAAGAAACTCCCTGCTCATTGGCTGGGCGTACGTTTTAAAATTTAAAGAGATGGAGCTCGGGCTCTCGTCGCGGAGAAGCCCCGCGGAGGGGGCCGCGCCGGGCGGTGGGCGCAGGCGTGGGCGCGGGCGCGGGCTGCCGGGACCCTGGGAGCCTGACCGCCACCCCGGGGCGAAGTGACCGGGGCAGCTTGGGGTGGCTCGGGCCGTGCTGCTTGGAGTAGCGCCCGGCGGTGAAGGCTCCCGTTCCCTGTAACTTAAGACCGGTTTTCAAGTTTGCTCCCTTGGCCCTGGTATCTTCGAGGCTTTTCTCCGATGCAGGTAATCGCAGGTGCAGGTAAAAGAGACCAGTTCACCTGGAGGGAACTGGAAACAGCGTGAATGGGGGTGGTTAAGGTATGGTGCACCCCCAGAGGAGCCTCGCCCGCTTTCTGCAGTGGCGTTTGTACAGGTGATGCTGCACCTGCCCTCGTCCGTGTCCTGCGTTATATATAATGTCTATACACGTGTTTATGTTTCTGTAAACTCAGGATAATAACGGGAACAGAAGCTGTCTCTGATTGTCTCTGGAGGATGAGATGATGGCATTAACTTATTTTTCCACTTTGCTGAAATTTGCACAGTTCAGTATTTCTGTATTACTTTTGCAATAGAGAAATAGAGGGGGAAATATCTCTTTGCATAATCCTCTCGTGGCAGATGGAAGAACATCTTTCATGTAAAGAAGTTGGGGGAGCAGTTTCTATTGTTGGTTTTAACAACAGGGAAGGATTTAAACTGTCCTGGTAGACAGGCCTGCCTTTAAATCTCCTTCCAACCTGAGAGTCCCCCCAGCCAATTGTTTCAGTACTACTACTGATACTTTATAGAATGTCCATGAAGAAAATAAACATTTTCTGATCCACCCACTGTCATTTGAAAGCACAAACATTGGTTCGTTTCAATGTGTTTATTATTCATTCAACAAATAGTTATTTCAAGGGACAAAATCAATAAGTATCTTTACCTTCAGGGAGTTTGTATCCTAGCAGGAGTCAAACAATAAATAAGTAATTATACTATGTTATCTTGTATTAAAGACTTGGAGAAAAAAAAAAAAAGCAGAAAAGGGGGCTAAGGAGTGTCATTTCCAATGGGATGATCAGGGAAGCTTCACTGGAATGACATTCCAATAAGGCAGTGGGAAGATAAGGGAGAGAGGCTTGTGGGGGCAGGAAGTGGGGCGGGAAGCAATAGTAAGTGCAAAGGCCCTGAGACAGGAGCACCCTTATTCTCCAAGCTAACTTCTTAGGGGTCATTGTGGCTCTTAATGAATTAAAAGTTCATTCTTCCACAAATAGAGGAGGCTGATCAACTTAACTGCATGGAACAGTTAAGAGTCATCTCCACCATTCCAGCCTGCAGGGCCCAACTACTGAAGGGAAGAGGGGTTAGTGGCCATTGGGGAGTAGCCAGCCTTGGTCACCTGGGATTCAGTGCCATTGGGCTGGAAACACAGGGGAAGGAGAAGGGTGAGGGATTTGAGGGCCTGTGCCTGGGACAGGTTGTACTGATTAAAAATTATTTCAGCTCCCAGCACAAAAAGCATGACCACAATGGCTTTTCCCCTACTTAGCAAGTGGGTGGGAGTCTGTGGCTGCTGCCATGCTTCATGGGTAGACCATGTCAGGACCCACAAATGTTCCATCCTCCTGTCTATACCACTTGCTCATCACCACTAGGGGCTGCCCACATCTGGTTGGTACTCAATGCAAGAAGAAGGAGCAGCTCACTCAACAAGAAGCAAAGTTTCAGGGAAGCCACCCCTGTGGCTGGATTTTGACATAAATCTCATGGCAGAGAAGTGGGCAATGTGTCCTCACTGTAGGGGGGGGGAAGGGGCGAAGGGAGCTGTGGGGGTGTGGTGATCCACTGAGGGGCTGTTGGCTGGATCCCAGCCAGGTGGAATGAGACTTGAGCAGGAAAACAGTCTTCTGGAGGCCGTGGGGGCATGGCTTCTGCAGGGAGTATCCAGGGTTCCTAGAAACAGGATGGGAAGGTAAAGGAACATTCCAGGGAGAGGCTGAGGGCAAAGGGGAGTCACAATAAATAATAATGAGCTCAAGATGTTTTAATCACCATGAGAGTAGAGGAAATAGCCAGAACCATTGAGAACAGATTTAACTATACTTGGAACAGAGTACAATCAAATAAATTTTAAAATTGTGTGTGTTACTGTTTTAACACTCAAAAAAGTCACACACACACACACACACCCCCACACACACATCAACACTTGAACCGAGAAAAAAAGTATTTGTTTGGATGAAAATAAATACCAATGGACCTCCAAGATCTTGCACAGGGTGTAATCAATGGTGAGACCCCCCCCAAAAAGGCATAGGTTGGACAAGATAAGGGAATGTCCAGGAACTAGCCTGAATGTCTGTTTATGCTGGGGAGCTGACACTGGCCATGGGTGGGGGGGTTTGAGGGGGTGGGAACACAGCACCCTCAGCTCAAGGGAACTCGAAACATCTGCTGCCAGGATCTTGGGGTGACTATGGCCGAGTCCTGGGCCCCTCTTCTTCCTGCATCCCATAGATGAAAATGTTGAGTGTCTATTCCAACTGTAGGAAATTAGTGTGCTTTGGTTCATAACATGTTTTTTTTAACTTTTTATTTCAAAACCATCCTAGATTGAGGTTCATTATTTCTCTGGATCCAGCCCCATTTGTTGAAAACATTATTCTTTCTTCATTGACATGCATTAGCACCAAAAATCAATCCTTGAAGATATTACTTTTAAAATAAATGTTTATTGAAGTAACACTGCCTTATAATATTATATAAGTTTCAGGAGTGCATCATTATACATCAGCATGTATATAGACTACATTAAATTCACCCCTAAAAACCCAATTCTGTCATTCAGCACACAGTGACTCCTTTTACCCCGCTTACCCCCGCACCTTTCCGTCTGGTGGTTTGGTCTTACAGTCTAAAGGTTTTCTTTGGTTTCTCTCCATACCACATAGGAGTGAAATCACACAGTGTTTGTACTTTATGCTAAGTGAAATAAGCAGACAAATACTGTGTGATTCTACCTTTGGGAGACAGAAAGCAGAAGAGTGGGTGCTGGGGGTGGAGGGAGTGGGTGTTTAATGAAGACAGAGCCTCATTTGGGGGTGATGAGAAAGTTCTGGATGTGGAGGTGGTGAGGGCTGAGTAACAATGTGGGTGTGCGTACTGCCACTGAACTGGACACTCAAAAACAGTTACAATTGTCATTTTCTATTATCTCTGTGTTATAATAAAAATTGATCTAGAAAAAAACTCCACTGGGAATAGTAATCTGTGTTGGCTTCTTTATTCTGTTCCACTGATTTATGTGGCTGTCCTCCAGGCAACAACATACAACCTTGACTACTGTGATGGGATAATAAATCTCAAAACCCAGACCAGTGATCCCTCCCCTTTGTTGTTTTTGTTCAAAATTGTGTTAGGGCCTCCCTGGTGTCACAAGCGGTTGAGCACAGCACTGTGAAGCTATCCATCCGCAGCCTCTGCAGCACAAGTTCCATCCCTGACCATCCAGAAAGCTACCCACACGGCACAGCAGACCTCTCCTGTCTCACCTGCTGCTCCCCTCAGCAGTGCATTTCAGTCAATCTGCCTGTTTTGCTCCCCACTCTGTCTCTGGTGAATCCTCTCACCCCTCGCATCTCTGGCCTCTACCCCAGTTCTTGTATGCATAAATAAATAAATCTTTTTAAAAAATGCCACTTCTGGGCCTCCCCGGTGGCTTAGGGGTTGAGTGTCTGCACTTGTGGCCTGAGTTCAATCCCTGGCCAGGGGGGCTGACCCACATGGCACAGCAGACCTCATCTATCTCCCTGCTGCTCCCCTCAGCAGTGTATTTCAGTAGATCCACCTACTCTGTTCCCCACTCTGTCTCTGGTGAATCTTCTCACCCCCCACACCTCTGGCCTACACCCCAACTTCTTCTACACAAAAATTGAAAGAAAAAAAAGTGCCACTTCTGCCCAGCCCTCTGTGGCAGCCAGCCCCCACTGAAACTGGGGGGAGCCCAAAGGGTGCAGTGGAAGTCCTGTTTCTCTCGGTTAGTCCCCCCCCATATCATCTGGTAGGGGCAGTGGTCATCCTGCCACCACCTGGTGGGTGTGGAAGCCCAGGTTCACCTCCTGTGGGTCCCTGATGTGTCAGCAGTTAGGCCTCCTCCACCACCAGGTGGGGTAGTAGTCCCGGCCCTGTGGAAACTAGAGACACTGATGGGTTAATAGGCTAATGGATGCCAGAAAACAGCAAACAAACCAGAAAACTAGTCGAAAGACCACGGAAGGCAGACAGACCAGTGTCTCTAGTATCCAGCTGGATATAAAAAGCAAGGGGAGGGCCTCCCCGGTGGCGCAGCGGTTGAGCGCTGGGTTGCGAGGCTGCCTGCAGCCTCTGCAGTGCCAGCTCCATCCCCGACTGCTCCCCGGCCACCCCACCGGAGGAGGGTCCCACATGGCGCGCAGACCTCTCCTGCCGCCCGCTGCTCCCCTCAGCAGTGTACTTCAATCCTTCTGCCTGCTCTGCTCCCCGCTCTGGCTCTGGTGAATCCTCTCACCCTCCCGCGCTTCTGACTGTCCCCAGTGCTTGTAAAAATAAATAAATAAATAAATCTTTTTTTTTAAAAAAAGTAACATACCATCACTTAAAAAAAAAAAAAA